TCAGTCAAGGACGGGTGATGGGGATCGGCACGCAGGGCCAGTGGTGTGGGGGACGGCCCTCACCAGCCGTTCGGACCAGGTCATGAGCAGTCGAGAAGACACTGAACCACACTGGCGGGACCAAGCTACCTTCAACCATCTTGCTCTAGCATGCGTACCTCCGCGGGGTGCAACTTACAGAGGTATGATCGACAGAAACCACTGGACCACTAAACCCCTCAGTCCTTGTTGACGAAGCCTGTGTTGGCAAAGGGTTTCAGCCATACGTCATGTACCACCACCCCCGATTTGACGAGCCCTGCTCGGAATACCGTCAAGAGTCGTTGACATTGCATGTGGAAAGTGGAAGAGGTGCATGTACCCTCTTTTTGCACGCAATTTGGCCCATCGTATTTGATCAATGTTGGGCGTGGTTAGTACAGCAGCAGGAATACGTGTAGTGTAAAGGGGGCTCTCCATCACGGTCTTGTTGTTCCATTGATGAGATCCGGGGTGAGGGGTTGTTTCCTGGAGCGGGAGAAGCCGCGGCACAAACTGCACGAGTCGGCGACATCACATTCACCTTGGCTTAGCTTTAAGGCAATCTTAAACCCACTTCATGCCCCGGCGAGGCCGGGCGTGGCTTCTTGCATTCATCAAATCTCGTGCAGCCCGACCGGCCCATGCACTCATGAAAGCTTAACCGGCGCGCCATCTCGTAAGTGATCCATAAGTTATTCTCGACCCTGAGTGCACTGAAGAACAAAAGGATGATCGTGGGCTTCTCAAACGGCTCAACTATTTTCGCCTCTTTTCCCCTCCCTTGACTTGATTTCTCCGTCTCCGTCTCCGCTCTGCGCACGTCCCCCGCCCCAAGTCTTTTCTAGAACTCCTTGTACTTGGCTTGTAATAGCTCCACAGTCTTTTGGGCGTGAAGATTGGAATGGTTTCGCTTTTGGAAAAGCACTAATAGGTGAAGACGCCATCAAAACTTTGTTCGATTTGTAAAGCGTATGTTATATTGGACTTTTCTTGGTTGATGTAAGTTTGTGGAGGAGGTAGCCCGCTCTTTTTATCATCTCGGTTTGACGTAAAACGCCCGAGCGACGACGGAATCGACATCTGTGCAGACATGTCGTCTATGGGGCTGATGGAGACAGTCCATTCCTCTTCTTATTTCCTCGACCGGGTCCAATGTCTCTCTGATATTGCTTGATATAGGAGCGTTTCAAGCGCCATCGACCCTGACAATAAGAAGGGAGAGAGAGAGAAAGGAAGCGGAAACAAAAGAAAATGCAAAAGAGGGAGGGGAGGGGATGTCGATCCTTGAGGTCGTACCGATATTTCCGAAAAATAAAAAAGAAGTTGAAAGAGAACACAAAGACCTCAAGCCAAGCTCGTGGGATTCAAGACTCTGTACCTTTTTCCCTTCTCCTCTTGCTCAGATCAATTGATACTTCGTACATCTGGACCTTGGTGGAGAATGCCCATTGCCCACCCTTCGATTCATCCTCGAACAACGTGCGAAAGAGAAATGCTTCCCCATGAATGGATGTCGTACGAAGGACGGAGGAGACTTGCACATCGACCATATCCCCGGGAGAAAAGACCCTGCTCCCTGTCTGGCGGGTAGTTTAATATTACTTCGTACTTGGTCGAGAGATCAATTGTCCCCTCCGCCCCTCACACCCCCGCCCCCACCCCACTCCCCTTCCCAAAGGGAGTTAGTCGATCAAGGACGGGGTTTCGCTCTGCATGTTTGAAGCTGGAAGCTTTCTTTCCTTTTTCTCACTTCGTTGGTCGTGCATCCTCGAATCCATGTATCCATTGACTGGAATCCACCAGACCCCACCTCAGTTCCCGGACTTTGTTCCACTCCAAGCTTCTCAACTTCTCTCACCCAACAAATCAAAGTTTAGGTGGCAAGAGAGGGGTGTTCCCATTTCTGCAAACACCCAATGGGCTCTCTCCTTGCCTCACCTTGGCACCGTCCTGCTTTTTCGTGTTGCTCTCCCATGTGGGTGCGTGGGCGCGTGGGCGTGTGTGGGCGTGTGGGTGTGTGGGTGTGTGGGCTGTCTTCCTCTCTCGCCCTCATCCAGGCTCGCAATCGCATTCTCTCTTCAACAAGGTTCTCTCTGGAGCAAGTTTTTGCCTTTACCCCTGTCTTTTCTTAGCGCGTTGGTGGCCTCGAAGCATGCTGGCCAACAAGTGTGTCTGTCCAGTCCATGGCTCTCCGGTCCCCTTTGTTGCTCCCCTCGACCACAGCGGTTGCTTTCTAGACACCCTTCGTCTTGTTGTCGGAGAGAAATTGCGCTGAGGACCGACCTGTTCAAGTCGAGTACTTTACCAACACAAGCTCCATGGCGCTCCATGGAGCATGGAGAGCACAGGTTCAAGGGTCCGATGAATGGATGCCAAGTTTCCCATAATACCCCACCTATCTCCAACCTGGCGGCTTCAACTCGCCAAAAGCGAGAGCCGGCCACATCCTAGCCTCGCTGATAATCCACGGCGCTTCAGTCGGGGCCAACAGCCCATGACGGGCAGGAGCCACGGAGGCGCCAAAAACGAGTGGACCCCTCAAGAGGGGAAAAGAAGGGGGCCGGGGAGAGAGGGGGCGCATCGACGTTTTGTGTAGATCAATTGCCAGCGTTCCGCTGCAGCATCAAACTGAAGAAGTCCATGTCGTGGGATGACCCAATCTGGGTGCCGGTGTGGACGGATTGGGTGTATTGAGGACAGGGACAGGAGGGCGTCGCCGCGCCCATAAGAAACTGGATCGATCCAATTGATGTGGAGAAAGGCAAGTACGAAGTACTTCGTACATGTAATACAAGAGCACAACACTTTCTGGCTCTTGTGGCTCTCCCAACGACATCTATATACACTAGATTGATATACTTGGCCTTCATCAATGATGTCTATCTCTCTTGTATCACGCCTGTCCTGTTTTTCAGGCTTAAGGACGACAGAATATCGGAATAAGCTCAGAATCAGGTTGGAATTCAAGCTTCCCACTCAAGAACAAGGGCAGATTTCAGCTTCCAGCACCTCGTGCTGTTCTGAATTCATTGAAACAGTGACCAGGCCAGGACGCCACTGGGAGTTTACGCGTATTTGCCCTGGCAAGCCTGGTCAGTGCTTCTGGTACTTCACAAGTCACTGTCTCGGGTTCCTTATAATGTTTTGCCACACCCACACACGCACTCCCCAGTAATAATTTCTAGCTTACCAGGACTGTGGAATATCAAGGGCTTCCACCCCCTTCGGTGTACCCCCTTTCCTTCCCAGGGATCCGCAGGGATTCATTTCGTTGACGTCGGGGATAAGCAGACTGATGGCATTCATGGGACATTCTCTGGTGGTTTCTGGCCCAGGCTTGCCCCTCAAATCCTGATTGCTTTTTATGTCCCTTGAAGCCATTGGTCTTCCGGAGCTCTGCGGGGATGACGGATCAGTCTGGGAAAGGACGAAGGAATCGCCAGGCCAGGCATCGGGGAATATACACGTAGTTGCCTCTTTGGGTGCTGTTCCTTTTTCAAATTTCAATCAAGTCAGGTTCTTTTTCCGGCCGTCATCCAGAGAACACAACACGAATATGTACTACGAGGATTTTCACGATACGTTTTCTAAGCATAAACTCCAAGCACCCATCCATGGATGGATGAATAAATTTGGGGTGTACTTGTAGAAAGAAGGGCAAGGCAAGAGTGAGAGCTGGCGACATATCCCTCATTCATTGATGGACTCCTCAATCCATTGATCCCTTCAAGGTTCTTGAAAGTTGGATGGCTCTCCGCCCCTCCTCCCTTGGATTCCCAACCTCCGGCTCAAATACCACCCATCCCATCTCTCTCCGACGGTTTTGATAGGTACTATCGTCGTATCAACGGCCACAGTCACATTCAAAACATTAAAACTTCATTCCGCAGCCCTCGCAGCCACCCAATTATAACCGCATCTTATTATTGCCCTTGGGCGGATCAACACTGTACCACTGTCGTCAGGAAAACCCCCAACTTGGACACGACACTAGGCACGGAGCAATATGTCAGGATTGACTTGAGATGCTCCGGTGTTGGGAAGCTAAGTTGACACCCCCCTTCCCTTTCCGTCCCTTTTCCGCTCCCTTTGGCAACCCCTCCCCACCCTCCCAACCCAAAACTAAAGAGAGTCAAGGGACATTTTAATGATTCCTGAACGGACTTCGCACATGTTCCCCGAGACCCATAGGGTGGCCTTCTTTTTTTTTTTCTCTCTTCTTTCCCCTCGCCTTTCCAGGGACAAGAAAGGAATTCATCGGACCCCCTTCTCCCCCTCTCTACCCCTCACCCATCCAAAAACATAGGTACAACAAGTACAAGTGATATAGTCCCGCCTTGCTTGGTAGCTGACTGCTATGATGTCTATCTGCATGGGTGAACTCGAAACCAAAACCAAAGGGATCCGTAGCCATTTGGCTAATAGCAGCAGGGGTAAGGCATCAAGTGTTGCGCGATTCAGCGTCTTTAGCTCGCCGTCATCCCCGGGTCCAGTCCCAGCTTGGGCGAAACGTTACTAAATGCGCCGGATCTCCCGTCCTGATCTTTCTACGCTACCCACATGGAGAAGCCGGGAGTAGGAATTCGACGCCAAAGACAGCGCGGTTGCAGTGGCGTAGACTGGTTCTTGACTCGCATGTATCCCTAGCTCGCTGCCCTCTTTTACGAATCAGACTTCTTACTCCCTTTGTTCCCAACCCTTGCCGCTGGTTGCCAAGCAGACCAGACCCGCTCGTCCCTCGAAGCAGGCTTCCTGGAGATTCTTCCAACAGCAGTAGATTTGATGAGCCTGTGTAGATAGCCCCGCCACTGCTCTTATCCACCGCAGATCCCTTGTCCTCGCTGTGTGGAAGGAGCGTACGAGGGGTCCTTGGGCCCATCTCTTGCTCCAAAGGCAGGCACCGTGCACCCAAGGTTCACATGTACGCAGCCTTCCGTCAAGGCTATACCCTAGGCTATTCTTCCCTTTGACCCGAGTTCATGTTGGGGATCAATCGATCATCCCGTCCAGGGCCCTGGAACAGTACCCGCTTCTGTCACCCCAGTACGGAGTACTTGCCACGCCCTCCTCCCCTTGCCCACCTTGCCCACCACTGCTACTTCTTCAAACCGTCGTTGTTTCCCACGCCCGGCCCTGCACGCCTTTTCCTCATCCCTCCAGCCCTGTCCTAACCCTGGCACCTATTTTTCATGCCATGGTCGTAAAGAACACGGCTTGTTGGATGGCACGTTCTAGCGGTGCCGCCACTTTCTACTTCCCTTAACCCCTCCAAACAATTTCAGCAGCGTCTTTTCCTCTCCCGACCCAGTCAGTCCACCTCCGGCGATCCAAGGAGCAAGCAGCATTTCCTCACTCTGCCAGACCTGGTCGACCCTGACTGTCTTTCATTCCTTTGTCTCGAATTCAATGCCAACGTAGTAGGCCCTCGGCAGCCGTATCTGGCAGCCTCATCGCTCTCTGATTCTCTAATCCCGCACCTCAGCGACCCGCCCCCTTGTCTCCCGGGCATTCGGCCGACGTCCCGCCTCGTGGTGCTTCCAGTCATTGATCAGACAAACCCCCAATCTTCTCCTCAAAACAGGATATCCGACCTCACTCGGAGCTTCAGAAGACTCTTGTCCGTCTCCTTCAGCTACCGTTGACCTAACCTCCAACGCCTCCTCCCTCCCGTCACTCGTCAGGCTGGTGTTATTGCTTTTATCACGGTCTCGGCCTTGCCTCGTTGCAGTGAATCGTCCGCCCAGCTGCAAATCTCCTCCAACCCTGACAAGAAATCTACGACTTCATAAGTAAACCCGTAAGTCATGGTAATCAAAACCTAAACTTTCCTTGGCCCTATATCTCGGTCTCTTATAACCCACGTCTACGGTCACACCACCTCACCCTTCCCCCAACCGTTCCGCAAAATTAGCGATACCATCTTGGGATCCCACTCACATTGCCGATTAGCAATTAGACTCAACCCTTGCCCTCACACACAAGCCATCGACTTTACCGCCGAGTCCCCTAGCAGCCTGAAGACGTGGGCCGCAGAGAAGATCTCCAGAGCCCCACCTCTTCTGTCACCACGCCCCTTCCAAATTCTCCAATACGCCAACCTCGCGACGGTGGTGAGCTGCATTTCATCTTGCGCAACCCGTACCTCCTCTCTTCTCACCCAGGTAAGTTTCTAGTGTGCGCCCAACTTCACCACTTTCCCGGAAGCCAGCTGTCCATCGGGTTATTCATCCCGCATATCTTTCACGGCCATGATGTAAATCCAGCCACCAAGGAGACCGGGCCCCTACCCTAGATGGCTTGGATGAAAAGAGCATCAGACTTACTGTGATCTTCATCCTCTCTCACTCCTCTACTTTCATCCTTGCACTTCAGCTTTATGCCTCTGTCCCATGATAAGGTGTCAGGCGTATCATAGTTCCTCCCCTATGATACAACCTATCACCTGCTACTCTCTCGCCCACTGACCCGTATCAATTAACCAGCTTGCTCTCGTCACTGCATGCGCCAGTGTGTTGCCAACCTTTAAAAACCCCCACCCCCGCTCCTCCTATCTCCTGTTTCCTGCCGAGCAGAACTTGCATTCATAACGTGCAACGGCCGCCTCATCGATCGACTTGTGCTATTAGCGATCCACCGCTCGCTGTCTTCGGCAACAGGCGCCGCCGCTTGTTAGCCGCCAATCTGAACCTCCCTCCCGAGTTGGCTCGGTGGAGGTAGTAACCCACTCCTTTAAGCCAGCTCGTATCGTCCAACCTCTGCTCTCACCCCATCGAAGCCCGCCATTAATGTTGCTGCTGGTGGGGGTGCCGCTGAACCATCGTCGCCCGATCTAATCAAGCCCAAGCTATTCTCACATTGCTGATCTCCGCCTCATCGACGGCATCTACCCGGAGTCCTCCTCGGTCCCGAAACTAGGTTTCCCGGAGCAGTTGCCTGCTGTTGTGGTCTAAATAGCCAAACGTTCGTAACCGCTAGATCGACCGCCTATGGTCCTCCTCCGCCCATCATGGGAGACTTCCATCACCACCAATTTTTAGCTTCGAGAGGCGCTAGCCAGCCCAATCCGAACATTATCCCCCAAGAAATCCATCAGTCTCATATACCAGGCATAATGCCCCTAGCTTCTCCCACCATGGCGGCGCCGTTTTCCGCCATTGGATATTTTACGGCATTCGATGACCCCTTGATGTTCAGCGTTCCCAAAACGCAGCGTAATAGGAGGAAATCCACAAGCGGATTAGACAGCGTGAAACACCGCCGCACCAGGTCCGGTTGCTATATGTGCCGTAGTCGGCGCGTAAAGGTAATGATAGTCCACGTTGTGTTGCGTTAGAGGGGCTCCCCTTGTCTGCTCAGCGAGTTGAATTTGCTAATATCTCTCAAGTGCGACGAATCGAGGCCAATCTGTGAACGTAAGAACTGATTTTTGAGTATATCTTGTCTAGAGCGAAGAGGCACACCCGCTAACCAAGTGCAGGATGCAAAAGGGAAATCGAGAGTGCGTCTACCCTGAGGCCACCACATCCAAGGCAACAGGTCCCTCTCAGGCTTCTACAAAAGGGAGTTCAACTCAGCAAGTGACGAGTCCCGGATCCTCGACCGGAGCAGAGGAGCCCGAGCCCGAGCCCGATTCGAAACTCGAACCGATTCTCGACGAGGATGAGGATGCGGATGATCCCGAACGTCCAGGTTGGATGTATACTTCCTCGCAAGCCCCCAGTGGCGCGACATCACCAAACCTCACGAAATCGAGCACACGCCAGAGCTCAGAGACGCCGTCCTTGGATGGCAGCAAGAGCTCGCACTCTGGCTCACCTGCCACATCAAGCACCATGACGCCAAACGCCCACCCACTCTCTGATCAATCCCTTCACGTCACAAGTGCTCTCTCGGACTGGTCGCATCTACCAGCAGACTTCCAGTATTACCTCGGCAGTTTTTGCAAAAACATCACGCACTATCACTACTGCCTACCGAGCGACCCGGATGGTTTCTTCTCTTCCTTGCTGCTGAATATAGCCTTGCATAATGATGCCTTGCTAAATGCCGTGGTTGGATTCTCCGCCTATCATGAGACGCTGAAGAACGAGAATGGCAAAGTTGAAGATTTTTTGAAATACTACAATAAAAGCGTCACGCTTCTTCTTAGTTCTCTCAAGCGAAAGGAGCCCCAGACGGTTGCAACGATTGTAACTATCTTGCAATTAGCGACTATCGAGGTAGGCCCAGCCTAAAATGGAGTGTGCGACCAGGCTTGCTTGACCACACTTCGCTGTTTACACGCTACGCACGCTAACTACTTCTTATTTTCGACTAGGAATACCTTGGCGACTGGATTAATATCATGGGACACCAAAAGGCTGCCCTTCAAATGTTGACAAACCTCTTCACGCCCGACACCATCATGTCGTTTCCCGTGAGCCGAGCCATTCTTGCCTGGTACCAACGGTTCGACGTTTTTGTTGCCGTCATGGGCGGTTTCAAAACGGCTCTTCCTCGCGAGTGGTTTACTGTCGTTGTTGATTTTTGCCGCGATAGGTGTGAAGGCAGCCCAGATGATATTGAGTGGAGGTTAGAAGAACGGTCGGCCTGTTTGAGACTTATATCCATGGACATGTCGATGTTATATTCTCGGGGTAATAGGGAGGAGATATCGCCCGAGGAGTTCAACACGGAGTACGACCGCATATCCGAAGTATTGGCAGATTGGAGACGGACTTTTGACCCCGCTCTCTTGGATCCAGCGTTTGAAGTGACGACGTTCCCACACCAGGTTCCCCTTGACCCTGAACGCGATATCGTCAATCCGTACGCTCCGGGACTCTATATGAAGCGCCTCTTATATCCACGACGATGCTTATGTCTGAATGGCACTCGATAACCATGATGCACAAATGCCAGTCATCAACAACACAACGAGAACAGTTGTACGCGGAACTTCGAGAGCATTCCTACGAAATCTGCCAAATATTTGAGACAGTAGAACGCTGGCCAAAGCGGCCCAAGGGTATCTTGATGATGATTCAGGCCTGTATCGCTCTCTCGGCGCTTTTCCTGCCCCAGGATCCAAAGCATCACGGCTGGATCCGTCGCAAGTTTGCTCTTATGGAGACGTTTGGGTAAGTATAGTCCTATCTATTCATCAAAGGGGACGCCCCTTTTCCCGCAACGTTAAATTCATCATTCTTATTCTTTTTATACGCAGATACATCCATCCCATTACGCTCCGAAGCAAAATGAGCATGTTTTTCCGCGAACCGTCCTGCGAGCGCTGGTGGTTACCCAACGACGAAGGCTTTACCCCCATACTGCAAAGCATCCGAACCTTTGCTGACGAAAGGAATGCTGTTGCAGTGTCAGCACAGATTAATAATCTGAGGGAAGTCCGCCATGTGTTCGCCAAATTGCAGTTATCAGATGATAGCGGGAATTCAGCTGCGGCGGCGGCGGCAGCGGCAGCGGCAGCGGCCTCGGCCTCGGCCAGCAGTGGCCCTCCAAGACTTCCTGGGATGGGAGGATAGATCGTGGGGATCCACGAGGGCTTTTGGCCATGCATTTCTTCTTTTTATACTGGTGGTCTTCAAACCCACCCTCTCTTGTCTCTGCTCTGCCTAAAGCGCACCTTAAGGTGGGTGGCCGCTATGAATATCTTTGTGCGCTCTTCCCATCGCCTCGAGCCGCGATAACTCAACCAATCCTTTGCCGTTTGACCACCCGATACATGCTGCCCGCGGTCTACATTAGATGAATCTTAGCAACGATTTAGCCATCTGCATCAATAACAAGTAACTCATCGACACAGATTTCTACATGTTACTGAATGTGAATTATCATGGGGAACAAGTAGTGGTATTTAGTCCTACACAAGATGAACAACGCCGTCCTTTCCGCCAGAAGCATACGCCATGTGCCATATCCGAAGCACGACCCTTGAGCTGCCCTTCTAACCCTCCGGCCGACCCCCACTCAAGTTTTGCCAACATCCACGGTCCCTACCGATCTATGCCCCCTAGATATGATTTTCATGATAGGTCACCCCTCCAGGGCTTGGCATGAAGACCAGCACAGGGTATTGGGGCATGCTAGGCCCGACAATTCACGTAGTTACCAACGCCGCTTTGGGTTTGGTAGATGAGGGAAAAGGTAGGATCGTGTGACCAATAAAGTTAGATGGAGTTCGCCCGATTCAAAGGTTTCGGTAAGACAATTGAGAGACCTGAAAGGGGATTTCGTTGTCTGCCACAACATATATGCCGAATTAATTCCTTAATTTATCTCACGCAGTCTTTTTCTCTGCTGGCTTCTGATCGGCGCCTTCAGGTACATCAACTCCAGTCTCGGTAGGAGTCGGTCCTTCTTCTGCTGCCGTTGGAGACTCTTCAGGAGGAGCAGAGATACCAGTTTCGGAATCCGGGCCAGTGGTCGACGCTTCTTGTCCATCGGCGGGCTTGGCGTCCTCCGTCGGGGCAGCGGAATCTACCGAAGCACTGTCTTCTTCGGCGGTCTCTGTAGAGACATTTTCCTTTGCCGAAAAGGCTTGTTCACCGCTTGCGGTGCTCGGCGAATTGACCACCTCTTCAACCTGGGGCGCGTGGGACGATGTTGGTTCCTGGGTTCCCTCAGAGGCAGGCTTAGTACCAAGCAGCGCGGGTTCAGCGGTTTCTGCGGCAATAGGCTTCTCCGCACCTTTTTCAGCCTCCTCTAGTTTAGCCTCTATGTCCTCCGAGCGCGCGATGGGAGTCTCGATATCCCCGATGGGGATGTAACAACCTGGGTGGATTCTTGCATCACGGAGTCCTCGACGATAACCGGAACCTCCTCGGCATCAGGCTCCTCCTCCAGGAGTAGCTCCACGGGGGTGGTTGAAGAAATGTGCATCGCCCGTGTTTTTGCCGCAAGCTCCGCACCTTCATCCTCATCTGCTTCGACTACAGTGGTAACAGCACTCCCAGTCGATGGGCTACTCCGGATGTGGCGCCTGGTGTTCGTTCTGCCAACGCCGCTGTCATCCTCGGTAGATTGTAGATCTTCAAGGTTTTGGGTGGTTTGATTGCGCGTGAAGTTCATAGAGGGTGCCGGCCCTCCCGCAGAAACTTGCGTTTCGGTATTGGGCTCGAGCTGACTAGGCTTTTCTGGCTCAAGGCCTTCAGCCTCGGGGGAAGTTTATAGGTCTCGCCTGGTAGAAGGTCGTACATGTCACAAACTCTTTGAAGAAAACATATAGACCCGTTTCGCCCTCGACCGACCAGAAGACGCTCCTATGCTGGAACCAGGCGTGGGCAAAAATGCGATGGAGCCGGCGAAATACATTGACTAGGTTTTCATTGCGACATTCTTGTGCTGGGCATCAGAGTGCGCAACAAAACGGCTCGGGAATATGTTTTGGTCGGTCACCACATTGGCAGCCCAGTCAAGGGTGTGGCAACAATAGTCAATGGCGCAGCAGCTTTTGGGCTGCTCGTGGACCGCGCAGAGGAACTGCCATTCGGACGCCCTCATCTCAGGACATGTCGCGGCACTGCACGGCGGGGTATCAAAAAGGAAGCCTACAATAAGGCTGTTGCATTGCGAAATCAAGAATCGGCAAAGCTCGTAGAGCCATAGGGTGCGGTCGGTAGACGTCGGAGGTGTTGCTAGCTGGACAGCGGTAGCTCGAGTGATGGGCTGGGTGCGACCTTTGCTATGATGGTAGTGAAGCGCCGCAAGATGTTCCTGCAGTTGAAATGCGGAGTCAAGCTTTGCATGCGTATAAACATATTAGCGAAAGGTGTGAAAGAAGAGAGATAGCTCCCAAGCACCGATATTGTTCTCACCTCACCCAGGGGCATCAATGGGGGCCAGCAGCCATATCAGCGGTCTTCGTGCCTCGATGAACCCTTCGCTTTGAGTTAGCATCGAGAAGGGTCTGCTCTATCTGGGGCGCGAGGCGATTTGTGTTGGAATTGCCCGAGGGCGATGCTGGCCCGATCTGAATTTCCGCCGCTGGCGGTGGGCTGGGGAGCCGCGGGGAGTTTGGAGGCATGGACATGGCGATGAAGAATTTCGTTCGTCGAGGCTCGCAAAGGGCCGCTACCGACGATTATGTTGCTTGGTAGGAGGTTTCTGTGGAGAAATCTTAGCAATAGGGAGGATGCGAAAGAGAACAGGTGCAAAGCCAAAAGGCTGGAAGGGAGCATGAGTGGTAGTTGGAACGACGCGAAGTGAGGCCAAAGCTTTGATGGCCCTCGACGCATGGGCGCTGCTTCCTGGCAGCTTAGCGCCAGGAACGACATTCGCTCTGGAGCATGCATACTTATGATTAGTCATGGAGAAGAGGTCTGGCGCACCAACAGCCATTCAACCTCAAAGTTCTTGGAGACATCAACGATCAATCAAATCGATTAAATCAATGACATTGATGGCCGCTAGAGGAGCTTTCGCCTTGTGTTGGCTTGGTGGGGTTGGGTCCAGACAACAACACTGATGTCACTATTTTCACAAGCGCTTGAGCAAACGTTCATTCCTCCCAGCTTCTTCAGGAACACTTGACAATAGTCAACCGAACAACGCTGCCGAAGACGAACAGTCTCCCGATTCGAATGCACGGAAATGGTCCAGAGCGTAGTAGCCTGCTAAACGGATTAGAATAAGTCGGCTCGTCCTTCTTCACCATTCTCTGTTTGAACTTTTGCCAAATTTTGTCCTTCAAGTTCCAACCGGCCAGCTCGCTCTGCAACAATGGACTTTGAGGATGATGCCCCGCCGGATCTGGTTGAGGTGACAAATGCTGATGAGCATGAGGCCGAAGTGACGCCTCCATTCAAAGTTCCCATCACCATCGTGACAGGTATATAATATGTTTTCTAGCACCAGTGAAGTTACACTGGCGCATGGCCGGCGCTAACAATATTCCCAAGGATATCTGGGTGCTGGCAAGACAACCTTACTCAATTATATTCTCACAGCCAACCACGGCAAGAAGATTGCCGTAATTATGAATGGTGAGACCAAGTGGCTACGTCTTGCGGAAATGGCACCTATTGCTAATAGCTTGATTGCTGGTTAATGTAGAATTTGGCGATTGTATGTCAAGCTAGCTTTTGACCATACCACGATGCAAGGGACTGTGGCCCATCGCTAACCCACACCTCATAGCGCTGGATATCGAGAAGTCTCTAACCGTCAACAATGGAGGGGAGCAAGTGGAAGAATGGCTCGAGGTGGGAAACGGCTGTATTTGTTGCTCAGTCAAGTACGCGCCTTTTGCTAATCAAGATGTGCCAAGTTGTTGATGTCAGAACTAACAACCAGATAGGGACTCCGGGGTCAATGCTATCGAGTCCCTCATGGAAAAGAAGGGCGCCTTCGATTACATCCTTTTAGAAACTACCGGCCTTGCAGATCCTGGAAACCTTGCTCCGTTATTCTGGGTCGATGACGGCCTCGGGAGTACCATATACCTTGACGGAATCGTTACTCTTGTTGATGCCAAAAATCTCATTCGCAACCTAGAAGATCCGCATGGCCAAATACTAAACGAAGCGCATGAGGATACACATGGGCCCCTCCTAACGACGGCTCATGTGCAGCTATCCCACGCAGACGTCATCGTCATCAACAAAGCGGATCTAGTAACTAAGGACGAGCTTGAACGAGTAAAAGATCGAATCCAGTCGATTAATGGTCTTGCAAAGGTGCACATCACCGAGCGAGGAGTCGTCCCGGAGCTTCAAGGGTTTCTCCTCGATCTCCACGCTTATGATCGTGTTTCAGATCAAGACCTCCGCGATAAAGGCCACAGTCATCTAGACCCGGTACGTCATGTTTTCCTCCCAAATGGTGGATAAGATAGGCATTAACACCCCCGTAGACTATATCAACACTTACCATCCCGGTACCTGTGCTGTCAACAGACCAACTCGATAAGCTGGATCTGTGGTTACGGTCCGTACTCTGGGACTCTGAGCTTCCCGGCTTCCCATCAGCCCCCGTTCGAGACGCACAGGTTGAAGGGGAGGATTGTGTTGCGGGATGGCCGAGTGAAGATGGTACAAGGTGTGAGGGAGATATTTGAAGTCATCGACCTAGAGGACAGCGAGGGCAGCGAGTTACAGAAAGAAGGCAAGCTTGTGATTATTGGGCGCTACCTAGGACCTGAGAAATTCGAGAAGAGTTTTCTGGCTGCTTTGGACTGAAAGCCGAACTCGGGCTTAAGCGTTGCTTTCAGGTGGCGTGCGCTTATGGGCACGACCCAGTCAAGGTCTCGAATTTAGACCTAGCAAACAATTTAGAGAATATTGAAGGGAATCGATGTCTATAAACATTTGAGAGGGAAAAAAAAAAAAAGAAGAAGAAGAAGAAGAAGAAGAAGAAGAAGAAGAAGAAGGAAAAGATTAACAGTAAATATTGGAGGATATTGGGTTTAGAGCCTCAAATTATCGAACGTGATGCTTCCCAGACATATCCATGAATTTGATGCAAGGGATTTCCTCGCTGGTACACGAGACACTGTGCGAGGTCGTCGAATTTTTGCTTCCAACCCAGTGCGCTAAACCAGTTGGAAGCAGCTGCATCAGAGATCAGCAGGAGGATTAACCACCTGGCACTGCCTTGCAGTTTAGCAAGGCCCTGAACGGATATTCCCGTCCAAAGCCTTCCCTTCTTGACGACATCCACGACTATCATATCAATTGCTTGAGGATCGCAACCACGCATTTCCGTACGAAGTGCCCCAATCCACGATACGAACCCTTTCACAACACTCTAATCTCCGCGACAACACCATCCCCGACAAACATCGAGATACAACGGCTGCCGAAATCGGAATCAATGATGAATCGACAAGGTAGGCGTGATACCCTCGTCAAGCTCGACGCTATCCCGATGTGTATACTCTCTTTACCCCGAAATTCTCATCTGCGCCTCCCGAAAAACTGGTCGGAGCCATATTTTGGTGCTTTGATGAGCTCTTCTCCGTTTCCCCAATCTTAAAAACTCGCGATGAGCATGGCGACGGATCGTGAGGCCCCATGCGACCCTTTGATCAGCACGCCGCAACGTTGCACAGTGATAGAACTAGCACAGCCGCGATGCAATGCTTCCTAGACTGCCCACATCATTCACGCATAACTACGTGTTCTACATGGCCTCCAACATCATCGGGAACTGATGGTGGCGTCTTGGCGAACTTGGCGCTCCGCGAGCCTTGCGGCTGGATCTGATCACGAAGTCTTGAGCTTTCCGCCGCTAGTGTTTGGGCCAATCGTCACGATATACACATAACACCTGTTACATTTTGAGCCGCAAGGCGTTTCTGAGCTGCGCTGCACGATTTCATATCAGCTTGGAACCAGCTACTAACGATTCGTGCAGGAGCGGTACCGCAGACGATGCGCGGTATCCCTGCTGGATTTGGGGGACAACAACAACCTCAACAATCGGGACGATCAGTATCAAATCGGATACCAAACGGCGCGAAACTAGGTAGGCATTTCTTGACCCAACGGGCCCGGTTAATAATCTTGTCGTTGACGTGTAATACTTGTCATACAGGGAGCAACGGCTCTAGCTGGTCAGCGTTTGGGGGTGGTGTCTCGATGGGTGGTGCTGGACTTCAAAATGCCCCTCGTCAAGTGGGTGCTGGAAACTTGAGCTTTGCCCAGAGCTTAAGCGGCTCGCAACCTGCGACCCCCTTGGACCTTTCGTAAGTGTCTTTCACTTGGACTTGGATTTGCCTTTGCAGGGGAGCTACTCTCTCCTCTATCGATCACACCTCCCCACTCATACCTTCCCTCCAACATATTCTCAGCCCTCGAGACCTTTCTTAATTCCTCTGCGCGCCTCTGCTTTTGGCTGCCTTCATCACGTTTCCACTTTTTTCTTCTCTTTCTTTCCCACTGGAACTGGCTTGAGGGGTCAGTCTTACCACTGCATCCAGCCCTTTTTTCGATCCGATTTTTTGTTTCTTTAAATTCCCCACCTCTCTTGCTTCGCTTGACGCATCATCACGAACCTTTATGCCAGAGATTCCAAGCTAGGTCTTGTATACAAGGACAGCAGTTTCCTCTTCACAGGGTCTCAGGCTTCTTTGCGGCCCACTCCAAACATCCCACCCCATCACCATCCTATATCCTTCGGTTTCAAGTCCAGCCGATTTTGCTCCGCTCCCTCCCTGCTAATGTATCTATTCACTAGCGAGTTCCCTTCTTTATCCAATACCGCACAAGCGGCAAACTCAAGTCAAGGGGGCATGTGGTCAGCTGGTGGCAGCATTGGCACTCGGGGTGTGAGTGGGGTTTCACGGCAAGGCTCGACACCTTTACCTCCTCAGGCACAACAAGAAGACATGTTTACTGGCGCTGCCGGTCGCCTCCCCTCAAAACGTTTTCCGGTTTGGCAACCAATCCAATATCAACGCCAATAGCCCTTCCCAAGTGCAGCCAAGCAGTGTTGATGATTTCCCACCCCTAAACCGAAGTGGTGGCGATCTAGGACCGGAGAGGGGCGCCTCTCTGATGTCCGCCCTAGGATTCGGCGCCCAAACAACCTCTGCCGCTGCCTCGGGCCAAACTAACAGAGCTGAGAATGGCCTGCTGAGTGCGCTATCCGCAAACCGTGGTGCCTCAGAAGCTCGGTCTGTCAATAGTATGTATCGCCAACTCTCTCCCTCCTTGCTCCTCCTCGCTCAATTCTTCGCGGGCTCTATTTGTGATTAGAATTTCCAGCTAAACTTGTGTAAAGGTGGCTCAAGATCTCAAGAATCCAGGGATAGCGGTGCCACCGGAAGCGAGAGTCGTCAGAAGTCGGGGACCCTCCGAGATGGAAGCTTAACGGCGGGAGAGGAATCACCGCAAGCTTCAGACGCGCGAAAACCTCTAGGGGCCATTGGTAACACTTCCACTTCAACAGAAGGCAAAGAACATGAAGAATCCCCCACGCCAGAAGTGCAAGATCCTTTAGCGGGCATGGCACCAGAGGATAAATGGGGTCTCAAAGGCCTTCGAACGTTGATGAACAACTACCCGGATTATAATGCCATGGTGCTTGGAATTGATCCTAACTCCCTTGGTCTTGACCTTGCATCATCCGAGTAAGCTCCCGTGCCAGTCATTGCCCCATTCACCTGAGCCCATGGGGCAGGTGTACAACCTTTTGCTAAGCAGTACGCGAAAACAGGCCCATCTCCACACAAATCTATTCATTATTCGACGACCAACCACCACGACCGGCAATTCCCCATTTCAGGTTGCCGGAATGCTACAACGTAAACAACGTTCAGCCGATTGAAACCAAAATTTCGAGTTTCAACGAGGATACGCTCTTCTTCATCTTCTATGCAAATGCCGGCGATGTGACGCAGCACCTCGCGGCCCAGGAACTGTAAGCATTTAATAACGCCCTGATTTGCCTTAATAATGGCCTGAGAAAGGATATACCCGCTAACATAGACATCTGACTAGGCATCAAAGGAGCTGGAGATGGCACAAGAAGCTCCAGATCTGGTTAACCAAAGATGAACACATGATGCCTCAGCAAGTAAGCCCAACGGCGGAGAGGGGCTTCTATATTATCTGGGACCCCATCCGGTTCCAGCGAGATAGGGTAGGTTGCCTGAACATACATTCTAGCGTAAGACATACAAGTGAGCACACGGCTAACCTGCGTGGCTACAGAGAGAATTCACCCTTCACTACGGCGATCTGGACACGACGCTGGGCGCTGGAGCCCAATAAAGGTGGGCAAATTAGACCCCATTCTCTACCGGGTCTTGGAGGAGACCCTGTGGCCGATACCCAAAGCAGTCTCCTGGACCCGGAGTCTCGGTGGGATAAGGGTGGAGACTCTCTGCTTTCATGTTTTCTAGCCTCAGTCTTGCCATCATTGGTAGGACGGGGAGTGTATGGCGAGTCAGCCGGGCAATATTCTACGTTTATTAGGGATGGCGCGTGGCACATCCCGTGGTGGGAGATCAAGACGTGATCACCTCGACGAGTTTGCCGCGACCAGGTCAAACACATGGATGAGTGCTCAAATGCACCGCCACTCCGCGTTTTCAACAGCTATCTTGGTCCCCCGTGATTCAGTCCCTAGGTGTAAAAGATCGTGAATGCAAACCAGCCAGTCAACGCCAGTGTAGGAGCCAACGGTGCCCGTTTCCAGAGAGAATGCGCAGCAGGCTCAATGACAAACATTGTTGTATCGAGTTCTTTTATCAGATGAGATTGTCTGATGGATCCATTGCGTTCAAAATTACCAGGCTGGGGAAACCCATTGGATTAATGGATGGATTCGGTGTCGGGATGGATGAGTTGAATTTTCTATTGTTTTACATCCTATCTATTGCACATGGTTACAAAGGAACCATCCATCCATGCCAATGTAGATGGCGATGTGTTAGTCGTCCTGTCTTTTTGCGCAGGTGCTCAAGTGCTCAAGTGCTTTAGGATTCAAGGATTCAATACAATATGTAGCAGGCTGGTGTTCTGATAGGCGCATGTGATTGTGGAGGTCAAGGAGGTTTCGTTTGGTCAAATTACTCTTGCACCGCATCCTTTCGTCCTCGACTCGACCACAGACCAAAAGACCACATAGACAACAACGATCCATCGATCTCCATCGATGGATCAGGATTGGGCCAGTGAGAGCGAGCCCAGCCACTTGGGAATCAATTTCATCGGTTTGGGCGGGCCCGCCACCACTAGCGTACCTCGCCCTCCACAATGCCGCAATCGGCCAATCTAGTTGTAGTAACCCAGCACATAATCATTGAGTAGTAGCCTTCTCTTGTTCCTGAGGGCCTGCGTTGCGTTGAACCCATTTGATTTGACATAATCGTCCGTCTACTCCTTATTATTACTTTCGCCCCAGTCCCCAGGTGGCCAACACGCTCCGGGTATCAAACCTTTCCTCACTCATCAATCTCCGATTCACGATTTTGGGCCTGGAGGCAGACAGCTGCCTTGACCAGGGTGTTCTTTCAATTGTTTTTCTTTTTCCTACCGTCTTCCATTTCATTTCTTCTGCCGCTTTTATGACCTCGCCCCACCTATCTATTTCCTCAGGCCAAATCGTCCAGCAACAGCAGCTCCTCCAAACAGCTCGTCACTTCCTCGGCTCCGAGCGGCATTGCGGGGAGCCTCACCTTCACGCTTCCATCGTTCGAAATTTCAATAGCGGACCGGTCGAATTGACGGAGCGTGTGGATACATAATTTCTATCATTACTTCAGCACTCTGGGGCCGTCGTCGTTGGCCGTTCAACGTTAGCTTTTGGATCGCACGATCAGGCACCCATCATGTCGGACCAGCAAGTGTCCCTGCCTTTTCTCATCGTCGTCCTCCTCACCATCGGGGTGGCCACCCGCTATCTCTTTTTCTCATCCCCGTCTTCGGGCTCGAGGCAGGGCAACAACCCGAGAAACAATGCAGCACAAAATGCTAGCGCGATGCGGCTAAGAGAGGTGGCGGCGCAGAGGATACAACAGATGTTTCCCCAAGTCGATCGGAGGACGATACTGTGGGATCTACAGAGGAATGGAGGAAGCATCCAGGCGACTACGGAGCGAGTTTTGGCGGGGAGGCTAGAAACGGTACGTCGGCGATTTTCTCCTCCCACCTCCTACAGCGGTTTTTTCTTGCCTCCGCAATTGTCAACGAGAGTTGAGGGTATATACTAACTTTTGTGTCTCGCAAAGCCCCCATTACCTTCCAGCCCGCGCCTCCCCGGATCCAACCCGTCGACGAGCACAGGGGCGCAGCAGGCGAAGCAACCCGAGCGCCCCAAGCAGCCCGACTTGATTACGCGATATAACCTGCAGAACAAAGTCACGAGCGAATCCAGCGCAGATATGGACAAGAAGAAGGAAGGTTGGAGCTCGAACAAGGATGAGAGGCAGGCGCTTCTGAAGAAGAGGAGGGACGAGATGATTCTGGCTGCGCGCCGGAAAATGGAGGCCAAAATTGTTGCGGAGAAGACAGCGTCAGGAGACGCGAGTTCTTGAGGGCCTGGCTCAGCTAGCCATGATTGTTCGGAAGCGACCACGTAGAATGCCACGGGTACGATAGCCTTTGAGTTTTTAGAAGGTAGCGGTTGAATGTGATTCTGTTAAGTCCCCATCATGGAAAACGGTGCCAGCTCTTCAAGTCGCTGAAGCGTTCATCATTATGAAAGCGGAATTGTTTGCAACTGCAATTACTGAGAAAGAAAAAAAGCTTTTCGGTCATGGGTCCTTATCATCTCGAGTATGCCACCGAGTGCCTCTTTTCTTTCTCTTTTCCCCTTTGATGTATGATTAACCTCGCAATTTATCCCTTCTACAAGTAGTGGTCATGGCCGTATGCATTATTAGGATATGTGTCGCAGTGTGTGTGTCGCGCTCTAACGGTGTTGGCGTGCCAGGGCGAAATGTGAAATGGGGGCAATTGCGAGGCATTATATGGCCTTGACGTCATCACAACGGTGACGCCAAAAACAGTGTGCCCAAACAAAAAAAAAGAAGAAAAAAAGAGAGAGTGAGGGAAAGAGATATTAGAGAACACCAGCGGGCCAAGGCTGGCCGGGGTGTGGAAAGCCCGCCCATGTGAAGATTGATGCTAGTCACCTTGATCATCCGGCTGACCATGGGGCGGTGGCGGGGCATTCTTTGTCCAGCAAGGCTTTATTGCCGGGTTCCTTGGGGCACGACACCATGACTTCAAATCCAAGAGGGAATCAGGGTCCATTCGTGTCGAGACCGTGGTTCTGTCGCGCAACCTCCAAGAACCCCCTGCCGCTTCTAGGTCTGCTCATGGTTGCAAGGCGGGGAAACAGGCGGGCTTGGTCTTCCCGCCGCAACGACGGGATGTGTGTCTTGAATGTGCTGCATTGCATACATGTGCGCGGATGTGTGCATAGATTCACAGATCCATTGACGGAACCTACAGTATTGAAGTGAGTCAGTCTAAACATGAAGACTCAAGAGAATCGCACGGGCATATCGCAACGGTCTATGGGGCACTCGAGCTGTTGAGGATCAGAGTGTAATATTTCGAACTGCTTGCTTGAGGTTCCATAATAACATACCGGATATGCTATTCTGGAATGTGCCGACATGTAGTGTATGTACTTGATCAATGTACAAGTATCATTGATCAATTGTTTGAAGCACACATTCACCCCACTTATTGCCTGGAGCTCGCAGCTGGCCGAGTTTTGCTGTCCTGGTGGGGTATTTTTGTCGTCACTCTGGACAACGCCCACCCGCTTAAAGAACCAAACACCCCAGCCTAGACATCGTCGTTGTCGATAACATAGATCAATTACATTATTAGTGGATTATTACACACCTTCGGGACGCAGTCTGTCAAAGGGAAGTTCAAGCACTCGCCGCCAACATTACTCCGCTGCCTACCCATACCTCGCTTCAAAAAGAGCCCTTGAGTTGGTCCAGCTTCACGACGACGCCCACCGCCACCCGAAGATGCAGCTTATGGGCTGACCTGCATATTCTCCCGTACCCTTTGGCTCATTCTCCGAACGTCGCGCGGTGTTTGCCGAGTAGTATCTTGTTCTTTTGAAAGGCTAAACTCTCGGGGTTTCTCACGAGTTCATCAACGACTGTGTCCTATATCCGTGCCTTGTCCTGTCTCTTCATCCAGCAACCTCGCTCAAAGCCCAAACGAAAACAAAAGGAAGAAGGGTTTGACTACGAAGAACACCAGGGGTTTCGGTTGGTCCTTGCCCATTTTCAGGCCTATCTTCTAGTCTCCTGTTTTTTCTTCTTCTTTTCTTCTTCTTTTTACTCCGCAGATCAAAGCTGCGAGCCAGAGTGGTGGATCTGCCGGGACGACAAGCAAATAGCTAACCGGGAAGAAAGAAAAAAAAAAAAAGAAGAAGAAAGAAAAAGCGCTACAAGGGAAAGAAAGAAGAATTTGGAGCAAGAAAAAGGAAAGAAAAAGAAAGAAAAGGCGTCCAAGGCGCTGTGGACGGGTTAACTAACCGGGCCAGGCCAGGCTCCCTTGCAGTGCCTATTTTTTATTTTTTGCCGCCCGCCTGTTTTTACATCCTCCTCAAAAGGCAGAAAAAACAAAATAAATACTCTCACTGACCGCAACACCTTCGGAAAATAACTGAGGCATTGGCGAAGCCTTCTATGCCACCGCGCAACCGGCCTTCTCCGCCCTACAATTCCACGTCACGGTTGCCTCCTCCATTTTCACCAATCTTTCTTACCGACGCCCTCCCCAACTTTTGCGCCCTGGCTGCCCAACGGGCACCTAGAGCCGCCCCAGCTTCCGCCTCACTCTGGTCTAGCTGGAGGAGCAAACTTGCGCGCACCTACCCTCGGCTGAATGAACCTCACCGGAGCATCGCTGAATCCCATAACGAGAAGCCATGGCGTTAGTCTACGAAGCAGACCGGGATTTCTATAAACTTCTCGGCTTGCAAGATCCCAACAATGTAACGGAACAAATCGTCAGACAGGCCTATCTGAAGTGCGGTACGTGGACCACATTTGATCCCCTCCCCCACCCCCACCTAGTCGACCAAGTCCCAACTGATCTTTTGTTGTGCAGCCCGAAGAGCGCACCCCGACCGAGACAGGTCCAATGACGCGGCGACCGAGAACTTCCAGGATCTCCAGCAAGCTTACGAGATCCTCAAGGATGATGCGAAACGGCAGAAGTATAACCGACTTAGACTAGAGACCATGCGCAAAGAAGATGCTAGGAAAAGAGAAGAGGATCGGAAAAGGGCCAACGACGAATTTCACCGAGGTAGAAACCGGAGGCGTGGCGCCGGCACGGCCGCGCAAAAGCAACAGTTCGGGCCCGAAAAGTACTTTTCGCATGACTGGGCCCCGAACCCTCCAACAAGCCGCCTCCGGGAGCCTACTCTGCCTGGGCTGAAATGGGGTAAGCTGGGCCAGACATGCGCCCATCCAATGCTATATACCCTTGTGCTAACCACGAGTTCCGCAGACGCGCCAATGCGAGGAAATTTGGAGAGACTTCGTCTACGCAGTCCCGAGCTCAAAAACAGGCCCCGGAAACTAAGCCGCGTGCTCCAACCAGCAAAACACCACGTAAGCCCGCGGCGGCTCGAGCCGGATCGTTCGCGCAGTGGTCGAAAGAGCAGATGATGTCTGACGAAAGCCCCAAGAACGGGTATCGGCCGACTTCGACCACGGGTGACGAGCCACGGGCCAAGAGCAGCAGCTATGCCTCGACCCCGCGAACCGAGATACCCAGACCTCCTATGCCTGGAGGCGCATCTGACACAGATTCGGATCACCTCGAATCCATCATCAGGGGCCGTACAAGCGCACCCTATCAGAAAGCATTCGGAGAGAAGACAAACCCGACTGACCGACAGCCATTTGCCGCAAGCTCGGAGGAGGAGGGCCGCGGTCGCAGGCCAACTAAAGAAACAAGAACCCCTAACCGGCCTAGTAGAGCCACTGGTAAGCTCTTTCTTTTACCCCTTGCCATCCTACAAGCCTTGTGGCCTACCTTGTACAACTCTACAAGCCCTCCTTTTTGACTAACGTATGACCGCTCTTCACCTCACAGCCAACGGGGATACCAATCAAGCAAACCCTAACTTCGGGTAAGTCAAGCGTTCAATCTCTTCATTCAGCTTCACCCTTTTCGTTTTCTTCTTTCCTTTTCTTCATCATTTCTATTAAGAGGGGCGGGGAGGGTGTCGAGAGAAACCCCACTACTCGGCAATAAGTCTAACTCCATCGTTGATTTAGCTTTCCAATGAACGGCCAAGTCAACGGTGCTCCTCCTCCACCCATACCACCGCGAAACACATTCACCAGCCAGACCACGGAGGACTTGGGCTCCTCCTGGTTTATACCCAAGGACCCCAAGATCAACACCTTTCAGTTTACCGCAGGAAGCCCCGATACCGGGGAGCCAATGCTCCGACGAAGCAGATCAAGCGGCATCATCGGGCGGAAAGACTCCCTTCTAAACGGGCGAGGGCAACGGGAGAGTCGGCGGACAGGAGCCCGGCAGTAGCGGAAAGTCCGAGTGCCAGGTTTAATCCTAGTGACTGGACTGATATCGGGCCCCAGGCTTTTATCCCGCGGCCCAACGAGCGAACCCAAGTATCGCCAACGCGAAATATACGTCCGACGCTGAAGAAATCGACCGCCTCGCGACCAACATCGACCCCCGGCACGCTACCGTTAGTGACGAGGCGGAGGAGCCTACGGTCAACGTGAATGTCAAGCCAACCAAGCCTAGGAATTCAGGAGTTGGCGGAGTGGATAGCCCACTTGCTATGGACATTGACTCCCCCGCAAACAACGTCTTCTACACCGACGCAGGCGCCCCGTGCGAGGGCGATGCCTGTCGAGCCCTCGAAACCCGAGTGGCGTGCCGGGAAGCCCGGCGAGGCGAGGGCCAAGGCGGCTGTGGCTCACCACTCGCCTCGCTCGCCGCTAAAGCCCACCACTGGTGGATCAGAAGACACGGATGAGTTCCGCACCACCCTCCACGAACTCAAAAATGTCCCTCCGTTTGTTCCGTCAGGAACCGGATTGTCCTCCCTTGGGGACTTGAAATCAAGCTTGCCGCACACTAGCCTCCCCTCGGAGAACATACCGATAAAAAGGCGGCCAAAGTCCCACGGGTTCTAGAGATGCCTGAGCCTCCGACAGCACCCATATTCCCGGCACCTCTCGGCGCCAACGGCATCCGGCCCACGCCAGAGATTCTCAGTGCGTACCGCAGAGCCTTCGACACGTACATGTCCCACTGGAGCTTGTATAACTCGGCCATGGTCACCCATTTCCGAGAGCGGCAAAAGCATATCGCGGCTGCCGCGGCAGCGAGTGCCAAGGATGTCGTGGCGGAGAAACAACGTATCCGGGAACAAAAGGAGTGGTCGCGACAGGACCGCGAGGTGCGGAGGAGGTGGGTCACGGCATGTGACGACCATGAACGACGACTCGAAGACCACCTTGCTATCCTCGAGAAGATGACTATATGATGAAGAAGTTTGGTTCCCAGGACACAATGCTTTTTGTTTCGTTCTCCCCTTTCCCTCACCCCACTTTTATTAGCGCCTCGTTGCCTCCCCTTGCAAGTAAATCGGTTCCGCGATGTTGATAGATCATGACGTTTTTTCTTTCGTGATTTTCTTTTATTCATGACGGGATAGCGGGCGCATAGGATACATGGGATGCTTCTTGTTCTATTCTGTGTTGATTACCTTTGCGCAAGGTGGCTGGAGCGAGCACTCGCGATCACATCCAATTTGGATATCAGATACCCTCTCCTGAGTATATTTCACCTAGCAGGGCCATCTCCAGGGAAGGTTCTGCTGTTCCCCTCCGCTGTCATCTTGTCCTGCTGTGTATCGTGTATCGCGAATTGCGTATACAGTTAGTCTTTGATTATTTCGATGAACGGCTCCAGAAGAAAAGCCGTAGGCATGCGTCGACTTGATTTCCCGGGCACTTTTGCGTCTCAAAACCATACCTGTATCCGGACGTTGCAAAGCCACGCGACCCCTAGTGATGTCTACCAGTCCTATTTTCTAGCCCTTATTTTCCTTGCTACAGCAGGGACTACAACCCATGGCTGCGCCTGCCTCCATCATTTGGGGTTTCCCAGGAGGATAGATCCGAGGATGTGTTTGGACAGAGCCTGGCTCTCATTATGTTGTGCGTTGATGAAACATTTGCCTAACTAGACCCTTTCGTGCCGCTTCACCTCGCCTTGCAGCAAGCTCTCTCGGTGAGATATCGGCTCGGTCCCCCTCGAACAACCTGAAATGAGTTGCACTAGAACTGTCTCGCCACTACATCACTCCTTCCCTGTTGAAGCTCTCGGCCTTGTTTGCTATATCCATATTGAGGAGGTTTCAGTGTTCCAATGAAGGAGGGTAGCAAGAGTGTGTTGGATCTCTTTATCAAATCATCCTATTCATAACCACCCCATCATTCCCATATCTTATTCATCATCCTGTTCAGATACAGGCGCCATCGAGTCACGTATTAACTGATTCGTTTCTCTGCACTCTGTTTTCTACGCACCTTGTCGACTACACAGCCGACGTTGGAGAGAAACAAGAGGCGTCTTCGAGACCGGTTGCGATTCTTTTAAAATCTCCAGGCTTTCCTTCGCCCTCTTTCTTCTTCTCCACGATACCGAATGTAGATTCTAGTTCCCCAGCGTCAAATTCTACAAGCATCGAAAGTCTTCCTCCACCGTACACCCCATCTTTGACCTAGCTAGGCCTACTCTAATCCCCACCATCCAGTACTTGCACCACATTGTAAGTTTTCTCTAGCTTCCAGTTCAACACACCTGCTCAGCGCATACATCTTGTCAAACACCTGAATTTGTGCGCAGTATATCCAATATACAGGGGAATTCAAGCTGATAATCTTCTCCGCAGGCCCCGACCCTGAAACGAAATATTAAAATGTCGGAATCCAAGTCTGGCGCGTGGTCCGACGCGGACAAGGTGAGATGATCTCCTGGCCTAGAGCATAAGCTGCCTGGTTTTCTTCCTCAAAATGTCCTCCCAGAACCAAAAAAGAAGAAAAAAAGGGACCAATCGAAACTAATATATCCTCTCGATACTCAATCAAGGCCCATTTGCTCATGGAAATTCTCGCCCAGTGGCGACCAACTCGCGGTCATATCGACTGGGACAAGGTGGACCTCAACGGCCGCACCAAGAAGGCCAACCAGCAAGCTTGGCACAAATTCATGACGGAGCTCAAGAACAAGCACGGCGAGTCCAAGGACAAGCAGGACCGAGACGTCGATGGTGGCGAGGAGGCCAAGGACAAGTGTAAGTTGGACGCTGCTTACACTAGAAGAGCAAGACAATAGGGGACATAAAATATCCGGTTCCCCGCCTCCGGCCCCCTTTCTCTCTTTCTCCGGCTTGGCCTCTCGACGCTTTACAAGATGGAAGGTGAGAGCTGACGACTGTCACTGTATCTTAGCTCGCAAGCGAGGCGCCGCCAAGGGCAGAGGCAAGGGCAAGGGAAAGCTCGAGAGCGATAGCGAAAGCGAGGGCCCGGGCTCCCTTACGAAGCGCGCCAAGATTGAGGTCGTCATCAAGCAAGACGGCGATGATGAAGACAGCAAGGCTTTGATTGCTACCCCTGTCAAGCGCCGTGGTCGGCCTCCCAGTAAGTTGTAACACTATTCTCTTCACCCTAGTGCTGGCTTTAATCGTTGTTATACTTTTCTGGGACCCTCCCTTGTCTTCCATTCTTTGACAGGACACTGGGATATATAATCTAACTGCACTGAAAGAAGCAGGTTCGACTAAGACAGCCACGGATAGTACTATGGAGGTAAATAGTCCTACGCGTTGCGCAAGTGAAGGGGCTAAACAAAACTAATATCAACACGGGAAAAGGGAAACGAGGTCGTTTGAGGCTTCATAGCCGTGGGGGCTTACAGCGCAGCGCTCTGTCACCTGCTGCGCGCGGTAGAGTTCAGGAAGGGCACACGTTTTGTGCAAGTTGGCAGTACATGTCGTAGATCCATTTGATGGCTAGGCTAGATGAATACACGTTGCCGCTGAGATGGGCTGCCTTTCGCTCTTTGTGCTCCTCTCCACCCATCTCTGGCTCTTTGCCAACGTCTTCTGTTTACATGTGGCTTTGCTTTTGTGTGCGGCACGATCCATACATGTAGACTTGGAAGAGAGGATTGGCGGGGAGAATAAAAGGGGCGCTCTCAAGGTGGGTTATTGCGGTCACGGAGTATGTATGGTGAGTCTACGTGTATAATCGCATTACTAGAAGGTGCACCTCTTTGTAATAGGCTATAGATAACATCCTCTGAGCCACGTAAGGGCTGGAGCTGGAGGTCTTTTCTTGACGGTTCAGTGAAATTGAATCATTCTACAGGCCGAAGCCCTTTGGGGAAGCGGAAACACGACCAAATCTCATAAAGAAGATGAGAAGCGCATATAATCCAAGACTCCAAAAGACTACACAAACACACTGTGTGGAAACGTGCGAGGAGGCCAAATGGATTTCTCGCCAGCATCGTTGCTCGTTCAAGGCAGGGACACGCGGCCTCAGACGCTACATCCATCCATGGATGGATCTATTGTATATGTCGACTTGGTGCAGCTGCACGTTGGAGAAGGCTGTCAAGGTGATTTCGTCACGCGCGTCTGTTTTCTTTGCCCCTCCTGTGCCTTCTACATGTAGGTTGAGAAGTCAAAAGAAGCGACGTTGGGTCTTTTTCGTTTTTGCAAAGAGCCGCACCCGAGCGGGAGCTGCATCAAGCTTGATTGTACTCCAGGTTATGTCGTATTTTTTTCCTGCAGGAGCCGACGGGCAGGAGGAGCAGCGAAGCACCGGAGCTTGGGACCTACCAAGTGATTGCCCGCATGCATGACATTCGCGAGAAGAGGTCTCAAGCTACCACCGTTGGGCAAATGGAAATGTCCGCCTTGACCTGGAAAGGGGAGGGTGGCAGCCTGGCCTGTCCGGGGTTCCTTCCATCTCACCTCTGGAGGGGGCAAGAGGGTGCTTCCGCAGCGGGCGCCGGGGACGACTTGCCTCTCAGTTTTGATGGGACCTATAGGCGTCTACCGAGGTACCATGCATCGGCAATACGGGGACCGTCACAAGTGTGAAGCCACATCGTGGGTGGTGGTGGGGGTTTGAGGCAAAGCTGCATCGAGGGGGCCTAATGGACGGATGGGGTGGAGGGCAGCTGTTCCACATGGGCTGGGCGGGCTTGGCTGGCCACACCCACTCGGGTGCCAAAGATTCGATTTTGGAGCTAGATCCCGCGTCGGGAGTGGGTGTAGGGCTGCTACGATGATGGGCCTGCTGATGACAGGGGATGACCATGCGACTACGTCCATGGCAAAGGAAACCGGGAAAGGGGACTAGAATAATGAAGCGGATGTGGAGAATGGGCTGCGTTCGAAGATCATTTTCTATCGGAGAGATCTATGGATGTGTAGACACGATGATCACATGGAGCTGGCAGTGGCTAAGAGAGGTTCGAAATCGATATTTGTCGAGGTGAACACGAATAGGGAATCTTCTATTTTGTGAGAAAAGAGAAAAAGATTATCCTGTACTTGTAGTTAAAGACTGGCTATAGGTACGAAGATTGTTGGCCTACAAGTTGAAGCAGACCTGTGATCGCGATATGTTATTTAAAGCTGCATCGAGTAAAATACGTGTATACATGTAGACTGCAACACCTCAAATTCGTTTGATGGATAGGCCATGGGCCGAGCCAGCCTCGCGTTTCCCAGGTCACAAGCTGACCCAAGTTCCCGGGCTCTGCTACACTTGGACCAGAAGAAAAAGCTCCGAGCTTCCGCTGATGGAAGATGTTCTAATTTAGGAATTTGGCAATAGGCTGAAAGTTTTGAGGGTATTGAGGGGCAGCTGATAGCTTGCCTTGATCTACCGAGGTACAGTGAATAGTTTCAACGAGGCGAGGCCCAAGTGATGAATCCTTGGGCGAGGAAGGGCATCAGAGCTACCGCTGACTCTCATGTTGTGCTTCCATCCAGATGTATTAGCTGGACGAGGTTGTAACGAGTGATTGGCAGACAGACCCGACGCCATTACGTCCATCGAGCATCAACTGGGTCCATACATTGTGGATGTATCCGCACATACTTGATATACATGTGCAGTAGGAAGCAGAAATGTTCGAATTCGAGATCTGGAGCAACTGAAGCATTGGTGACCGAGGTCGTTTCAGCTCCATGAAAAGTTTAGAAGAGTCCAGCACTGAAATAGTACTCTCAAGACAATGGATCTATTGTCATGGAATTTTGGATCCAGTCATCCATCTCGATCAATCCCATACGGATGCATGGATCCAATGGTGATCCACGGTGCCGGGAAGTTGGGGAGGCAAGGGAGGAGAGGAATGGCCTGTGGCCCTGCAGCCCCACCAAACAGAACATCTCCATCAATTGATCGAACGTTGAAGCAGGTTGCACGGCTTCCAATGAAATGCAACATTGAACATTGAAGGGTTCCAAGTTCCAAGTCGCACGGGTGCCATCATCAATTTCATTCCAGCCCATCACAGGTGCAAAAGTACTATGGAGTCGTCCCATCAGTCATCTGGGGCTAAGTGGTGAATTCTCCTCCCAGTCGAGGGATCAATGTTCTTTGGATGGCCCTGCTCTGTCGCTGGCCCCGTTTTCGACCCATTCCGTCATTACATGTACCGATTCCGGGACCCCTGTTTGGTGTCTCAGTACGGATCCCTTCGATTGAATCATCACGCATCGCTGATACTTGTAGAATTCCACCCATGGAAATCGCAAGCCTCAAGTGCTCCCAGTCCCTAATAAACTTGTCTTCTCGACTTCTCCTATCCTCTCTGGTCTATTTTAGAGTTAGAAAGAGATATCTCTTCGGCTTGCTTTACATTGTGGAAGCACCGTTATCGCCCAACTAGTGTAGACGTCCTTGCACGTTGCGAATTTTTTCCGTCCCGCTGTCTTTTTTTTTTTTTCTACTTCTTTTTTTCTTTTTTCTTCGTCTACTTCCTCAACTTGGACCATCACACCCAACATTGAAGCCTTTGCGCTCTGGAATCTCGCCCTTCACAACTTCAAATCATTCCTTCCCCGTTGGTGAGTCGCTCCCACCCTCCATTGTCGCATAGTGTATATCTCCTAGTCATCCCCTTGAGTGTTCCCCTTTCCTGGCAAAAGCTTCGTTTGTCCCCTTTGGCCAACCTATCAAAGGATTCATCACTCCACAACCTTGCGCACCACATCCTGGCTTTTGCTTACCCTGATATATATACGCTAGTTCGTCCCATCCTTGCGCTGACACCCTCGCCCTCAGCCTTCTCCTGTCCACACCCACATTCCCCGCGCCGCAGCTTTTTATCTTTTCGACCGTCCTCCTCGCCCACCTGACCAGCTTCTTGGCTGTCCGTGTGACTGGCGCAACACCAAACCACCCTGGACCCTGGACCGGAAAGCTCTTCGACCTCACGACCCATCCTCTTCTCGGCGCGCGCGCGACCAACCTTCCCACCACCAACCACCCCCTTCCCCGCCCCCGGACGACCCTCTCCGCCCCCCTTTTGCCCTACCTTTTCTCTCGTCCCGAATCCACATACGCGACGACCGCAATGGCTACCCGAGCGAAGAGGAAGGCCTCATATCCGGCTGACGCCCGGCCCCAGAAACAACACCGCTCCTGGAACGGCAAGGTTTCCGCCGGCGACAACACTCCCGACGGCGAGGTCGACAACAACCATACCTACGGCCCTGATTCAGATTCCGAGATGGACACAGCAAACCCTTCACAAATCTCCGCCATGCTCGAGCTACCCCACGATTCCCTCGAATGGCAAGAGACCATCGAAAGGGTAGTGCCCACCGTCGTTTCCATCCGGTTTTGCCAGCCATGCTCCTTTGACACGGAGTTTGCTGACACTAGCGAAGCCACGGGCTTCGTTGTCGACGCCGAACGAGGGTGAGTGTGACAATTCCACCCCCTTTTCCTTGTCTCCCTCTTCCTTTTGATGGGCATTGCGATGTGGTGGAGGATGGGAGAGCGATGTGATCCCGGGAGCGGGGAATTTCCGTCTTGTGAAGAGGCTTCCCTGCGAAACCCTCACTAACTCATGTGGGTTCTGCCTAGATATATTCTAACGAATCGACACGTCGTCAACGCCGGTCCTTTCTGGGGATATTGCGTGTTCGACAACCACGAAGAGGTTGATGCCTACCCCGTGTACCGAGACCCCGTTCACGATTTTGGTATCCTGCGGTTCGATCCCAAAGCTATCAAGTATATGCCTGTGACGGCTCTACAGATTCGTCCAGATCTGGCAAAGGGTAATGAAACTCGCCTGGGACTCATTTTGGTCCATGATACACCTGCTAACGTGAGCGCCCGTAGTCGGAATCGAGATCCGTGTGGTTGGTAACGATGCGGGAGAAAAACTTTGCATCCTTTCCGGTGTAATTAGTCGACTGGACCGAAATGCCCCCGATTACCAGGAAGGATACAGTGACTTCAACACGTGCTACTACCAAGCAAACGCCGCCGCGACGGGCGGTAGTTCCGGCAGTCCCGTCGTCAACATCGATGGCCATGCCATCGCCATTCAGGCTGGCGGCCGTACCGACGGCGCCTCCACCGACTACTTCCTACCCTCGACCGAGCCGCCCGAGCCCTGCGCTGCATCCAAGAAGGCAAGCCCGTCGACCGGGGCACCATACAATGCCAGTTCCTTCTCAAGCCCTTTGACGAGTGCCGCCGCCTCGGTCTCTCGCCCGCATGGGAGGCTTCGGTTCGCAAGCAGTTCCCCACCGTGAACAGCGTACTCGCCGCCGAGATTGTGTTGCCGGAAGGCCCTCGGACAATAAGATTGAGGAGGGCGATGTCCTCATCAAGGTCAATGGCGAGCTTCTTACCCAGTTCATCCGCCTCGACGAGATACTAGACGACAACGTGGGCCAGATGATTCAGCTTCTCCTCCAGCGAGGAGGTGAGGACGTCGAGGTCGAGATTGAGGTCGGCGATCTTCACAAGATCACCCCCGACCGCTTCCTCACCGTGGCGGGAGCTCAATTCCACGATCTTTCCTACCAGCAAGCGCGCATGTACGCTGTTGCCTGCAAGGGTGTCTACGTCTGTGACGCGACGGGCTCCTTCCGGTTCAATGGTGCGGAGAATGGCTGGATCATCGAATCGGTTGACCACAAGAAAACGCCCAACCTGGACGCCTTCATCGAGGTCATGAAAGCCATCCCTGACCGCGCCCGCATAGTCGTCACGTACAAGCATCTCCGCGATCTCCATACCCTGAATACCTCCGTCATCTACATCGACAGGCATTGGTCTTCCAAGATGAAGATGGCGGTGCGCAATGACCAGACAGGACTGTGGGACTTTGAGGAGGTTGGCAAAGCCCTCCCCCGCGCCCCCGTCACGCGTTCGGCTTCCTTTATCCAACTCGAGCACACCTCCCACCCCGCCGTTGCCGATCTCGTGCGAAGCTTCGTGCATGTCAACTGCAACATGCCCCTAAAACTAGACGGCTTCCCAAAGAATCGTAAATGGGGCATGGGACTGGTGATTGACGCCGAAAAGGGCCTTGTCATCATCTCGAGAGCCGTCGTTCCCTACGACCTCTGTGACATCACCATCACCATTGCCGATTCTATCGTCATGGACGGCAAGGTAGTCTTCATGCACCCGCTCCAAAACTACGCGGTCGTCCAGTACGACCCTAAGCTCGTCGACGCGCCCGTGCAGAGCGCGAGGCTAGGGAACGGCGAGCTCGCGCAAGGCGCCGCCACACACTTTATCGGCTACAACCGTATCGGACGCATCGTACACGCCGCCACCACCGTTACCGAGATTACCGCCGTGGCCATCCCCGCCAACTCGGGTGCGCCCCGATACCGCGCTGTCAACGTCGACGCCATCACCGTGGATACCAACCTCGCTGCCCAGTGCGGGAGCGGCGTCCTCGTAGGGACGGACGGAACCGTCCAGGCCCTCTGGCTTACCTACCTCGGCGAGCACAACTCGTGTGCGTCCCGTGACGAGGAGTACCACCTCGGCCTCGCCACGCCCACGCTACTACCCGTCGTTTCCCAAATTCAGCAGGGCATCGTGCCGAAGCTCCGGATGCTCTCGGTAGAGTTCCGCGCGATTCACATGGCGCAGGCGCGCGTCATGGGCGTGTCGGAAGAATGGATCAAGAAGGTTTCCGAGGCCAACAAGTCTCACCACCAGCTCTTCATGGTTAGCAAGCGGACGTTTGAGCGCGGTCCCGCAGGCCGCAGCGCCCTGCTCGAAGGCGATATTCTCCTGACCCTGAACGGGAAAATCATCACCAAGGTATCGGAGCTTGATGTCATGTACTCCCATGAGGTCTTGGACGCCGTCATCGTGCGCAACTGCGACGAGATCCAAATGAAGGCCAACACTGTACTCGCCGACGATGTGGAGACGGACCACGCCATCTGGTTCTGCGGTGCCATCCTGCATCGCCCCCACCATGCCGTGCGGCAGCAAATCAGCAAGCTTCCCAGCGAAGTCTACGTTTCCGCGAGAACCCGCGGCTCGCCCGCATACCAATACGGACTCGCTCCCACGAATTTCATCACCCATGTCAACGGAAAACCCACAAAGGATCTCGATACCTTCCTCGCTACGATTCGGGAGATTCCTGACAATACTTGTAAGTTGGTTGCTCGTACCGGTTGTCCCGGGCCAATCTAATGAATGCCCTTGTCCCTCTTTTCTTGGTGACTAACGCGATTTTTCTTTTTCTTTTTCCTCTTCCAATTATAGACTTCCGACTCAAGGCTGTTACCTTTGACTGCGTGCCGTGGGTAGTGACGATGAAGAAGAACGACCATTACTTCCCCACGGTTGACTGGATCAAGGATGCCAGCGACCCTTGCGGTTGGAGACGAGTCACTTATGAGTCTGGGCAAGTCATTCAGGGAGATGCCGTAGACGGGGTTGATCCCGACCCGGCGAATGCCGAGGTCGATGCTGCCAGTGCGGAAGCGTAAGGATGGTGAGAGAAGGTGAAAGGAGGGATAAAAATCAAGTTGAGTATGAGGAAAGGAGCGAAAGGGGGGTTCAACATCTTTGAATGTGTCTCGACAAGGTTGGACGAGACGAAAGCCCACCTCCCCCACGTCTTCCATACGTCTTGCATCTTATTTGAAACGAAGCAAAGAAATAGGCGGACTTTTTGTGTTACTAGCACCATCTTGGCTGTACAAAAATAGGGAGGCAAAGGATATATGTATGGATCGCTACGAGGGGAAGGTTAATGATGTTGCCACATGCAGATAATGCTCACATTTTTCTCCCTCAATTCTCTCTTCTACTTTTGTTTTTCTCTTCCCTTCCCTTTGGGTTTCCATTAGGAACAAGATATCAATGCACCAATGTGCGAGGCTCTCCCATGCGTTGGAGACAAACTCGGCGAGTCATTGGCAAGAGAGATCAATTCTACTAACTGTCGGAAACACCCAATCCTCCCTTCCCGCCCAACATAAAGAACAGGGGGAGGTGACGTAGAGTTGGTTCGCCTTGAACATTTTCTTGCTATATGATGAAAAATACTTCTGTCGTGAGAGATACTCCTGTCCCATCCGGACGAGATCCCAGTAATACATGTATGCGAATGAAAAGGAACGCTAGAGCCTACCAGATGACCAAAACTCGTGAGAAATTATAACACCGACAAGCATTGCCGGATCCATCAGCTGGGAAAGGAAATGCAAGATGGCAGGAAATTAGAAACAAAAAAAGGGGGCACGGAATTGCTCGCGTGAAGAGAAAGTGTAACAAGGATGAAGAGGACGGTCATCCAAGCTTCTTCAGGGCAGCAAATCTTTGTTCTAGCTCGGTCAAGTCAGGGATGCCACCGCCGGGGTGGTCACGGGTGCGGGCTTGGACACGGCGGCTTTGGAGACAGACGCCTTTTGGGGTTGGATCTTGGGCACGGGTTTCGACTCGGCACCTTTAGGTGGAGCTTTGGGCGAGGGTGGTAACGTCTTCTGAAGGGAAGGTCGGGGGCCGGGGCCGGGGCCGGGGAGGGGAAGCGGCATCGGGGGACTTGGCTGGAGACGAGTCACTGAGAAGCTCGAGGTCGGCCAGGTCGTTCGCGCCGCCACCGCCGCCGCCTTCGTCGCCCGCGCCATCGTCGTCGTCGTCTACGTCGATGAGCAGGTCAAAGTCATCCTCCTCGGTCTGCTCGGGGGCGGATAGCCGGCCGTGGGGCCAGTCGACGTTGTAGGCCCGGGCGATTTCCTCGAGGTAGCCGTCCACCAGCTCGGGTTTGGGGGTCGACGCCGAGGCGCCTGACGACCTTGTCGCTGACGCCGCCCGCGACGCCGTCGCCGGCCTTGATGAGGAAATCCTTGCCAAACTTTTCGCCAAACAGGGTCCTCAGGACGAGGAGCTCCTTGATCTCGGTGCGGGTCGCGGCGTAGATGAGGCTCTTGACGGCCTCTTCGAGGCCCGGGTCGCAGACGGGGCGGCGGCGGCGTTGCCGTGGTTGCCGTGGCCGTGGGGGAGCCGGGGCTAGTGATGCCGGAGGCGTCGAGTAGACCGAAGCGGGCGAGGAGGAGCTCGCAGTAGAGCTCGAGGATCTCGTGGAGCTCGGTGAGGATGTCGGCGCGGATGATGGACTCGACGCGGATGCGGGCGCTGTCGGGTTTGCGGGCCTCGAGGAGCTGGGCGACGGTGCGGTGGGAGGATTTGGTGAGGAGGCGTCGCGGGACTGGACCATCTTTAGGCGGGCGACGGAGAGCTTGAGCTGGACCTTGAGCTTGGTCTATAGAATGTTTGGGATGTTAGTCTCATTTTTATTTTTTTCCTTTCCCTTCTTTTTCTTTTGCTTTGCGAACGGCGTAACATGGGGCGCAAGGTTTGGGGAGCGCGGGGTAATGGTGGGAGGCGTACCGATAATGGAGCTGACGGAGGCGGCATCGTGGCGGGTGGTTTTCGCGGGGGAGGAAGGAAGGATTGGTGAGGAGGACTTGGGACAGGTGCGGAGGGCTCTGGAGGAGAAGAGGTGGGCGAAGGAGAGGATGACCGAGAGCAAGGAGGAGGAGGGGAGATGGTTCGGCGTTGGTGCCGATAGCCTCGTGAGCTCGATGACGCTTTGTGCTGGTTTGGCGGGGCAGGCTTGCCAGGAACAAAGACTTGGAGCTGGAGTGCTACGTTAATTACCTTGGAGTATCAATTACTCCATTGTTCCAAGGACCGTCAATGCTGCCGGTGAGTTCGTTAGCCGCTTGACCCCGCTGTAGCCAGGCTGCAAGGACTGAACAGAGCCCGAGCCGACTGCTCCTGCCCCTACCCGCGTCGCTTAACTAATCGCAGTCGAACAGCGGTACACATTGATCAATAGATGGATACATTCATTCATTGATCCATGATTCTGGCTTTGAATCGAATCAATCGATTCTAGTGATACTTGATCAATGATGCATTGGCTACACACCCCCGCCGACGTTGCTGCAAGCTATGTTGGTTTACTGGGGACTGTGAGACCCACTGACCACCACACATTGATATGCAGTCTGCAGCAACCCCTGGCGTGGTCGTGTCTGCTGGCGTACTCATCCAGGATCCCAGCGCGGGCCACTGATCAATCGCCTTATTAAGTCGGGGTGGGCTTGCCGTCACCCTGGAGCCATTGAATCCGATTAATGAAATTCGGGCTCGGCCACTTCTACACATTTCACTCTCAGCCAAAACCTGGATTCTACCCCCGCGACGGAATTAATTGTCCTGAGCCGCCGGTTACACCGCATCCACACCTCACCCACTACCTCGTACATGTAGCAGGCGAGCAACGACGTCCCCTCCTCCGAAATCCGCGCGCCCCCGCAAGCCATCCGTCCCCCGCCACCCTCGCCTATCTCCGTCCCCCAAGTCGCGGAAGGGAACAGCGCACCGAGAAACCACCGGCGGCGAGAGAGAGAGAGAGAGAAAGAGAGACGGTGCGACGATGCTGTCCTTTATACTGATACAAAACCGGCAGTGAGTGCCATCTCTCCCTAATTGACATGGGGAAGGCGGAGTTTGACTGAGTGGGTGGCTTTTGCGAATCAGGGGCAAGACAAGACTGGCCAAGTGGTACGCTCCATACAGCGACGACGAGAAGATTAAGCTCAAGGGCGAGGTAGGCGTGCCCTCTAATCCCCCTCTTCCTACCTTCTCCCCCTGAGAGAGTTTCTCTCTCCTTTCCCCTCTCTCAACTCCATCTTCCATCGTCCTCCCCGCTAACACTCGCTGGCTGGTCTACAGGTCCACCGCCTTGTCGCCCCCGTGACCAGAAATACCAGTCCAACTTTGTCGAGTTCCGCAACAACAAGATTGTGTACCGCCGATACGCTGGTCTCTTCTTTTGCGCGTGTGTCGACACCAACGATAACGAGCTCGCCTACCTCGAGGCGATCCACTTCTTCGTCGAGGTGCTCGACGCCTTCTTTGGCAACGTGTGCGAGCTCGACCTTGTCTTCAACTTCTACAAGGTGTACGCGATCCTCGACGAAGTATTCTTGGCGGGTGAGATCGAGGAGACGAGCAAGCAGGTGGTGTTAACGAGGCTAGAACACTTGGATAAGCTCGAGTGATCCAACAGCGAAAGGAGGGACTGATGGCTGCTAGCCAACGAGGGGCAACATGAAATCGTGAGACGGGGCAGAGGTGGGAGCTTTTAATACAGCAGGCCGTTCGCGCGACCTGGGATTACGGTCGTGCGAGGGAGATGAGGCTCTTAGTGTTCAACACTGCCTTCTTCCTAATCTTTTTTGGATTGCCCCTTTTCTCATATACCTTTGGCAATGCTTAGTTTGGTGTGTTTTGGGGGCAGATCGGGGGATTGATATTACACCTTGCTTGGAAAAGTTCAAATTGTTTTCGGACTCGGGCACCACGGATTGCCCTTATATATATCAAGTATATGGCAGCGAGTAGCTAGCCTTCCTATCCGCCTGTTCAGCGCTTCTCACCGACCACGCGGATCAGCGTACATAACGTATTCGACCCATTCTTGCGTCCTGGCGAACGCGCTTTGGGCCCAAGCTGTTTTTGTGTCAACTGTTCGTCTATAAGACCCGAAACCTTTGCCTTCCAGAACAAGGTCGAGGCAAGGAAGAAAGTGCTTCTTGGACCAAAGTTATGCGAAATTCTAACCCCACTCAATTGTCTCGTAGCCCACCACAGCGCCTACCTCGCTCTCGCGTTCAATAGTATATGGCATTAGGGGTCGATTTCCTCCTAACCATCAAGTACTATAGGTGGAACAGCGATGACCTATTCATATCAATCGGCGGGAGGACAAAGAAGAAGAAACTCTTGGAAAAACAGGACATTGGTGGCTGAAGCAACGCGAACAAATGTGTGGCGGGATCACCAGACAGTTCCAGCGTCGCTCAGATTACGTATGTACTGAATGCGTTTATGGCTCCATTCAAAGTGGTCTTGGTGGCCGAGGACGGGAAAATCCCCATCTCGTGTTAGTGGCAATCGGATCCCGAGGTTGCAGCCAGCCAAGCTAGAAGCAATTTGATTGTCACCCCAATTGAAGGACAAGGGCACTAACGATAAGTGGGAACAGCCCAGGCACAATTTGCGCATCCCGTTTAAGTTTTTGTATCGTCATATGAGAAAAGGCCCGCCGACCTAGAAGACGCCTTTTGAATCGTTCATTCGCCGACTCCTTTGCTTGCGCCTGTCTTGCCTCCGCGTGAGATCCCTTCTTCGCCGCGAGTCCTTCTTTTGTTGGGGGCGCTTTTTTTCGACCGTAATTAAAGGATTTTCTAAACTGTATTCTCTGGGCTCTGATCACTCGCCATCGTTCGCCAGCGAGAGCAGATAGATCAAGATAGTCTTGTCCGTCGCCAACTTGTCACCCGCGTGCGCGCGTTCTTTCAACGTCGCCGGGCGCTGCTCCCGGTCCGAACCTTGGATCGCAATCCCGGCTTGAGACACTTGGATGTCCTCCACCACCCTCGCTCCGCCCGCGCGCCAGTCTTCCTAGTCTGCCATCTCTGTTTAACACGCAACACAGGAAGCGCCTCGTTTCCCGCTCCGTCATGGGGTCTTTCACGGCCCTGTTCCGCCAGACGTCGTCGCTTCCGAGTGTTCAGTCTCCGAGTCATTCTTCTACTAAGCGTTCCTCTAGCCATCCTATATCTGCCACCTTCCCATAGCCGTTACCCCCGCCGGCGGAAGGGCGCGAGTGTTTGTTGTACCGCCACGATGAAGCTGTCCGCAAGATTACGCGCGTCGGTGGAGGACCTAATTCGGCATTTTCGAGCCGAAAAGCGCTGGAGGCGCTTGCTCAAGTACAACCTGGCTTTGGCTACCGCCATTACTCTCTCCATCCTCCCCCATCACCAGGGCCTTTGGGACGAGCACCTACATGATACCCCTCCAGCTAGTCTTCGCCCCTCCATCTCAGCGAGCGGGTTCGCTGATTGAGAGCCAGAGCCTGATTCTCCAGGGCGGCGTCATCGGCGTTGCTTGGGGCGCGCTTGGCCTGTACCTCGCCGATCTGGTCGAAGACGGAAACCGTGGGGCCGCCCTGGGGATCCGGGCCCTCTTCCTCGGCATCGTCACCCTGGTCCACGGCTTCTTGCGCTCAAACACGCCCAAGCTCTTCGGCTTAGTCTACTTGATGCTCATGGACTCATTTGCCGTTCTGATCTCGAGCTACAACAATCTCAGCGTTTCGCTTGTGACCTCTATCCTGTACCCCACACTCACAGGCCATGGCATCATTCTTCTCTTTGGGTATGCCCTCTTTCCCGAATCTTCGGCGAGTTATCTCGGCGAGACCACCATCAACATCCTCTCCGACACATTGGATACCTTGACCGAAGCCTCTACCTGGTTTATCGCTCCCGAGAACGAGCTCGAGCACGCCCTTTCCAACCCCCTCATGAGGGCCCCCACCGCGGACTCTAATTTGACGCAGCTTTCTCACGATAGTAGAACTGCCGAAATCACGGCGCTTCCTCGCATGAGATCCGTCCTACAAAACCCTCTGGCGCATGTGCGCTGGGGGAAGCCGGACAAGAAGAGTAAGCAACTTAAAAATGAGAAGAAGGAGAAGAAGGAGAAGAAGAAGAAGGAGAAGGCGATGAAGAAAGCGTTGAATGATGACGCGCGAGTCGAAAAAGAGGTCAAGGAGTCCGAAAAGGACAAATCTGACAACGGCGAGTCGGAGGCGGAAGAAGAGGGAGAAGAAGAATCCGCTCTTGAGGCCTTGACAAAGGCCAAGGGCGATCTACGCCATACCTTGAGCGGATGCCAAACCGCCCAAAGAGAGGTCAGCTTCGAGCTCTCGTTCTCGGCCCTGCCCCTCGATGTTATGCGCCCCATCACGACGGAAGGCATGGCGAACCTCGTCCAGGAAACCATTCGCGTCGTGGGCGCTTGCGAAAATAAACTCGTCATGATCGAGGACGACAAGTTTGCCACCGCCCAAGGCGACGAGGGCCCCTGAGCGAGAAATCCGCCCCGCCCACCGCCCGCACCAGCATGGAGGCGCCCACCGACGCCGGGCCGGCTTCCTCGGGCACCCTTCTCCAGCCCCTCTACTACAGAACCCTGTCGACGCCGAAAGAAGAGTTTCTCGAAAAGCTAAAGCGCGTCAAGCCCGCCCGCGAGATGGAAGCCGGCGACGCCGATCTCCTCGACGGCCTCGTGAGCCGGATCAAGAAGCCAACAGAGATTTTTCAGGGCGCTCTCCGCGACGCGGTGCACTTCCTCATGGCTTCTTTAGCCTACTGCTACGACGTCGAAGAGCTACCCTCAGGCGCCAAGGTGCCAAGGGGCATTCTTCTGGAAGAAATAGACGTATTCATTGACGCCTTCGAAGATGCCATTGGCACCTTTGACTATGACACCTCGGACGGATTCAGGAGTTTACCGATAAAGGCGGTGACGACGAGGCCGAGGCCGCCGAGATTCTCCCCAGTTCGAGACCTTTTAGTCTCCTCGTTCCTCTTGGGTTTCCGTCAAGCCGCCATTCACATCCTCGAGATGTTGAGGTACACGCGATTGCTCGTGGAGGCTCGGCAGCGGCGAAAGGACCGTCGTAGGATCTACTGGCCCCGGCTGGCCGACTGGATGGAATGGCTCTATCTGGGCGGCGAGCACGACGCCATGGTCCTCCCTAAGGGAGCGCGGAGGTCTACCCATTCGGCCGCCGCCTCGACTCCCGAGAAAGCGCCCAAGACGCTCGATGCCGACGAACTCTCGCTCAGGACGGAACATTCCCTCATAAGGCACATTACCAGGGACACTGAGGCGGGGCGGTCCCGCGCTGGCTCCATCGCTAAGGAATCCCAGGCTAGCAAAAAGAAGAAGAAGAAGAAGAAGAAGAAAAAGTCTGTCAAGTTTAAGGATTCGAACGGGCTCAAGAAACCGTCGAAATCGAGCTGGATCATGACGCTCCGGGGCCGAGCCGCCGATGCGGTAGAGTGGGTGAGAGAGTCGGACGACGTCGAGTATGCTTTCAAACTCGTCGTCGCCGTCGCCCTCGTCACCTGGCCAGCGTTTTTGCCCTCGTGGCAGGCGTGGTACGTGGATATCCGTGGGCTGTGGGCGCCTCTTCAGCTCGTTCTCGTCTTCGAGGTTTCCATCGGCACGTCGCTCATCGTCTTCTTCATGCGTCTCGGCGGCGTCATTGTCGGTTGCACCACTGGTTATATCGCATACCTCGCCGGACACCACATCCTCGTGTTGGCCATCATCGTACAAATGCTCGTCATCATCCCTAGCGCCTACATTCAGCTCGAGACCAAGTATGTCAAAGCCGGTATTGTTTGCATCACGAGCTCCGCAGTCGTGACATGCGGTACGTTCACTCCCACCACTCTTTCTCTCCCTTTCCTTCTCGACTCCTCCTCCTCCTAATATGATTGCGTAAAACACATCCATAACTATTTTACCTTGGTACATCTATGCTAATTCCCTTTTCCAGCCTCATTCAGCAACTCCAAGTCCGCCGTCGCCATATACTACACTCGTCTCGCCTCCTTTCTCATCGGCGGAACCGTCGCGATCCTAGTCGAAGTCTGCTTGTACCCGGTCCGAGCAAGAGACCGCCTCATCCAATCCCTGTCCTCGGCCATTCAAGAGATTCTCCGCGTCCAGGGAGCCGTCTCCATCGGCATAGACGACCCGGATCTGGGCCACCACTCGGCCCGCGCCCAAGCCGTCTTCACCTCCTCCCGCAACCGGACCCGAGCGGCGCTCGCCGCGGCCGAAACCTTCCTCCCCTTTTGCGTCAGCGAGCCCCGCCTCAAGGGCGACTTCACCCCCTGGTCCCCGTGTATACGGAAATCATCTTTGTCCTCCACCAAATCCTCGACCGCATGGACAACGTGGTGAGCTTGCGCAACAACTACGGCTATTCCGTTCTCAGGAGCTCAATCCCTTGATCTACACGTACCGGCGCAACGTCGCCGGCGGCGTCACAATCAGCATCTTCGCCGTAAACGAAGCCCTCACCACCCGCCTGCCCCTCCCGCAGTTTCTCCCTTCCAACCGCACGGCTCAGCTCCGCCTCATCACGCGGGTTCGCGAAGTCGTCGCGACCCGCCGCCTACGCGACCCCACCGCCAACATCTCCCGCCCGGCGACCCCGACCTCGGACGCCTCTTCGCTCGACTCAGAGGAGCAAGTCTCCATCCGCCACAGGGTCCTCTCCTGGAACGCCGAGACCGCCGGGCAGATGGAGATCATCGAGTACATTGAAGAGCTCGTTGAGCTGGCCAAGCTCCTCGTCGGCGTCAACGCTTTCCGCGGCGGCATGCTGGAGAAGCCCGACCTCGGCACGTATATCCGCGGCGGTAAGCGCTTCGCCGACCCCGCGCCCGCGGCGCGAGCAGGCCAAGCCCAAGTCCGGGCTCAGGCGCCGGCTTTCCTTGATATCCGAGGATGCTGCGGCCAGCGGCGTCCAGCTTCGCAGGGCCGCCACGATTAGCGGGCCCGTTTCTAGATGGGTCCAGAGGAGGAGGAAGCAGAGCGGATTCCCGGGCTGGGGTAATCGGGGCGGCCGGGAGGCCAAAGAGGACGAGCCCGACGAGCCAGATGAGCCGGACGAACACCCCGAAATGGGCCTCGTGCCCAATAGTCTAAGGAGGGTGGGCTCGAGACTTCGAAAGGACTCGCACGTGTCGAGAAGACTTAGCAGACATGTTACAAAGGGTAAATCTGTTGAGCGGAGCGCCTAATGTCACGACAATGATGAACAGAGATGAATGAACACACATCAAGAGACGAGCCCTTGATATTGGATATATCCATAAATTTTCTTTTCTTTTTTTTTTCTTTTTACTCCTCACTTGTAGCCCCATTACATATACCCTCCTCCCGCCTTCTCACCTTCCTTCCCCTTCATAACCTACTTAAACTCACTTTATCAATCACTCCGAGGAGGAAGCATATCAGAGAAACAGTTAATATTAGATATAAACCTATATATATAGCAACTGAGCAATACGAAAGTGGACTTAGAGTAAACGAGACAGAATGCAGACTAATAGAGAGAACAATAAAAATCAAGCTGACCTAACACAGGCCATAGTCAGCCGCTCTTGTTAAACTCCTGATACTCCAGAGAATGAATCATCTCCAATGTGATTTGACGAATTGGAAAGGGTATCTATCATATCCCAAAGGGGGATTAAGAGGCAAAAAGAAAGATGAAACAAAGCGAGAACGGTAAGAAAAAGGAAAGATAAAGGATGACACCCCCTTCCGTGTTGACATAGAGGCCCTAATTGTGTGCGTTAAAACTAGAATCACAAGACACCATTAGAATTGCTTGCCACGGAATGGTGCGACATGGGGACGAAGACGGGGACTTGTGACCTACAATATTGAGAGTAGTGTGATGGGAGAGTCTTGTGCCGTTAAGCATGGCCCTTGACTTCTTGGGGCGCTGCTGCAGGCGTCTAAATGCCTCTGTGACGTGGCGGGGCTCGATGGGCGATCTGCCCTCGCTCGGGGGTCGAAGAGGCCCTGGTTAAGCTTCCGCTTCTTGGCGCCACCCGTGGCCTTCTCAACACCGCTTTGGGCGCGGTGGAGGAAATCCTCCTGCTCCTTGACACTGAGCGCGACCTCGGTCAAAGTTTGGACCATCTCAAAGGTCAGGAAACCGAGAATGTCAACGATATCGTCCGAGGGCTTGCTGTCGGTGACGATACCGAAGCCGGCCCATTCTCTAAAACGCTTGCTCTTGCGAAAGGTAAAGGACGCTTGGCGGTATTCGGACCACGTAACGTATTCCTCCTTCGTCATGACCTTGGTCCGCTCGTCTGCCTTTGGAGGCGCTGCAGGGTAATGTGGTTCATGGCCTCTTCCTCCTCATCTTCCTCGTCATCTCGCTCGGGCACCTCCTGGTTGTAGAAGGACGTGGGCTCCCAAGGCAGTGTTGTCTTGGTCGTTTTGATCTTCTTGGTTGAGTCGTCGACAGGGCCGCCGGGAACGCCACCTGAAGGATCCTCGGCGGCTCCCAGGTCGGCGTCACCACCCTTGTCGTCCGAATCTTTGACGTTTTTACGCACATCCTTCCAGGACAGAAAAGTCCGTAGGCGTGACACTTTGGCTTGATCGTGGCGGATCTGGAAAATCAAATCATTGATGCCAATCGACCGGGACCCTCGTCGAGCGGCGAGTTCTGTGCAGTTGCGGAGCTTGAGAGGACAAGGCGAGTAAGCTACGAGCCCGGGGTGAGAAGGGGCGGCCTAACTTCAACTTACCAGCTCAATCACCTGCTGCCTGACAATGTCTTCAATAATGCCCGTAGTTTCGACTGATGGTTCGGCCGTTTCGCCAGAGACATACATCATCTGTTGAAGAACCCAGGTCAGCCTTGCTCGGAGCCTCTGTTCCGTCTCTTCGCCATCTTCAAACATGGGAGACACGGGTGAGACGACAACATGCCCGGCAAAATGCTCTGAAAGACCGAGGACGATTTGTCCTACTGTCCCTGAAGTATCATGGGCACTCGCCCTTTTAATCTGGTCAACAACTCCCGACGAGCTCTCGTCTAAAGACAAGCACTGGCTGGCCCAAGGAGAGCCGGTATTCCTAGGCAGGGGGTACCAGCAATGGCAGGAATCTCGCAGGTTAGGTCGGCCGCCGGAACTACCATTCCATCCTCGCCTTGCGCGAAGAGACTAGAAGCCGGCGTATCCACGTCAAAAGAGGATGGGGTTGGTGGCCAGTGCAAGGATACTGGGGGCAAGAAATCGAAGGGTAGCCCCGGACCAAATCGTACGGCCATCCTCCCTCATAGTCCTGCTTCCCATCTAAAAGTAACCTAGGTGATACGCTCATAGTAGCCGACTAGACCGATTATTTTTCGAGAGCGAAGAAACCATGAGTGTGGCCAAGGGGATGAAGCAGGTCCCTACCGCGACGCGGTGATGGGCATCATAGATGGGAGCGAGGGTAGATAGCCCGTGAGCAGCCAAGGAAGGAGCCCTCGCTCCATGATCCATATGGAAAATGGCCGAAGCCGCCGAGCGCAACTTCTCGGGAGCTCACTGCTCTCCTCCATTGCCAGCATCGACGCTTTGCCATTCATGGCGGCGGTGACCTGGGTCTAGCCCGCTTCTCTCCCGTGGCACTCCGATGGAATAGGGCCTTTGGCTGACCGGAAGCGCAAAGGACATCTGTGTGGAATGATTTTAAGGCTTACCTGGCTAATCTCCTGCCGGTACTTATAATTCTTTTCTTGTGAGTCTCCCATGGTGGCGTATAGAGAGCCTGTACTCCAGGCAGAGGCTCAAGTTGGTAGGTTTAGTGGTGGAGATTTGTTACTCGAACTTAGTTTAGCAGAAGAGAAAGATCAAGATGGATAAATAGATAAAAAGGATATTATTCCCTGGCAGAAGTAACAATGGGCTTAGACGACAACAGGCGAGAGACAAACGATTATGCAAACTATCAACTTATTGAGGGCTGGGGAATCAATGGATGGCGTATGCTCTGTTCGGTGGCTGAGAGGGATCTTGCAAGTGATTGTGCACCCAGCCACACCTCGACGCGGCGGCGGTTCATTCCCCTGGCGCCCCCTCAAAGACCTCGGAGCCTCATTCTCGAAGTGAGGTGCGTGGCGCCACTCACGTGATCACGTGACAAGTGGTCTTAGCCACGGCCCGCCTGGAGGTCCTGCGATCCGCGTATTCACATTGATCGATAGAATCGGCTATATCTCTGTCCGAGAAGCCTTTGTCTCCATTTTCTTGACAAAAGTTGGTAGAGTAGGGCGAGAGATCACCATCATTAGATGATGAAATTTAGATCTAATTTTTTGGTGCCAAGGAGGGATGCTACAAGGGCGGGGGTTTACCAGGGCCAAGAGAATTTTACGTCAGGTATCTCTCTGATTATCTCTCCGTTTTTGGTGAGCAAAGGGTCTTATCAATCAATTGGCCGTCGCCGTTGCATGCCACCATTCTCATCACCCATGCTAAACCCAGCCCCAGTCCAACCCCACGCAACAATATAATGATTGGCAAGAAGGATCCACTCCTCCACCTCGTCAAGACCTTCCAAAGCATCAAGCCGGGCCTTCTCTTCCCGAGGTATCCACGACTCGAAGATGTCGTGGACGGTCAAAATTTTGACTGTGGAGAAGCCAGCGTCCTTTAGCCTCTTGAGCTGGTCACCTGGCTCCCTATACCTCTCAAGGGTCGGCATGCGGATTCGTCTTGCCGCAAGATTAGACACCATCATCTTCCCAAAGGCGTCATCGGGCCTAACTGCCTCGTAGATTAGTATTGCGATGTTGGGGATCTTGTCCGTAAACCACCTTATGATTAGCTCTGCCTCGGACGATTCAAGGTAGCACAGACAACACTCGGACACCAGGAGTGTGGGGATGTCGGTCCTTAGCCCGGGCACGCTCGACCTGGCCCCTTCCTCCCCGCCTGGATAAGGCTGCGAAGGTCAATCCCGTGGCACCAGTATTCACCTCCGCTTGGGGGTGCGCATTCCATGATCCGTGTTCGGGCTCCGAAGGGTCAGGAAGCACGGCTCGCAGCAATGGGATGGCCTGCACGGTACGCAGCTTTCTTGCGCACGCCGCGGGGAAATCTATCTCGTGATAGACGAGCCCTTTGTGCTGTCCCTTTGAAAAAGGCGGAATGGGCGAGTATCGCTACCCGCGCCCAGCGACACAATCTGGCGGGGAGCTTCGTCAGGGTTATCCGGCCTTAGGAAGCTGTCGATGAGGGTATCCACCGCCATGGTCCTCGTATACGTTCCTAGAGGACATCTAGGTGAGTGAAAATCCCTTCCCTCCTCTTCCTCCTCCCCATCTAGTGGAAACTAGTCTCAAGATCGTCTCTGCGCACCTCGATTGATAATTGGGAGTCGCCGACCACCACCGGGGCCATGGGAATCTTGAACAAAGAACCGTGTAAACGGGTCCTCGAGATACCCGAGGTCTACGGCGCTTTGCCGTGAAACGGCAGCATCGGTGTCGGTGCCTTGCACAATCTCATCTTGGTTTCCACGGCCAGATGAGGGACCACCACTGCCACCACCGCGCCCACGCCGAAAACCTCTTCCACCGCCCCGGATCCCCGAGCTTGGAGTAGGTTAGGCAGCGAGGGGCAGCCATTAAAAAGGTAAAAGCAACCTTGTGCTTATTTCTGCCTTTTGTTGAAAAACTTTCTTTTCAGATGAGAGGTGCGTCTTTTATCACTCGCATCCTCGTTTTGCCTGTCCTAGTGTTACATCTCATCAGCATCCCTATCTCATCTCGTTATTTGAGGTAGGTATAGCCATCCACGATGAGATAATAGAGGCCAACATACTCAGATTTGATGTCAAAGTACCTACAGGGGCAGCAAGCACTAGTGGGTTTAGGCTTTTCAATCGGTAGACGAACAAGGTAATAATAGAAGAAGGTGACCTGGTCGCTGGTGCGAAAACGTGCGCCAGAGGCTGATGGCGGGGGATGGATGGGTGTCACGTCTTCCTGCTGCAAGAGCAAGAGGCGGGCATCAATCAGTTTGATCGATCCGCTCAATAATTTTGATGGAATGGAATGGATGTATTAGGGAATATCCCCGCTAGAAGGAGTAGGATTTTGTGCGGAGCTGACGAAGCCTCTCACGCCGGTTTCAGCAGAACAAGCCGGCCTCTGGAGCACCAGATGGAATTGGGTCCCCTCCGAAAAGGAAATCCCTGCATATTGATCAGTTGAGGTGCGCTAGGAGCAGATTCGCGTAATAGTATTAGATTCTTGAGCTTCCCCTCTTCTGTGTCTTCTGTCGCTCCTCGCAGACAATACTACTTTTCCACTATGACTTGCACTGGTAACCCAAGTGTGTACTTGTCAAGCCACACTGTGTCATGGAATGGGAATCCACATCCAAGTCCAAATCCAAATCCAACCTTTTTCAGACCGAAGGACCGACCTTGAAGACTTCTTCTCCCGCTTAAACTTGCCAATTGATCCAACTGACATCTCGGGCGGGGGACTCTGAGGGTGGATCAAGAGATTATCGGAGCTCGGCATTTGATTGGGGTTGAGCTTTGAGGGTGGGTATCGGCGATGGGACCTCGATGGAGGCTAATGCCCACATTGCGCAGGCTCACAAGCAAACATCAAATGATCTCGGACCCATCTGAGAGGATTGTCAATTATTACATGAGCCTTCCTCCGGGGGCCAAGGGGGCTCACCACAATGTAGCGGGTAGCAACGCCGTGCTGAAAGGAGAAAAAGGAGGGGTGATGGGGTGTATCTTACTTCGTGCATCGATGATCAATGTAGCACAAGGTAGAAGAGCACATGAGAACTGCCGTTTTGACGGATGGCTGGCCTGAGCATCGAGCAATCCGTCCAGTGTTCCCGAAATCCAGTCTCCGATGCTAGCAGGGCGCTTGGTTCCTTGGGAGGTTAAGCATCGCTGACATGTCGGAGAGGGATCATAGACTCCTTTTGTTAATCGAACCATTCCACCTCACGCATCTGCCCAGCCCTTCATCGCCCAAGTTTTGGTACCCCCTATCCAGGCCCGATCTGGGGTAGGACAACAGCATCTATTGTGTTTGCCCCCTCAGTGATTCGAGTGCGCGCTCTGTTCAATACAGCATAGATTATCCGATCGATATCATGACCCCTGTCGGTGTCAGCAGAAAAGCGAGGCGTCCTGTTGCTCGTTTTCAGCCCCAAACCCGACCGAAAGGGAAAACCTAGTTTGATGGCGTCATGGGAATCAGGCTTGTCCTCTCTTTGAGGGTGCCTCCAGCTCAAGGTGCACTACACTATATTATTGACGGATCCCTGTGCCCAGAAATGAGAATGATCCTGACGCTACAGGTAGGTTTATAAGTAACATTACTTGTACTTGATTGAGAGCACTGTACTTTATATATTATGGCGCAAGAACGATAGAACGATAAAAATCGGAAAAGCATAAACAGGGTAATAGAGCGCCCCCTTTCAGCCTCGACTGGGTGGGATGTAATAGATCACTTGTTGGTTGTCTGAACTTCCACAGTCATAGCCCGGCTGACGGATGTCGCACTCGAAGCGCGGGAGCTGCGTCAACCCCCAAAAGGCAGCCACCTAGCACAGGAGGGACAGGGTATAGACAAGGAGAGCATGCAGAGGTGCAGTGTGGCTGCCGTGGACGGGGAAATCGGAAACTGCCCTGATGCCCCAGCCCCTGGTCAACTTGAAATGTAGCCAGCCTGGGAGGTAGTAGCAATAGGCGCGATTGCACACTGATCTTGTCGAGGAAGCGGCGGTGAGAGTGAGAATGAGATATTTCTTGGATCAACAAGCGACATGGGGGAACTCTAGCTTCCTCTTTTTTTTTTTCTTTCTTTTTTTTTTTCTCTTTCTCTCTCTCTCTCTCTCTCTCTCTCTCTCTCTCTCTAAGCCATGTTAACCATCAATGGTGCAAGTAGCATATGTGGTTTTAAGTCAACATTGCCGCCCAATTTCTCTAAACGGTGGTTGTTCCGACAATTGCTCAGTGTGAATTCTCATTTATTACATTTTGAGACCAGTCGGTATAATAATCTAACCGTCCCCGACCTTAATCGTTCCAATATGGGTAGTTTAGACTTCGTGCATATTCCGCGGCGTTGACTTGTCTCAACCCAATGGGCCAGCCTTTCTACATGTGGCTCTGGAGCCGATTTCCTAATAAGGACATCGCATAACACTTTTTTCCCTCTCCTGTTGCTCTGATCTCGTTTCCTTGTTCGGGTACCTCTATACATACTTTGAGATGACAATGCATCCATCCAGTGTAGTCAGCCTTATCCTCCTTCCTCTCGCCACGATGGACCCGGCTTAGGCCAACCGGCTGTCATGAAACGCTGAAGCACTTGGCTGTTATCTTCAACTTCACGCCTGTGGCTGACGATCGACTCACTCCCCTCCACTACATACATGGAGGCTGGAGGCGTGGATGTGTGTGCACACCCGCACACACGCACGCACATCGAGACTCAGTCACCCGCTTGCTGCTCTCCTACCCTCTGACGCACCCTTCTGTTGCTAGACCTGCCTAGAAGGTGTTAGCTCCGGTATTTTTTAGAGGGGAGGGGCCTGAGTAACCTTAAACAAAACAAATTAAGAAGAAAAAAATGGAAGAAGAAGAAAAGCCAGCGCCGGTACCGTATCAGAAGGAACAAGCAGGCATTTGTACACTATGTACACACGACGGCATGATGGATGAGAGAGACTGAGCCAAGCAGGCACCAGACATTGCTTGACCGGAATCTCCGAGAACCCCACAACTAACCATTCCCAAGAGAATGGAGACTACACTACACTAATAATACATGGACGAGGCAGGTATTATGACGTGTTACCGTACCAGACCCTGTCGCCCAAGGGTATGAATGCCGTCCTGCTGGCGGGAATTCTTTCGCAGTCGAGTATACACTAACCAAGTGGGTTGCTTACTGAGGGCGATCCTTCAGAGCTGGCTGGTGCGCGTTGGTCGAGTCCGACCTGTAGTCATGATCTAAGGAGTTCTTCGGCATCATCCAGAACGGCGACGTTGGACCACTATGCGGAGAGGCCGGGATTCATTTTCTTAGTCTTGTCTGCACTCGTTGATGGAATGGATCCTTCCATCGCTCCACGCTTGGTTGATCCATCAAAAAGGTCATTTCTTGCAGTTCGTTGATGGCATCTGATCGCCCCCACCAAAAGCCAAGGGACCAAAAGGCGCAAAAGTTTGTCTCGAGCGTCAAAGTACCTGCAAAATATGGCGCTCCACCTCTATAACGTCTTCTGACGTTAGTGCCTTTCAAAAACCAAACTGTTCTCCAGGCCAATCACAGTCAGTGGATTGTCAGCAAACCTCGCACCCCGGCCCCGGAGGAACGAGCACAACCGGACGAACAGGCACGAGTACATCGCTCTCCCCTCCCCAGTCTTGCCAGTGCGTGGCCGGGCTCAGTGACATTGATGGACTTGCTTGTCACTTTCCTCTTTTGCCTCGTCGCTTTCTCGCGCTTCCCCTTCCCTTGAGCTTCTGCCCAGACACTGCCCAGAGACTGGGAAAACAAAAAAGAAAAAGGGCGGACACTTGTGATCCAACCAGATCTCCTCTGGCCCTTGTATATCTCCACCCCCTGGCACACACTCATCTCGATGCCACACGCTTCCTTCCAACATCTTGCATTGATCGATTTCTTCCTTTCGACCACTCGTGGTCTCCCTAATCCTCAGCCCCAAGCCCTTCCTTACCTTGTCGCCCGAGGTACGGTCGGTACCCAAATTAGGACCGCTGCGATTGATATTCTTTCCCGGGGCGTTTGATCCTGCTCACCTGCAGCCGCCCCCAAATTCCGACTAGTGTTGAGCCTGAGCCTCTTGGTTGAGTGCTCTCTCAATCTCGTTTGAGGAACGAGTGGCCAGGTGTGCCGCTGTCCTGGATTGCACCGCACCATCTCTGTACCCCGGCCGATTCGACAACCCCTGCACCCTCTCTCCCTTTCCACAGAACCAACCCTGGTCAGCTAAAATCGTCAACGTCAAATCGTCTCCTTGACTTTCCACCAGTCGCTTCCACAAAATCGCTGATCCCAACCCTCCGGGAGCCTTCGTCACCTCCGGCTCCTTTGCCCACTCCCAGGCCACCACATCACCAGGCGCCACACACACATTCCCACGCACGCACACCACAGCCGCTCCCTTGCACCGTTCCGCAACGTTGACCCAAGAAGCAACTGGCACCCATTTCCCCGTTCTCGACCACGCATCCTAATTCAACTCCGGGGAGCGACCCAGACGAAATCCTCGACAGTATCCTCACATCCGCCCCGCCCGTCCAGCGAGGTGACGCTCCCTCACAAGCGAAACCCCGGCCTCCCCCTCCTCCTCCCACCGTCCCAGGGGACTTTTTTCTTATTTTAATTTTTTTCTCCGTCGACTGCATCATGCCTACCAAGGCGTGACAGTATCGCCCTTCTGCACACAACTCCCATCAGTTACAGGCCCGCTCCTGTCCGAAAGAGAAAAGGGGTCCAAACAGGACACCCAGTGACCGTCAGCCAGCCTTCACCGTTCGACCTCGTTCCGGTCCGACAGCCTGTTCGCACACCGTAGCTCTGCCAATCACTGCCCCTTCCGAGTGTCTTCTGGGAGTTGGCAATACTCCCGGCCCGCCACTCGTGTTGGCTGACACATCCCGAAAGGGCCAGAGCCCACAGCCATTGAAGAAGTCGTTCACCTTGCCTTTGCCTGTATTTGCCCCTCTAAAGTCTCCTTTATCCCTACCTTCCTGCGTGGTCTGAGCCTGGACAGGGCATTACCGTTTGCCTACGGCTGCGATACGCTGCCCCCACCTGTCTGCGCCCCGTTACACTGTGCTGTGTGCATGCGTGAGAAGGCGAGAGAGTCCTTCGATTAGGAACACGGGGATCAATCAAGGGTCCCCCTTCTCCATCAGATAAGCCACGCCCTTCTCTGCTTGACCGCACCCATCAACCCTCCCAAGGCTAGCCGCCCCGTCGACCGGATACCGATACCTAGTCAAGGCCCGCCGAGGGCTTACCCTCTTTTTCATAGCCCTGTAGGGCCTCTCGCTCGGATACTGGTCTCCGTCGGTTGTCCCAAGTGAACGAGTTTTGCGAACAGAGAGCCTTCGATTCGCCACAAACCAACCACCCTCCCGGCTTCCTTTCCCATCATCCTCCGGGCTTGTTTCGAGGAGCACGCTGCGAATGGCGATGTCTGAGGAATATCGGCCTACTTCATCGCGGGCCACGAACCAAGGCCTCCCCCTCGAACGGCTCTGCCTTCGAGACCGATACATGACAAGCAACGGCAACCCGTCGCCCAATCCCCCTCATCGAGCGATCACCACATCATCTCAACCCCACGCAATGAACCCGACCCACGGCGATGCGAGATCCGCTGGGTCACCGCCCATCGACAGCCCTACAAAACTTGAGGGCACGCCTTCCCGAGACCGAGCATCTCAGCAGAAGGGAGCGAACGGGAGCCAGACAGGCCAGGTTTGCAGGTAGGTGAAACTCAGACACTGCGTGACTGGTGCCTTCTCTTACGCCATTTTGAAAGGAGCCCTGATCAAGGTTGATGTGGCTGACAAGTTAAACAGTAACTGCGGCACGACCCGAACCCCCTTGTGGAGAAGATCTCCCCAAGGCGCTACCATTTGCAATGCGTGCGGTCTCTACCAGAAAGCGAGGAATACAGCGCGCCCGACGAAGCTGAATCGCACCGGTGCTGGCCTCCCTTCAGAACCCCGCCAATCTCCCACAAAACCGGCGGCTTCCTCGCCGGCGCCGGCGAAAACCGGGAAAAGCGTGAGCGGGGCGACGTACGTCGCGGCGGACCAAGCACCAACAGGAACCTGTCCGGGAGGCGGTCGCTGTAATGGAACAGGCGGTGCTGATGGTTGCAATGGCTGCCCTGCGTACAACAACAGGATCGCGAAACGGGCCCAACTCAATGTCAAGGGTCAAGGGCCTAGTTGTAAGGCGGCTGAGAAGGCTGTTCAGGAGCCCGACGAGTCCAGGCCCATTGATATTGCAGCCCTCAGGGCACAACCCCAGCACCCGAGCAATACTCCCATGGTTATTGCCTGTCAAAACTGCGCCACAACCATCACCCCTCTCTGGAGAAGAGATGAGAGCGGTCACACGATATGCAACGCCTGTGGTTCGTCAAGTCTTTTTTCTCTTTCCCTTTGACCCTCTTCTTCCCTATCCTTCCCTATCCTTCCCTATCGGGACATGTTAGCAAGGAGGCAATGTGAACTAACCCGCGGCAGGCCTTTATTACAAGCTCCATGGCGTGCACCGTCCCGTTACCATGAAGAAGCCAACCATCAAGCGTAGAAAGCGCGTTATAGCTGCCCAAGATGATACCGATAGCGTCGAGATGGAAGGCTCCACACGTAGCGAGGAAGGGACTCCCGAGCGCGGAACCATGAACGCCGACGGGTCCGTCAACCTAGGGCTGCGTAGGCGTCCCGACCAACCCCTCGCCATCGACTCCCGGTCAGGATACGCCATCCCCGGCAGCCAACACTCGCCCGTCCCTCCCACCGATCCCGCGGCCTATCGAAGCCCGCATGGTCCACAGCATGGTATCCCCATGTACGTCAATGAAGACAATCGACTCGCATCATTGGCATCTATCGCATCGACCGAAGAGCGGCAACCGTCCCTTTCACCGGCTTCATTCCTCTCTTCCCGTAAACGGTCTTTTTCAGCCACAGGGCCCGAGTTGCCGACCTCACCAGATGTTGCCCACGAGGCGAACAAGCGAGTAACCTCGATCATTTCCATTCTTAATCCTACCAACGAAAGCGCGATCGAGGCCAGTGACTACGAACATAGGAGGGACTTTTACCATTCAACCGCTAGATCACCGCATAGCGCGGCCGGGTTCACCTCTCATCCCGGACCACCAACAGCCTCGAGCAGCTCCCATTACTCGCCGAACCTACAGGCATATGCCCAAGAAGCGAGTTCGGAGAGAGAATCTGTTAAAGAAGGTCGAAGAGAAGCCATTCGCCGCGAAGCAGAGATGATGCGAGAGTTGCTCGCTCAGAAAGAAAGAGAGTTGGCCGAACTCAGTTGAGATAGAGTCGGCATGACATTTTTTAAACACTATCAAAGGGAACAAAACATGGGAGAGAGAAGCTTCAACGGAAATTATCACCGGAGTCGGAGTCTTTGGAACTAATGATGACGTCGTCAATTTTTTTCTTCTATTATATCTCGGATACCAGCCAGGGCAGACATCATCACGTTATAAGAATTTCAGGGGCCGAAACCAATATTCGGAGTGCGATACCGGCGCAAAACAACAGGCAGGCCAACCGCAAAATCGATTCCTCTTTTACCACCCCTTTTTCCCCCTTTCCCTCACTCTCTACCTTCCCCTCCCCCTTTCTCCGTTCCAACCATTTCTCCTCTTGCTGTTTGATTGCTTGCGCAAGTCTACACCATAATCTCGGAGTCCAATGGCCACTGCCGAGGGCGCCTTCTCTTCCCTTTCTTCTTCCCCTTCTCTCTCCTTCACCACTATGTATTCACCCCATTCTTGTTAGGGCTTTCTTAGACACTACTTGTCATGACTGATGATCTACGGGAGAAAAGGGTAAAGAAGGACGTCGGGCCGGAAAAAGGAATACAAAAAGGAAAAGAGGAAGGGAAAAGGGTAAGAGTAGCCCCCAATTACAAGGGATTGTCTTGTCTTATACGTACACATATATATATCTATATGTCTCTCTACCCTTTGAGGGTCACAATCAAGACTATCTGTCCGGCAACGGACTGTTCATACGACGCACTGCTCCCGCTAGGTTACGATGGAAGATGCTCAGGGCGGGGTCAAAGCTCAGCTCGAAGCCTACATGCGCCCCTGGTGACACCACAGAACGGAGCTTGAGGGAGTGACGTAGCAAAGTACATGTAGACTTGCAGTCGGGAGGTGCGCGATCAGTCGCCCATTGACAACATTGGAAAGAGTATAATCAGGGGCAAAGCCTGTGTCTTGCGACTACGACGAAAGACACTTGCTTTCAAACTATTTCTGAACATACTTTCCGCAGCATAGATTTGCAGCCCGCGGCGTTACCTAGTGCGTTAAACAATACAATGACGCTCTAGACAGCCGCCCCCGCCCACCATACTCTTCAGTTCATTCCGGATCTCTTACATGGATGACAGCTTTTCTTTTTAAACACAACATTGAATCCACAAGTGTACAAACCCGCAGTGTTACAAGTCAACTTGGACTCCGTTCCCGGGAAAACACGCCGTCCCGTCGTTGAGTGCCACCAAACAAATTCTACCCTGGCCAATAATGAGAAGAATAAGAGAAAAAACCCACGCTACGATGACACCGAAGCGCCACCACGGCGATCGACCAGAGCCGTGGGCTAGAGAGCAGGGCCCTCTATCCAGCGACGCCTACCAACAAGGAGGCGTCCGCAGAGAGTGCAAGCTAGATAGCGACGTGAAGCAGGCGGGCAGAAAGACTGCCGACGGCGGTCATCGCTGGGGAATCCAGCTTCCACGGCCCCGCGCTAGAATCCGGGTAGCGGACTTAGACGCCCTCGGCGCCCCAGCCGGCATCAGCCTCCCTCATGTTGGCGGGGGCTCGATCGAAGGGACGAACTCGAGGCCGACGTAGGCCAGACCAGTGAGGCCGACAATGGAGCCGGTGATGATGGACCAGACGCTGTTGCCAAGGATCAAGCTGCCGATGAAGATGTAGACTTTGAGATTGTTCAAGTGTTAGAGCGGGGAGGCGGCGAAAGCGAGAGATGGCGGCCTAGACAGGTTCTACTCGAATCAAGATTGGGAAACGGGGAGAATACGTACAAGCACCGCGGCCGATGAAGGAGAAGAGGAAGGAGCCATATCGAGAGACCTGGGGAGGAATCTGGAACTCTATTGGGGCAGTAGTAGACTCGGTTAATGCGCTATTCATCAAAGGCTTGCTAAGGGGTATACGAGGGGCAAGGACGAACCAAGAAGAGCAACAGCGGCGGAGAAGAGGATGAAGTAGACGGCGGTGATGGTTCTGTATGTCGCGCGTTAGTCGACAAAGCTCGGCATTCGCTTGCGGTAAGACGAAAAATGTAGAGAGAGAAAGACGAGGAAGCTCAATCGACTGTTTGAGCTCAATCAACGTACCCGTGCCTGAAAAACGATGAATGTGTCAATAGGTGGAGTCTGAAGCGAACGATGGGCGCACATGGCCAGATAAGGCACGCGCGGTGGATGGAAGTAAAAGGGGGTGGAGAGAGCGAGGTAGTAGATGAAGCAACTTACCAGGAGAAGGGGAAAAAGAAGGAGATACCACCCGCCAGCATGGCGGCGGCAACCACGAGGTTGACAATTCGGCTACATCACAAGACAAAAGCCCGCCATGGTTAGCCCCTTCGCACAACAAGGTCCAAGCTATCGTTGGAGTCGCACGAGGCCAGAAACCTACAAGATATCGGAGAACTCCATTTTAACGGATATTAGATGACTGATTCGAGATGCGATAACAAGGGGACGAGGAGGGAGGGGGTTTGTTTTCTTTGATGAAGACGAAAAATGGTGTTTAGCAGGGGAATTGAGATGGAGAGAATGTTTGATGGATTTCAAGTTTCAATGACGCGCGGAAAGGTCCAGCAGGCAACTGAATTTCCTTGCTGCGCAGACCAGACGCAGGCGGCGTGCCCGGCTCGGAACAATGGCAGGCAAGGCAGGATAGTGCAGAACACAAGGTGGGCAAATGGGGCAGCTACTTTGTCCAAGCTCCAGGAAGGGGAAGAAGCTGTCTCAGTGGCGGAGAGATGGGGTACCGGTACCTCAGTACCTTGTGCTTGATTCTCTCTCTTCTCTTGGCTCAGAAAGCGATTTTGGGCAGTGCTCGATCAATTGATTTGCTGATGGCTCTACAGGGCAGCAGGGATCACGACCCAGTTGGAACTTTAGTATTACTCGTGTGCAAGTCTTGTTCAAGCAAGCAGCCAGTGACATGCAAGTCATTCTGCTCGTCTGCAGCTGAGACTTGACAACACGCTTGAAGCTATCTCTTGTTTGCTAACAACGACAAGAGCAGAGCACCAAGAGCCCAAGCTACGGGTGGCCGATCGCCCAAACCCTTCCCCTAAACAGAGACCGATTCACAGCATGAAGAGAGATGAATACCAAGTCTGGCACTGTTTCTTCGTACATAGAAGGGACATAGAAGGGAGGGCACTCTCGAGGAAAGCTGCCCGAACGATGCGAGTTAGGGCTCGCAGAGCTTTTTCTTTATTTTCCCCTTACTCCCTTACTCCCGAAGCATCCACCCATAAAATCGAATCAAGCTCGATACGACCAATTTCCAAGTGATCCAGATCCACAAGTCATCGAAGTACTTTTATTAATAGAGTGACAACAACTTGTATATTACCAAGGGGCGGCGAACCAAGGTCCCACTCATCAAAGGAGAAGAGAACCGGCGCTTTCGAAGGTTCTTCACCACCAGAGAGCCATGCCAGCGTTTACTAGCAACGGGTCCACCTGCCTCTTCATTACGATTTCATCGATCAGCGTTTGCTGGCCACCAGTAATCTGTCCTCGGGCATCGTACCCGTCAAGTCTTAGGTACATGATTTAAGCACGGTGGACTCGTGTCACAAGGAGTACCTGTGACTTTTTAAACCTTTGGTCATCCACCCAAGCAGCTGCATCTCACCGCCTGCCAAATTCGGGCGCAACGGTCGACAAATCATTGGAGCTAGCTTTTTGCCCTTTTGGCACAGCATGACCTTCACCATCGTGCAGCCAATGCTGTCAAGACTGGTGTGAGCTTTTGCTGATCTGAAGCCCTCCGAAAAAAGCGTGTGTAAAAGGAGGCAAGCATTAGAGCTTAATATTAGAACCACCAGAGACTGGCCATACGAACCCACCATGCAGACATCGTAATATCCAATAAACCCCTCCCATTCAAGACAGGAAGATTCTGCTTCAAAGATTCGCAGCCCGGCAGATGAACCCCGTGGAACCTGTTGGAGCTCAACATCATGGCTTTCTCGGCGACGGTGATGCGCCGCATCACACGGCGACATCCTAACGTGCGAGTTCCAGCAAGGAGATTCCAGCCATGCTTCTCCTGTTATCTGACCCTGAGGCAAGTTCATGCGTCAGCCGCTCAGCTTCCTCACGGCTCCCAGGTCAAGGATATCCGAAACATTGGCATCATCGCGCATGTCGACGCTGTAAGCCCCTCTCGAAGCTCTGTTCGGCACCAAGCAGCCAAGAATCCCGTTTCGTGCTAATCATACGGGCTCCTCTGCTGCAGGGCAAGACTACAACCACCGAGCGTATGCTCTACTGCAGCGGCTTCTCGACTCGCCAAGGAAGTAAGTTAGCAGTAACACCCCTCCCCAACCCTTTCACCCTTCCTCATTACCTCTTTGGCCCACCGCGCAGAGCAATCGTAACGGGAGTTTTGGGACTTTGCCGTTGACTCTCTCCGCCCTTAGGAGTCGATGAGGGAAGCACTGTGACGGACTTTCTCGAGCTGGAGCGAGAAAAGGCATCACCATCCAGTCCGCGGCGGTCACCTTTCACTGGCCTCCCGCGGCAAAGTGCGCCCCGGGCACTCATCCAAAGACCATCAACCTCATCGATACCCCGGGCCACCAAGATTTCAGATTCGAGGTCGACCGCTGCCTGCCCGTGCTGGACGGCGCCGTCTGCATCATTGACGGCGTCGAGGGCGTCGAGGCCCATACGGAGCGCGTATGGGGCTCGGCGCAGGAATACAACATCCCCGCATCGTCTTTGTGAACAAGCTCGACCGCGACGGCGCGTCCTTTCGGCGATCCGTCATCGACATCGGCACGCGCCTGCGGTGCATGCCCATCGTGTGCCAGCTGCCCTGGTACCAGGGCGACGATTTCGTCGGCGTGGTAGACGTCCTCAGCCGGATTGTTTTCCAGTGGGCCGACAGAGCGCTGACCGTCAAGCCCTTCTCCCCGAGATGAGCCCGGACCTGGCCAAGGAGCTCGACCTCGCCCGAGAAAACATGATTGCGGTTTTGGCCGACCACGACGAAGTCATCATGGACCTCTTTCTTGAGGCGCCGGATACCATCACGAACGAGCACATCAAGTCGGCTCTGCGAAGGACCATTGGTCGTGGCGACGGCTCCGTGGTTCCCGTCTTTGCCGGCGCCTCCCTGAGGAGTATCGGCGTCGAACCGCTTCTCGATGCCATTGTTGACTATCTACCAAGCCCCGATGAGCGTCCAGAAGTCGTCGTCCGGAGCGGATCTGAAAGTATGCCGTTGTCCCGATTCCTCGAGAAGACGGTCGAGCGAGGTCACCAGCGGCTAGCGGCCGTGGCATCAGTCTTCAAGGTCTTCAATCACCCCAAAGAGGGGTTGCTGAGCTTCGTGCGCATCTACGCCGGGCATCTCCCCAAGAACGCCGCGCCTTGGAACACCCACGCCCTCCAGGTCGAAAGGCCGATGGGCCTAGTGCAGATCGACGCCGCCAAAACCCACATCGTGGACCAGCTCGGCATGGGTCAAATTGGCGCGTTGCGGGGCCTCAAGTTTGCGCGAACTGGCGACACCCTCATCACGACCGTAGGCCACAAGCCCGTGCCAGACGCCGCCAAGGCAGTCCAGATACGCCCACCCGAGATCCCGCCACCCGTCGCCTTCTTGGCCATTGACCCGTTTGGCCTCGTCGCGGCCAACCAGCTGCAAACGGCGCTGCAAAACACCTCGAGGGAGGACCCTAGCTTGCGGTGGAGCCGGGACGAGAAAACCGACCAGTTCATTATCCAGGGCATGGGAAAACTTCACTTGGACGTCGTTGTCCACGGCCTGAAGAAAAAGTACAAGATTGACGCCGCCTTTGGTGAGATCGAGGTTGATTACAAGGAACACCTCTCGTCCCCGACCAGCTGGCATGAGGCCGTCTTCGACCGCGTCCTTGTCAACAAGTCAGGCACCGTTGTCTGTTCCGCCATGCTCGAGCCCATCGAAAAGCATCACCGCGACACCCTGCTCGAGTCCACCGTCGAGAAAGACGGCAACATCTTCCACATCCAAATCCCTCTGCCCGAGAGCGGAGAACTTCCCTTCAACACAGAAGAGGCACGTCAGCAGATGCTCAACGGTGCCATCGCGGCGCTCGCTCGGGGCCCCGGAGGGGTTCCCCGTCTACGGATGTCACATAACCCTGAACCTGGATGTCGGCGCTACCAAGACGCCCTCGGGCGGCCACTTTAGCGGTGCAGCGCGGCGTGCCGTCCAGGATGCTCTCAAGGAAGGATTCGCGCGGGGTCAAGTCGGGGTCATGGAACCCATCATGAAGGTCATCATCACGTGCCCCGAGTCGGCGGCGGGAGTGGTCCAGCACGACATCAGCGCGGCAGCGGGCGGGCACGTCCAGGAAGTCAAGGGCCTCTCCGGGGAGGTGACGGTGGAAGGGACCGTGGACACATCCAAGATCTACGCGCCACCGGACCCGTACGACGCGGTGACGACGCAGAGAAAGAAATCGACGACGAGGAGGGTACAGATCACGGCCAAGGTGCCGTTCAAGGAGATGATTGACTACGATAGCCATTTACGAAGCAAGACGGGGGCGACATAGCATGACCATGGCGTTTGACTCCTTGCCAGGGTGACGGGTCACCGAGAGAAGAGCGTGTGAGAGTGGGGAGGAAGAGGAGAAAGGGGAGTTGAGAAAGAGAGGGAGAAACTTTGGAGGGGAATTCTCTGTCTTGACTTGTCTTCCTTCTCAACCAGGGCGCTGCTTCCCTATCCTTGCAGCTTGCCATCATATATTGTATTATAACTTTGATAGAAATCAGGCTACGCATGTGTATAAATAGTTGTTTTTTACATGATTTTATCAGCACGGAGAGATTAGAGTAATGAATGGATCCCACCTCTCAGACTAGGCCATCGAATCAAATAAATGGATAGAAACGAAAGTTCACGAGTGGGAAGAGACCAGAAGAAGTAGATTTGAAAATGTAGAATAGGATTGTTCTCAAAAGGAGTCATGCCTATCCAGAAACCATGCTGCAGTGACGGGCACAATATGTGTGTGCCCCCAGGAAAAAAATACAATGCAACCAATGATGTCTCCGAAGCCGTTTCCCAAATGCTGCATTGGAGCCGCCCAGTCTAAAAACCAAATGAAACTCTAAGTAGTTCTATAAGCAAGATGCGCCCCAGAACAGAAGAAGAAAGAGAAGAGAAGAGATGGAAGAGAAAAAGAAAGTCAAGACCAACGCCTGTATCCCGAGATAGGAAAAAAAGAAAAGAAAAGAAAAGTTGGGACAAGTTGTGAAAAGCTACAAGGTGAGACCTAGGAGGTCACCCCTTAGTTGTAGCCGGGCTTCTGCTGCTCGGGATCCTCGGTCTGGGCCTCGGGTTCCTCGACCTCGGGCTCTTCAACCTCGGGCTCTTCAACCTCGGGCTCCTCGATCTCGGGCTCCTCGATCTCAGGCTCTTCAATTTCGGGCTCCTCGATTTCAGGTTCCTCGATTTCAGGCTCCTCGATTTCGGGCTCCTCGATCTCGGGTTCCTCAACCTCGGGCTCTTCAATCTCGGGCTCCTCAACCTCAGGCTCCTCGACCTCAGGCTCCTCAATCTCGGGCTCCTCAACCTCGGGCTCTTCAACTTCGGGCTCCTCGGGCTGGTTCTGGGGCTGGCACCTGGCATTGCAGCTCCTGACACCGGCGACTACGGACTCGGGCAGGTTGTTCTTGATATCCTCGATCCTGTCGCCGGGGAAGCTCTGGCCAAAGGTGTCGAGGAGAGCGTTCTGGTCGAGCTTGAAGATGCTGTTGACGACCTGGCCGGTGCCGGGGTCCTCGTTGGCGAAGGAAGCAATGAAGACGGCCTCCTCGCAGTTGGGGTTGAACTGGTGGTGGATGGCACCCTGGTAGAAGGGAACCATCTCGAACTTGTTGACGACGTTTCGGATGGGGCGGACAGCGTTCTCGGGGACCATCTCGGTGACGAGGCTGCCCTCGATGACGATCTGGAGCTCGGCGGAGCGGGGGTGGACGTGGAAGGTGTTGATGCCGCAGGCTAAGACGCGCATCGTGTTAGAGAAGGGCAAGGAGGGGGAGGGGGGAAAAGGCTATCAGAGGCGAGGACTTACGGGCAATCTTTCCAAGGGCCATGGCAGCGCCGGTGCCGACGAGGGCGGGGAAGGTGTTGCGGTTAGCGGCCTTCAGGATACCGCCACGGTTGGCGGGGATCTCATCGGGAGTGAGGTTGAACTTGAAGTCGGCGTCATCCTTGAGGATGTCGAAGCGGCTAGCGGCACTGCGCGGCGGTTTCCCGTCATGTTAGCTTGGGGGTTCAGGTTCAGGTTGCCCTATCAAAAGGCGACAAGGGGGAGACCTTACCTAGGAGCGATGAGGAGCTGCTGGGTGATGGAGAGCGACTCGGGAGCCGGGACGGGGACAGCGGGCTGCTGGTTGTTCTGGCGGCGCTGGTGGAAGGAACCGGGGGCGGCGATGGCGCTCGAGGTGAAGGCCAGAACGAGGGCGGCGGTGGTGGGAGTGAAGAGCATCTTGGCTGATTAGGAGGAAGTGTTGGTGGAGTAAGTTCGAGCTTCCGGGTATTTGTCTGTCAACTGCGGACTGTTGGTGACCTTGAAGTGATGCGGAACGAAGTGAAGTAGGACTGTAGGAAATGAAGCCTTGGCTATATTGTAAGATGTCGATGGAGAAGAGGAAGGAAGATGTTGGTGTGGATGATGATCTAAAAAGAAAAAGAGTATTCCCAAACCGTCTCTTGGCTCGACTTATATACAGGATTGAACAATAAGATTGTGCATCTCAAGAATGACCGATCCTTGGGAGGCTGTGAATATCGCCGGGTCTCTGGAATCCCGTCCTTAGTTCTCACTCTCCCACACAGGCGCAGGCACACACACACACACACACACACACACACACACACACTCTCCCTTTACGCGCCGGGGCAGATAAAGTTGGAAAGGGTCGGCAAGAGCATGTACCAGTCGAAGCAACAACGGCAACGCTCCCACCCGTTGGACGCAGCTGACTACATAGGATGCTGACAAGACTAAGCGCAGCCCCCACCAACCGGACCTTTAAAAAAGAGACATTCGGGGCCTGCTGCTACTCTAACTGCTCGTACTTGGCCAGCTCGCGGGGTGGGCCACTCGCATCGGCCGCTGGGACCCGCCGGGTCGGGTGACATCCACTGAGAATAGACGCGGCAAAGCCAGCATTTGAACGCTGAGTTGAGTGGTAGAAAAAGAAAAGTGGGGAGGCGGAGGGGCAGCGCTGGTGGCAGGGCAGCGCTTCGGCGGCAAACAAAAGATTGAGAGGATCAATAGATGGGGCACCACCAAGCTGCAACTTGCACCTTTGGCAAGCTTGGGTGAGAGCCGGAAACCTGGGTTGCCGAGGAACAGCCTCTTCTTGATTTTACGAGCTTGGGGAGGTTGGCGAGGGAGAAAGGATGAGCAGGATGAACAAGGTTCGGTGCCCGATGCTTGGTGGCGATGGCGATGGCGATGGTGAGTGATGATGACGGGCTTTAGCTGGGACTGGTGAACGTGCAAAGGTTCATGTTGCTGCTAGCCCACGAGTCTACGCCTTCCTTTGTGCCTTCCTTTGTGCCTTCCTCGTGGGTTTAGTACCGTTTTTTTCTCTCTACGATTGATGTGAACTTTGTGTAAGATGATAATGTGCTCAAGATCAGAACCTGAGCTTTGCTGTTTTGCCGAACAAGTCCTTTCGATACTTCACCTTTTTCTCACCTTTTTTCTTCTTTTTCCCCTTCATTTGCAGCGGCGCTTCACGATGCGTCACATATTAGTGAGAGTCGTTGGTATGTTGACCTCGTTCCGACCACTTTCTTTCGTCAAGTAAAAAATAGGACTGCTATATTTTCCTCGTTCATACCAGTATATCCCTCGGACATTCTTTCTTACATCCACGTGCATTCCAAGGGTATCTGACTCCATGCGGGGTTGTTTTTGCCTGCTCGATATACCTGGGTATTAGTGGTAGATTTGTGAGATAGAACTTGGCAAACCATCAACCTTGTCTGGCCGAATTCCAAATCCCGGTTTGAATGAACCCTGAAACGGCGTGGAATCAAACAAACATTTTTCTTTTTAGGCACACATCTACGAGGAGAAAATCAAATACCGCCCAAAACTTTAGAATAGATGAATCCGTCAGGATTGATGGAACGCTCTGTTGGTCAGTAGTGGAGGTCATCCACATCCAAGAGTGTGGTCTGCATCCGAACCCCGCCCTTGAGCCAAGCTTGTGCTGCGGACTGCACAGGCAGAGTTTGTGGTGGTGGTGGTGGTGGTGGTGGTGGTGGTTGGGTTGGTTCCCAAGGAAGGGCGGCGGCAACGGGCCCGTGGCGCAGTCAACGCCAGCAGCCTTTATAGGCGCGGAGGAAGGCTGGCCAGCCAGAGTTGACCACTTCGCCGTCCTGCTTTCGCCCATCGCGGCTAGAGAATAAAGCGAGCTCGATGCGCGTGGCGCCTATCTTTTCGGTTATTACAAGTACCTGGGCGAATGAGACTATCTCGGTATATCGAGTCCACGATATCTAACGTGGGAAGGATCAATAGATTCGGCTCCCGCCAAACCGATCCCGGTCCGGCTTAGGCGACCATGATCGTAAAACTTGCAGTTCGTGGCCACTGAAGAGGAAGGGCATGTGTGCGCCAATAACACCGGTTCAAACACCCCCATCTTCCAGTTTCCACATGTCCCCACGCTCGCATCCTGATCCTGGTGCGAATCATCGAGGCTCACGGTGGATGGTGAGCCCGCCGTGGACGAGGACCCCCGGCCGTGCCGAATATCACCGTTAAATTGAACCCGTCGATGCAAGCTGCCCTGCAGGGCGTTGCTATACGGCTCAAGGCCTGTTCCCGACTCTCAATCCTCTCATCTCGACATGTAAGTCTCTATTCTCTAAACATGGCTCTGGATCCGGTGCGGGGGTGGTCAATGTATGCCAGCGTATGTGTGCAGGCATGCGTGTGCGTTGGCACCACCTAAATGCCAGCCATGTTTCCTGGCCATCGAGGCCGTGGTCGACCTGATGGGCTCCCATCATCAGAACGAGCTTGGGCTGGGATTGGGCCCGCGCCCCGCGCAGGCTTGAAAGTAAAGAGAAGAGGGGAAAAAGGACAAGACATCTTCTTAATCGCGTATTCGTGTGAAATATTTGATTATGATCCGGATTTTGGCATGGCCTTGATCCCTCTTGGGAACGTTGCAAGCGAGCGCCGCGCCCAAGAGACCCAACCATCGGCCGCTTCGCCGCGTAACCCTCACAAACTACAGCTTGTTTCCGTGGCCAAAGGTGGCCTTCGGCGAATGCCCAGAATCCTTCCAGGCCAGCAAGACTAACCTTCTCACCGCCCCATTTGTTTCACGCCGATAACGCGAGCGCTGAGAAACACCAGAAAACGAAACGGGGGCTGATCCTACCGCTGGGAAACATCGGATGGCGGGAATACGCAGCGGGAGCCTCGGTGCCTTGTCCAACCAACACCGACCCCCTCGCGGAGGCCAGCCGAGGCGGAGGGCCGAGGCCTTGGCCACTGTTCGACGCGTGCAAAACGTTGGACATGGCCCATCCCAAGGAACCATCGATCCAACTTTTGACATGTCAGCGGGGTGATGTCGCTCAAAGGAAGGCGACAAGGTGTGGCTCCGCCTGCGCGCTCTCTTCCCCCATGGGCAGTTGGCCAACCAGCGCGACGCGTCTCAGCCCTCCGGATCGACGCCGAACCGATCGTTTACGCTTACATAAATAGCACTTGGTGCTGGGCACTTCCTACGCGTGCTATTATTATTAGCGTGCTCTAAGCTTGCAGTCAGAACTCTCTTTTGGGCTATACCGAGATACATTGAGTATCCGGCAATCCATCAATTACATAGCCACGATCCATTTTTGGCACATCAGCATCGCTCCAAAGCTTGATTTCATTGAACACTATTACCGAGAGGAGGTTGAGTGAAGGGTAACGCGACTCCTTTGCCCTCTCTTTCTCTCTCCCTCTCAAGTCAATACTCTTCCATGTCCATTTACCTTATTTTCTCTCTTTGTTGACTCTGGCACAGGACTGTCTCGCGCTTGCGGCTGCGGCCGCGAGACAGCATCATGCTTATTTTGGGGCTAAGAGGGAACCGGTACGGATATCTGACAGTCCCAATCACGGCCGCCCTTCCCCGCGGCGCTGCTGACAAGCTGACATCCGCATGTCTCAGTGTCATCAATGACCTAGATCATTTAGGTAATGCTCGTCGCTCTGTCATGTCTTATTAGATCTTTTTGAGTATATTTACCTCGGCGTTTTATTCCATATATCGTCTCTCTATTCATCGTTTTCTCTTGTCACGTTCGTCTCCTCTGGCTCTTGTGCAAGGTCTCGCGAAGCCAAAGCGATTCGGCACGGAAAAAGAAAAGAAGAAAAAAGTCACATTCACACAGCGGCTCTGGCTCAAGGCCTTTCTTCTCCTCTTCTTTTTTTCTTTTTTCTTTTTTTTTTTTTTTTTTGAGAGAGAGAGAGATATGGAGGGAAAACCTCGTGAGTCGAGAAGAAAACAGGGCCTGCCAAAGGCGGGAATCCGAAGATGCGTGCCTGTCCGCCCGCCTCTGCATATCTGCACGCGGGACACAGGAAAATCAACCCTCAATATATCTGCATTTAGCCAGAGCTTACCGACCCTGGAGTTTATATAAAAATCGGTGCGATTCAAACAGCCGCATCCCGCGAAACATCGCCTGCGCAGCGGATGGCGCAATTAAAAACATACAGCCTAACAGGATGCACCGATTGGGATCATAAAATCTTCTGGAGAAGGGGGTTCCCCCAAGCTGAAGAAAAACCATTTTTGATGCAGCTCGTCGTCGCTTGTCCTACGTCTGTGACGAGTAAAGGGCCATTCAACCCCATTTCTACGCTTCAAGTATTACTGATGCTGACTTGAATTCGGATTTCGTCTGATAGCGTGCAGCACACCTGCTGTTGGCGATCCTTGCCGTGGGACGATTTTCCCGGTATTCTCGCCGGATCGGCAGCGTTGAAGTGGGAACGAGATGCTACAAGTACCACCCGCTTGGGTGCCCTTCAAAACATTACCTGGGGCCCCTTCTCCTTGTCCGGGTCACCTCCCGCGATCGACCAAACACCAAAACTTACATGTATGGTGAAGGAGGAATAGCTCTCGAGATGCAAACGGGGTGCCAGAACTTACTGGACAATGATACTGTTTTTGGTTCCCCGCTTGAGTGACAAGCACATGTGGTTCTCCAGGCTTGGAAGGAGCGTCTTATTGCTTGTGTCGCTGTGTTATCCTTGTGGAGCCTTGCTCGTTGCGTGCTGGTATCAGATTGTTGCCCTGCGCCTTGGCTAAGGGGACCTTGCTGTGACAGAGCTCCACTGATTCTGGCCCCAGGTGCATTGGGCACCATCAGGATCATGGCTGGCCTGTTGCGAACCCCTGGTGCCTTGTTGCCGAGTCTTCTGACGGACATTCCTTAGCCACAAAGCCCCAGGGGCTGGCCAAGCTCCGATCGTACTAGATGTTTTTATTAGCCGGCGCTCAAGGCCAGGGTCACACGCACAAGACCTGGTGGCCGAGCCGTCCTGGGGACCGTCTGATATCTCGCTACGTGGTCGGCAGCTAGGCGATGAGGGGGTAATTTTATTGATTATGAGAGACACAAATAGTGGCTAGAGATGTCCGAGCCTATAGAAATACCCAGAGGCGGCCGTCTGGAGATGTGTACGGAGTACGTACTGGTGGGTGAGATGAGGGCTTGCTGCTCATAATTAGGAAAATAAGCAACGTATTTGGGGTCATTCCATTCTAGAAAGGCGACGATGTAATTTTTTTGTCGTGCCCTGGTCAACGGCTGGTCCTCAACAGCAAACCACGGTCGAGGTAATAAAACACGTTGCTTGTGCCATTCGACCAGTTCCAATTCATAGTTGCAGTGGTGGCCGCCGTGCATGTTGGGCGAACCGTGGCTGTTGCCGTCCTAATTACCTGACCGATGGTCGAACCTAGCCCTGGCCATTCGCCATTGTCGTCATCCAGTGTAATAATCGTCCATGGCGTAGGGACGACGCGATGCCAACTGGTGTGTGTGTACCTTGCAGCTCCAAGCTGCTTGACTCAAGGTGTGCACGAATGCGGAGGTACTTGTACTGAGCTACAAGTGACAGACAAGACAGACCATGGCAGATCATGACACAAGCCTTTTGGGAGCCCGGCCCTTGCAAAGCGCGCAGCCCCTGACGAGGTGTGGCAAAGCCTCCTCTCCAAGAGGGAAGGAAGAAGAAAGGGAAAAAAACTCATTCAAAGAAGGAAAGTGTAAGGTGATGAAAGGGGCCACCCGCCTTTGGTTGGCCGTGCACCGGGGCCTAGTTGCCAAAAGCTCATTTCCTTTTGTATCTGTGTACCTGTCCCGCCTCAACCCTCATCTTGCGATCGCTTGCTGATTGGCTACTATCAAAAGAGGTACCTGACTAGGCCCTGGCTCCTGCCAGGCACCTCGACACCTGGAGACTTCATCTCGCTTTTTTCCCCCTCCATCGACCAATGGCATGCTTCCGAACCCTGGCTGGTACGTCGGAGGTGGGGCGCAACAACGCAGAATGAACGACGGGGCAGGATGCCGCCTTCTTCTCCTTTTCTCTCTCTCTTTTGTCTCTTCGGGAGATCGCTGGCTCTGCCCCAGAGACGCTCGTCGGAGATTGGGTTAGTTTAAACAGATCCACCTCTCTGCCCTCCTCCACTCTTGTCCAATGCTTATTATTATTTTTCTCTCAAGCTAAGGGTACTCTCGCCGTCCACCAGTGCTTTCCTCCTCGGCCGGGGGCAGGGATTGTTCTGGCAGCGGTACCTCGACGGTACCATGAGCCCTCAAGGCCCTCTTCCCGCTCGTCTCATTTCTGTGGTTGTCATGCTTCTCTGCAGGTCGAGCTCAAGCTCATCCGCAGCATCAAGTTGTGTACCCTTGTGTACCAGTGTCGAGTCCATGGCATTCAACCGTAACCAAACTTGTACAAGTGTATAATAATAATAATTGCTTAGACGGAAAGCTGTGCGGTGCGGGAGCAGAAAGAGGAATTACCCATTCCCCCTGCTCCAAAGCCACCCCCAATCGACCCCATCACCATGGCTTAAAGACGTCGAGTGCAGGGATGGGATGCAGCCCACGGGATTTTCTCCTCTTTTTTCCCTTTTCTTCCCCTAGCCGACCTCCCTTCCCTTTCCCAGGCACGATCCTGCTTTTCAAACTTCAACCCTCGTTTTTGAGTCTGTTTCTTTCCTCCACTCCGTACAGAGTACATGTCATTCATTTTTCTCTCCCTCTCTTGACTCTCACTCTCTCCGTTTCTTTCATTCTCGCCCTTGCTTCGTGCTCGCCTTACACGCACTAGTGATCTGTGCCTTCAACCAAAGGAGCTGTTGACATCTCGGCTTCACACTATTTTCACCTCCGACGCTCACTTGCCTAGTGCTCGAGACCGCTCGACGACATTCCTTCAGTCGTGCTCGCCGTGGCCCTTGCCTCTCCTTTCAATCCACGCCAGCTGAGCCGCGAGACCCAGCTCACAACGATATCAGTATTTTCTCATCCGTAGCGAGCCCGTCTTCTACTATATGAGTCTTCGACGACGTTCCGATTCGCTATTCTATTCAACCATCCACGCCCGGCTTTCCTGAGATCTCGCGCACGCCGCGTCCGGTCGTCCGGCACCTGCTTGTTGCCTGGGGAGTCTTGAGACCTTGCTCTGCTCCTTTCCGCTCTCTTTTTACATCATCTTTCTCACCAACACCCCCTCGACTTTACGATGAGGCTCATCGGTGTATCTACAGCCCTCGTGCTGTTCTCGGCCGAAGCCGCCTCCGCCCACGGCCACCACCATGCCCACCGACGACACGTCCACGTCCACCACCCTAGGTCTAGCCCCCTCACCCCCTTCCCGCGTCGGGCCCCGCGATTGAGAAGCGCGCCAGCTGCACCCTTCCCGATGATGGCGACCTTCATTACGTCCCTGGCGCCCAGAACGCCGGGTTTGCCATGAGTCCCGATCAGCCATGCACTGCTGGCATGTATTGCCCGATTGCCTGCAAGCCTGGCAAGGTGATGGCTCAGTGGGAGCCTGGTTCCAGCTACAACTACCCTCGTCCATGGTAAGCCAACACGAATACCCTCTCCCGGCCTGAGCCGTACTATCGTTGTAAAACAGCACGCAATGATAGCTGGCTCAACATGAAATGGAACTCGTACTAACCTGAATGCTAGAACGGTGGCTTGTATTGTGACTCCAACGGACAGGCCAAGAAGCCTTTTGGCGATTCGCCTTACTGTGTTGATGGTACTGGTTCTATCAACGCAGTCAACGAGGCCGGGCCCAAGGTTTCTTTCTGCCAGACGGTTCTTCCTGGCAACGAAGCCATGTTGATTCCGACCGTCGTTGAAGGTTCCTCAGTTTTGGCCGTGCCCGGCACGAGCTACTGGGCCTCTACTGCTGCTCAGTACGTGGATGACACTACGCGCCCCCATAATGCGTTGGGGACAATCTTCGCTGGTCATGTTGCTAACATTATATCCTCATAGCTACTACATTAACCCTCCTGGCGTTGGCGAAGAGGGTTGTATCTGGGGTGACAACAGCAAGCCCGTTGGAAACTGGGCCCCTTACGTCGCCGGTGCCAACACCGACAAGAACGGCCAGACGTTTGTCAAGCTTGGATTCAACCCCATTTTCGAGTTCGAGGGCGCCGGTCTGGAGAAGAACCCACTTACTTTCGGCGTAAGGATTGAATGCCCTGATGGTGGCTGCAACGGCCTTCCTTGCGAACTTAACCCGGCCAAGAAGAGGCTTGGTGAAGTTGTCAGCGACCTCGCCGCGGTTGGTGCCGGCGGCAGCTCCTTCTGTGTCGTCACCGTCCCGGCCGGTCGCAAGGCCAACATTGTCGTCTTTAACACCGACGGCTCGACTGGCAACAACAACAACAGCGAAGATCCTTCAAGCAGTGAGGCAAGCGAGCAGCCCACTTCCAGCCCCGCCGCTGACGAGCCTGGGTCTACTTCTGTAGGGGAGCCCGAAACGACGTCGAGCGACAAGTCTTCTAGCCGTGCTCGCCCCACCGTCGGACCGGGTATCTTCCGTGAGACCGATGGCGCGAACAGCAACTCGTCTTCTACCAAGCCCACTGGCGACTCGGCCCCCACGAGTTCTGATTCAGCCCCGACCGAGACCCAGTCCAACGAGAACGAGGCGCACGGCCTTCAGCAAGGCAGCGCCGCCGTGGTCGGCCTTGTTGTTGCCCTTGCGGCGGCAGCCGTCTTGTATTAATGACGTTGCTGCTCGTACCCTTCCCACCCACCCCGATCCGTCTTTTCGGTTTTTATCTTCTTTCTCACCTTGCTCTTTTGAGCACCGCCACTTGGCCTTGCCTTTTTTCTCATTCTTCTCCTTCTCTTCATTTTCTTCAGTCTCCAGCCAGTGTCTGATACCCTTGTTTCACCTCTCGCGTGCCTTCTCACCCATGTCTCTCCTTTGGCGGGGCAGCGCTGGTCGCAACCCCGGACTGCTACCGCCTCTACTCTCGGACAATGGGGTTTTTTGTTCGCCATCTCGAGACGCCGCCGTTGCTCGCGGTCCACCAACCACTCCGACAATTGAAACTGCATCATGCTTGCTGCCCGCCGGATGCTAGTCAACCTGGCCTCAGTTCTCGCCGCCTCCCTCGCGGTTTGTTCTTTCTCCCGAGAAGAAGGTCGGCAACGAAACCGGCCTTGCGAATTTTATATGGCTTAGAGCAAAGACTGCGACGTTATCATTTTTTGTTGCTTCGTTGCTTTTCTCGCGCTTAGAACCTGCCGTATACCGCCTACGGTCTACATTCTAGCCAGATAACTGGCCATTATTGTTTATTCTTATTTCAGTCACCGGCCCGCGACCTCCCATTTCTCGACATCCACCGCAAATTTGATGACTTTGCGACTTTTCAACCCTTCTCTTATCCTTGCTAGGATTATATATACCCCTTTCCGGAGTTGACGAGCCCGGATAACTTTTTCTATCGGTCAAGCCTCAATTTGACCGGTCTTATTCTACCCCTTCTCTCGTTATCGCTGATCCTCCGTGATCGTTTCGAAACTACCAAGAGGAGGCAGGTCCCTCAGTGAGCGGACAAACGATACGCTTCCTCTTGCTTTTTTATCATTTCTTGCCGTCCCTGGGGTTGAATGGACGATGCTATGCGGATTGGAGCTACTACAACCTTCTGTGGATGAACACTATTTTTTTTGTTTGATCGAGAGATACAGCGGGGACCGTGCCGGGACCAAACCTTTCTTTGTTACCTTTCTTTTCCTTTTCTTCCTTTTTTCTCTTTTAGGGTGGGATTACAAAGATGACGGGATGATGGATACTTGGTCGTTTTTCTTCTTTTTGTTTATGCTATATATTTCCCCTCGTGAGTTCAGAGTAGCCGAGGAGTTCTTGTCCGCTCGTGTTTCTACATGTGTGTGCTGGTCTCGCCTGGTTGCCAGGGCTCAAAACATGCGAACGACAGGATATGACGGAGACCATAGCTATGCGATAGGAATAGGAAGGACATGGAAAAAGGAAATGTACCCGATGATGTATTTCAGGAGACGATAGCGTAGATGCGCTTTCTAGTAGGATGAACAAAAATTATCAATCAATCCCAACCCGTCCATATATATACATGAGCTACATCGACTAAGAAGCTGTGCGATACAACGTTGTGTTCCGTTTTAGTTGGCGCTTTTTCATAATACCCTAAGAGGACACTTAATTGCTAGAATATCGCATGGCTACACCTTTTTACCTGTCTCCCGAGATAGTTTGTAGAAAGCCGCCAAATGTTGAGTTTTCGAATCACCGACCCCACGATGTTTCTCGTTACCTATCAACCCTTGACCCAACCAGGAACGTCGTCCCAGTCCACCTCGTCCTCATACCTCCTCTCCCTGACTGCTCTAGCCACGGTGGGCCATCCAGCCACGATAGCGCCCTTACTCTTGGCGCCGAGGACGGCGAACTTGGCCATGTCGTGAGCGAGGTAGCCGTGAAGAAGACCTTGCTGTACAAGGGCGGCGATGGTGAGTTCGACGTCTTGCGCGGTGACGGGGCGTTGCCCCACACGAGGCCTTGGTTGGGGCGAAGCTTTCGTGGTGTGGCGCCGGGGGCCGGCGCCCTCGAGGCGATGCTGGAGGAGGGTTGCCGCGGCGAGGAGGTGGCCGAGGTCGAGGAGGGGGCCTTTCGGGACGTGGGATCTTCGGGCGGGGTGTAGGTGAGGAGGAAGACGCGGCGGGAGAGGGAGCGCCAGAGGTAGGGGCGGAGGCGGTTGGAGAGCACGAGGAGGATGCCGCGCTCGAAGAGCCAGCTCTCGTGGGTGGCGAGGGTGTCCTGGAAGAGGAAGAAGTCGCCGGTGCGGACGGCGCGGCAGATGGGCTGGAGGACGGCGACGAGGGCTGGGCCTCGGGGCGGGAGAGGAGCTGGCGAGAGGGGAGGAGGCCGAGGAGGAGGTTGGCGGGGATGAGGTAGGTGAGGATGAGGGTGCGGTGGGAGGTGAAGTGGGGGCGTCTGGAGGTAGGCGCCTTGGAGGCAGTGGGAGGCGCGGCCAAAGTGGTTGTTGGCGAGGTTGAAGCGGCCGAGGTAGTAGAGGAAGGTGACGCGCTGGGCGGCCGGGTAGAAGGAGAGGGGGGCGAGTTGGTGGAGATGTTGGTGAAGATTTGCTTGGCGAGGTGCGTTTTGCGACACTGAGGGATGGATGGGGGCGGGTTAGCTATGACCGGGATAAGAAACGAAACGGGACGCGGCGTGGTGGGAGACCAGGCGCTTGAGAGCGAGAAAGGAGAGGGTGGACTGCGCTACGTACGGCAAAGAGTAGTTTGAGCACTAGGTTGGCAAACATGTACACGCCCACCTTCTTGCCCTCCGGCATGCTAAACCGCGCGCTCGACCGGTCCGTCAGGCAAATGGTGAAAATCTTTTGAATGATCTCGGCCGACATCTCGGCGACGGACTTGCGGCTTTCCTCGTCGCCGCCGCGGAGCCGGCTCGTGAGGTCCGGCCTCTTGTTCAGCATCATGGTGAGCTGCGCCAGGGCCTCGCTGAGCGACATGCTCGTCTTGAGAAGCATGCCGCCGTAGGTTGGGTTACCAAAAGCGGTGCTGCAGGAACTGTGTCGTTGGGGTGGTGCAGGAGCGCGGCGGGCAGGGTCCGTCGTTAGCAAAAGGTCTCATGGCTATGCGATTCTCCCTCTTCTCCCGGGCTCGCCCTGGGGGAGCTGTGAGGAACTTACTTGAGGAGCCCGCAAAGTAGCGAATGCGCTCTCAGAAGGTCCTGGAAGTCGACATCCCTCCAGAAGATGAAGTAATCCTTGACAAAGGTGATGAAGCCGGGCCACGGGGTGCCCCTCCCTCGCCAACGTCGTCTTCTTCCGGCAGGCCCCTCTCGACGACCGCCTCTAGCGCCGCGCTCCTCGCGCCTCCATACTGGGCCTTGAGCTCCTGGGCGAGTCGAAGGTACTGAGGGTTGGGCCTGTCCGAGACTTGGAGCCAGGCGCGGAGGTTGTCCCCGTCCTGGGCGCGCACGAAGCCGCGGAGCTGAGCGAGGAATTCGTTCACCAGGCTCATTTAGACCGCCTTTATTTCAGGTTTATGTGTAAGAGTGGGCCTGTGGCCAGACAGGGAAGAGAGAAGAAAATGAAAGAAAAAAAAACCGGCAATCGAATGGGATGAAGTAGGCAATGTCGCGATGGACCTAATATGCTAAATGATGGATATCATTGATCGATATCTTGGGTAGAGTGGAAGTTGTTGTGCAAGGACAGTGTGAAAAACAAACCAAGCACGGGAATTGGAATTGGATCTTGGTCAACGAGCAAATCTCACCGAACCCAGTTCGACGTCTTTTGACTTGTAGTTCACGTCTCTCCTCAGAGCCTTGCAGGGCCTCACGCGACCCACGCGATTAGCCCAAACAGCTATTCTCGTTTTACTGAGGAATTTATCCTCTACTAAGCCTGGCCCGGAGGATCCAAGTCCTACAGTCATACACATACGCACACAATACATGGCGAAGCCTCGCTGGATTGCCTTGTTCCACTGATTTAAACAGTTCGGCGGTCACCTTTTTCTCTTCCCTCCTTTAAAACTAGCCGAAGGCGAACCATGGCATCATAGGCTAGCCCGGGAGGTTGGGCGGCAAACTTCGTCGGTCTCGGTGCTGCTGGTGAAATAACCCCACAATGATCAAGGATGAAATACAATGGCTTCTGGGGGTTCCAAAAGACATCAATCATCAATAAATCGTTCATACAGTGTCTAAATGTGGTATATCCCTTTCACACGGGTAGAAGTCAACTCCCAAAGCTGACATTTCGTCTTTCCGCTTGTTCACTGTTTCCCAAGCTTGCTCTTTCTTTTTAACTTTTTTTTCCCATTCGCCCTTATTCGACAGACGCCACCCTTTGTACAACAACCGCCGTCGCAGCCCCACCTCCGTTGCAGATTGCTGCAACGCCATACTGGCCAGGCTGGAGCTGGTGAAGAAGGGTGGTGAGGATTCGCGAGCCGGAGCTGCCGAGGGCATGTCCCAGAGAGATGGCACCTCCCAAGGGGTTGACATTGGCGTTTTCGAGTCCGAGAATCTATTCATCAGCTCGTGGTTAGCGTGTTCCGGCCGGGCTCACCTCAATCGAGATTTCCGGGGGCTGGTAACTTACCTTGAATTTGCCCTGATGACGGCGGCAAAGGCCTCGTTAAACTCCCAGACAGAGACTTGGTCCTTGGTAATGCCAGCCCTCTCCAAAGCAATGGGAACCGCCTTGGCGGGCGCGACAGGGAAATCAATGGGGTCGACGGCAGCATCAGCGTGACCGCAAATCTTGGCGAGGACCCTGGACTGAGCGCCGTACTCTTGCGCAAGGGCCTTGTTACCGAGGACGAGGGCGCTTGCGCCGTCGTTGAAGGTCGATGCGTTGGCAGCGGTGACGGTACCGGTGCCGTCTCTGATGAAGGCGGGCTTCAAGGTAGGCACCTTTTCGAACTTGACATCCAGGTAGCCCTCATCGGTGTCGATGACGACCTCTCCCTTCCTGTTCTTCACCGTGACGGGGGCAATTTCCTCCTTGAAAGCGCCCCGGGCCCAGGCCGCCTGAGCGCGCTTGTACGACTCGATGGCGTATTCGTCCTGCATCTCCCGGGTAATTTCGTACTTCTTCGCAGTGTTCTCGGCGCAGTTGCCCATGTGGATCTGGTCGTAGACGTCGGTCAAGCCGTCCTTGATCAAGCCATCCTCCAGCTTGATGTTGCCAAAGGCCGGAAGACTACTCGACCGGGGAAGGTAGTAGGGAACCTGTGACATATTCTCCATGCCGCCCGCAACTTGAGCTTCCGCAAGCCCGAGCTGAATGTTCTGGGCGGCCAGGACGACGGCCTTGAGGCCCGAGGCGCAGACTTTGTTGACGGTAACGGCCTCCACCCCGGAGGAGAGGCCGGCAAAGATGGCAGCTTGGCGGGCGGGGGCCTGGCCCGCGGAGCCCTGGAGGACGTGTCCCATATAGACATCGGTGATTTTGGAGACGGGGATCCCTGACTTCTCTACCGCCGATTTGATGGCAACGGCACCCAACTTGGGGGCAGGAACGGACAAGAAAGAGCCATTGAACTATTCAATTAACACGGGGTCAGCTACTTCCTACCGGGAAAAAGAATAAAGAAGAAAAATAAGGTGAAGGTGAAGAGGGAGAAAAAAGGTATTCGGTATTTCCTTCGAAAGGAAGAAGACAATACACACCTTGGCTGTGGGCGTCCTGGCGGCGCTGAGAATGTAGGCATCACCAACTTCTTGGTGGAGGGTGCTCGGCTCGAGAAGCCTCGGCGCACATGGAGCTGCGCGATGCGCCGAGGAACAGACTGTCTGAGGGCGAATGCCACCATTTTCACTCGGATACAGGTTCGGAGGGTGCACAAAACGCAAACCAAGAAAAGGTAGGACCACGATTTCAAAAACGACACAGCAGCCGAGAGGAGTTGAGAAGGACAATTGAGGAATAGGTTTGAGAAAAGAAAGTCCCGTCCCAAGGGGTTTTGGTGACGCCGCTGGCTGCCACTCGAGCTGGGCCGACATGTGGAGTCCCGATCATGTGGAGGGCGCGAGGAGTGGTCCCGCAATTGATCCTGGTCTCGGTCATCTTCGGCTAAGCACGGTCGCCCACACCCAATTGATTGATGCTTTACTGGGGTAGTTCCCAGCGAAGACGCTCCGAGCGAACCCTGAGCGGTGGATTAGGGGGTCTTCCCGGAATTCCAGAATTCAACATGGTATCGGATTCGGAATGATCCAGCGGATTTACAGGTCATGCCTCCATCTATACTGGTACATATCAGTGATCTACCCTACCTAGGAACGCCACGCCGAGGCGAGACTCTCGTTCCTAGGCAAATGCGCTTGTGCGCCTATCACAGAATATTCCTGCCGAGAGCAACATCACCGATCCGGTCCGTCCTTGACAAAATGACGCCGCACACTTAGTTTGCCTGAAAAGGCCTCCTTCAGTTGTAGAGATGGCCCCTACCCCCATTTTCAAACTTGAAGTTATCATCAGAAGAGCCATATTGCATTCCTCCCTTGTTATGCCAAAACGTCCTGCTTTGCCCTGATATTTTCTTCTTTCCTTCCACAACCTCCTCTGCCACGGGCACTGGGCACTGGGCATTGAGCACCGAGCACCGAATACACCAAAAAAATTGTCAAGTCAGAACATAAAAGGCGTTTCTCGCTGTTGACGAGAGCTGTATGCAATTTGAGTTTGTAGCCAGCGGCGTGCTGAAATGCAGGCAGACTCTTGTAGTTCGCCGTGTCAACAGGTTTATCATGTCGCCCCTCGGAGATCCCCTTTCGGAACATTGAATGATGTCAGCACACCATCCGTTGTCTACACCGGCGGCGCCGGGTCAGCGCGCGTCGTGCGGATATATGGCCAGAGACAGAGGGGGCTGCCGATGATTAAACTGAGATGCAGAGCAACGGCGCGATTTCCCGAGCCTACAAACGTATTAAATGCATGAAGGCCTCCAACCCTGGATACATTCTCGCCCGAGGCGCGAAGGGATGGTGCGAATTCAATTCCTTGGAAGCCTGGCGAAAAAAGTTTGCGACACCCAAATTTTGATACCTTGACTTTGATCCATGAATGCATGGATCCATGGATGGATGGATCAATGGATATACGGATTAACCACTGATAACTCGCTCAAAATCCATCTCCTCCTGAGGTCCGAAGACCGGGGATCAGGTCCACCGAGAACGAACAGATCCGTGATCCATTCAAGCTCACTCCAAGTGAGCTGAATTATAGCGCACGTGACAATCGGTTGAGCGTGGTGGAGGCTCATCTCGTCTGCAGCTGGAGTGGTCCATCATGATGTGAGGGCGCCTCCGACATCTGTGGGGCCTCAGTCTTCGTTTGAAGGCGTGCACAGTGACTGAGAGTTGATCAAATAGTAATCCAGAAGAGCAGAGCACAGGTTGACTTGCACCACATTGATAAAAGGGGCCCGGGCTTACCAACCCGACCAGGCTGGCTGGCCTAGCCTGGCGCCATCCACCCAATGACGCGAATCGCCCCTGCACCAAATCGCCCTGCGGGTTCTGCCGCCCTGGATTAGAGTCTCCTCACTTTGACTCCCTCCCTTCTTCTTATCCTCGTAATTTTCCCTCCTTTCCAATCCTCCGTCCGTCGATTTCGTCCCCCTTTTCGGCCTTCTTGAACAATACTTTTCGACGATATATTCACGGTATCGAGTTGATATCCATCGCTTTAACCCACGCGCCGCCACCTTTCCCCGTTCGCCCGACTCGGAACATCGCCATGTCTACAGCAGCCCGACGCCGCCTGATGCGCGACTTCAAAGTGCGTGAGCCCAACTTTTCTCTCCATCTTTTGCCTGCCCAGGCTTTTCCATCACCATCATTCTCTCCACGCTCTCTACGCTCTCTTGCTAATGTATCTTTTTATCCTCTTCTTAGCGCATGCAAACCGATCCCCCAACTGGAGTTTCCGCCTCTCCCGTGCCTGACAATGTCATGACTTGGTATGCCACACTGGCTGAGGCCATATCGTGCCCCGAAAACCGATCGCTAATCTCGGATTAGGAACGCCGTCATCATCGGACCCGCGGACACGCCATTTGAGGATGGAACATTCAGGCTTGTGATGCAATTTGAAGAGCAGTACCCTAATAAGCCTCCTGCTGTCAAGTTCATCAGCCAAATGTTCCATCCCAACGTGTATGCTACAGGCGAGTTGTGCCTCGATATATTGCAAAACAGATGGAGCCCGACATACGATGTTGCCGCCGTTCTCACGAGTATCCAGAGGTACGTGTCCCCCCCAATGCATTAAACAAGGGCTTTATCCGGGGTGTTCCTGCGCAGGGCTAACGCATCTTCTTTTCTTCGTAGTTTGCTTAACGATCCAAACACTGGCTCTCCAGCGAACGTTGAGGCCTCAAACTTGTACCGGGAGAATCAAAAAGAGTATGAAAAGCGCGTCCGCGAGACGGTAGAGAAGTCTTGGGAGGAGTAAACCACCGACGGTAGATTTGCCATTGCGCAGACTCGTTTGCAACTGGCAACGATGAAATCCCCGCCTGTCGATTAACATCTATGGCTGGCACACTGCGCCGCTACCAAGTCGGCGCCGAAGCCGCACCACATGGGATGGTTTGTTGTGAATGGAGCTGCCGTATTCAACTAGATGTCGGTTCGCCTCCGGTACGATACGAAGACGCGACGAGATACATGCGGCGTTCATGGCAGTCCCTTGTTTGGATCAGTATGGGCAACGAGGCGTTTATTTTTCTACCACAGTCGACTGTCGGCGCTGTGTGTGTTTGCGCGGCCATCGGTTGCTCCCTGGCCCATGCATCAACTTTTCGAGGCTCTTTGGCACAAGCGCGTCTATCTCGAATGTGCGCGCCTTTTTGCAGTCACTCTTTCACCACCGCACCCACCATGAACCTTTATTTCCTAATCGGAGTTCAGAGGTAAGGCGACGGAAATTGAATTGTAATCTTGCATTTACATAGCGTTCGGTATACCATATATACTTTTTTTCATCTTCCTCTCTCTCTCGCTCCTCTCCTTGACGCGGTTTCTCTGTCGCTCACACACGCTCTCTCTCTCTCTGTCTATTTTTTCAAGTTGCCGTGCATATTATGAGTGAAGGGTTTAGCTCTTAAAGCTGTCTTTTTCTTTTTTTCTCTCTTTAAAATAAAACACGAAAACGGAATGCTCGCTTGCTTCAACCCCATAGTTATCAATTTACCTCGCGCGTACTCTTTTAGTGCCTTTCACCATACTTATTTTGTAGCACAGCACCTCTTCCGTGTTGTTAGCAGACCCATCAGTAGAAGATGGAGAATATGCTATTCCTCCCATCAATAGTCTGATGAAGATGCTGGGGTATCAGTGTGGACACTGAGCCCAAGTGCTAACCGGCCCCGGCTCGGTGGTTCGAACATGTCATTTGTGAGCCATTTGACGGATGCCTTGCCATATAATTGTATCCCGGGCATGTTGCTTCTTTTGCGCTGACCCAGCTTCGCTCGATTGTAAAAGGGAACAAGGCCATGGCTAAGCTATCTTGAGAACTGGAAGAAGAAAAGCACCGTGACTAGAAGGGATACGCTGATCTCGCCGAGACCCGATCGGCGTTGAGAGGGCTACATTGCTGTGCTATCGATAACAGGGTCACTCCCGAAAGGGTATGACTCTGCTCCGCTCCTATCCGTAAGTTTGGATCCCGAACCGAAAAGAAAAGAAAAAGAAGAAAAAAAGAAAAGAAAAGAGTCAGCATTGATGAGGGAACGAAGCAATCAAAAGGAAATATTGCAAGGCAAAAGAGCCGATAAAGCCCGGTGCCAGGCATTGACGAAGGCCGGAATTTTCATCTACTAATATTCACATGTACACTAATAAAAGAATTGGTGCAGCTCGCAAACGTCTCAAGCATTGCTTCATTGACGCTGTCTCTCCGGACTTTATGCAGGCAGGGTCTGGTCCTGTTGATAAGAGCGGGAGCAGTGATCGATAGTACTATTGATGTTGAGTCCCAAGACCAGGGGCTGGAACGGACTGGACTACAGTGCTCAGAATCAGTTGATCTTCTTCAATGTTGTTTGTCAGCTCGTAGACCATTGGCTGGTATTCGTGCGGCCATTTTCTTCTCTTCTTCCGGCGCTGGGCTCTTCCAGTGGGTGAAACATTCATCAACGAGGCGCCCTGGTGTGAACCCCTCTAATAACCCTCATTGCTGAAACTCTCCCTCGTGATGAGGTATCATCTAGCTGTGTAATGTAGGAGAAGATACATCCCGTAGATAGGCCCGGCCATGCTCCGAATCAATTCAATTCAGCCTCCTTCAGGATGGAGCCATGCTCCGTTCACGCATCAACCAAAGTTTGTTTCCCCTGTCGCGTCATCTCTCAGGCACCCATTTTGTACCTTCCTCCACTTCCTTCGGCCTTTGCTGAATTTCCAGTCCCGCGCAACGTCTGTGTCGTTGATTTTCCTTTCCAAACCGGGGCCGCCTTCATCTTTGCCATTCCCTCTCCTTCACGCCGTCTATTTTGTCCATGGGGGCCTGCGACTGTGCATGCGAAATTGACATTGAATTTGTTCCCCCTTCCTACCATCGTCGATTTGAGTGCCGACCGGGCTAAGTACCTCCTAAACGCAGCCCACGCTTGGTCCAGACTTTTGGGGCGCCTCGTCACTGCCAACCGAAGCAGGCCCTGTTGGCTGGTGCCGCATTGATCTACTCTCAGTTGTGGGCACCACCCCATCGGTCGGCACGCCCTCTTTACCGTCTTGACCATCGAAGCAACAAAACAGCCCCTCCCACCAAAGCCATTAAGCCCGACTAATCTCGCGCAAGCCCTCCGGGCGGTTTTTCGTCGCGACATCCGATAACCTACAACTCTTCTTTTTTGTCCCTCCCCTCCCCGCCTATTACCTCACCGCATGCCCTAGGTCTAACGACTTGCTTTGCTCGCCTCTGGCCGCACACTTGACCAGCCTATCACGGCAGACACAGGCACCCTGTCCGCACTAGAGATCACCGCCCAGCATGTCGGGAGCAAACAGCATCAAGGTCGTCGCCCGATTCCGACCTCAAAACAGGATCGAGTTGGACTCGGGCGGCAAGCCGATTGTCGCCTTTCAAGGTGATGATACCTGTGTTTTAGAAGTATGTAGCTACCACCATCATTTACGTCATTTTCCAGCCCTTGCTGGCCTTGCTTGCCATCATGCCGCCCTCCCCGCACCGCCCTCCTTCTCCTGCGTCGCGCCCTACCTCGTGGCGGATATCGTGAGGGGGAAAGGAGAAAGGGGAAGGGGGGCTCTGGCTCCAGCCTCTACCCCTCCCCTGCGGCCATGGTTATTGACAATCACAATGAGACGATATCTTGTCTGCTAACGCTAGGGGTTCGCGTTCCGAACCCGTTTCCTTTAGTCCAGAGATGCCCAGGGCACGTTCACATTCGATCGTGTATTTGATATGTCATGTAAACAAGCCGACATCTTTGACTTCTCGATCCGCCCCACCGTCGACGATATCCTAAATGGCTACAATGGAACCGTCTTCGCCTACGGCCAGACTGGTGCGGGTAAATCATACACGATGATGGGTACAAGCATAGACGATGAAGCCAACCGTGGTGTTATTCCCCGTATCGTGGACCAGATCTTTGCTAGTATCATGTCCAGTCCATCGACGATCGAATATACCGTCCGCGTCAGCTACATGGAAATTTACATGGAGAAGATTCGCGATCTCCTGGCCCCCAGAACGACAACCTTCCAATCCACGAAGAGAAGAACCGCGGCGTATACGTAAAGGGCCTTCTTGAGATCTACGTCTCCAGCGTGCAGGAGGTTATGGAAGTCATGCGGAGGGGAGGTAATGCGAGAGCCGTCGCAGCTACCAACATGAACCAGGAGTCATCCCGTTCTCATTCCATTTTCGTAATCACAATCTCGCAGAAACATGTGGAGACGGGGTCATCAAAGAGCGGCCAGCTATTCTTGGTCGATCTAGCTGGTAGCGAAAAGGTCGGCAAGACCGGCGCCAGTGGTCAGACGCTGGAGGAGGCCAAGAAGATCAACAAGAGTTTGAGCGCGTTGGGCATGGTCATCAACGCCTTGACCGATGGCAAATCATCCTACGTCCCTTACCGAGACTCCAAGCTGACTCGTATCCTGCAAGAGTCCCTCGGTGGTAACAGTCGAACGACGCTCATCATCAATTGTTCTCCTAGCAGTTACAACGACATGGAAACTCTTAGCACTCTTCGTTTTGGTATGAGAGCGAAAGCTATCAAGAACAAGGCCAAGGTCAACGCCGAACTCAGTCCTGCGGAGCTCAAGGCACTCCTACGAAAAGCCCAGACCCAGGTCACGACATTCGAAAACTACATCTCCAGTCTCGAGGGCGAAGTGCAATTGTGGCGCGCCGGCGAGAGCGTCCCAAGGATCGGTGGGTACCTTCCATGTCCGCTGACGGTACCGGGGTGGCTAAGGCACCGCCTCGGGACACTCGGCCGTCTACGCCGTCTAGGTTGGTGGCGGAGACGCGAGCAGAGACCCCCAGCCTGGAGCGATCCTCCACCCCGGGCATCCCGCTGGACAAGGACGAACGCGAAGAATTCTTGCGCCGCGAAAACGAGCTGCAAGATCAACTAGCCGAGAAGGAGTCCCAAGTTACGAATGCTGAGAGGCAGCTCAAGGAGACTAGAGAAGAGATGACGTACTTGAAAGAGCACGACAGCAAGATTGGCAAGGAGAATGAGCGACTTACCACTGACGTGAACGAGTTCAAGATGCAGTTCGAGCGCCTGACCTTTGAGGGCAAGGAGGCTCAGATCTCCATGGATGCCTTGAGGGAGCAGAATGCTGAGCTCACGGGCGAACTCGACGAGGTCAAGCAACAGCTTCTCGACGTCAAGATGAGCGTAAAGGAGTCTAGTGCCGTTCTCGACGAGAAGGAAAAGCGGAAGGCGGAGAAGATGGCCAAGATGATGGCCGGCTTCGATCTAGGCTCTGATGTCTTCAGTGACAAGGAGAAGTCGATTGCCGATGCCATCAAGCAGCTCGATGCTCTCTTGGAGCACAGCACTACCGGCGATCCCATCCCCCGAAGAATTTGCGGACATCCGTCAACGACTAGTAGAAACCCAGGGCATCGTTCGACAGGCTGAGCTGTCGACCTTTGGCACCGCCCCCAACGCTGCCGAGGCTCGCAGGAGACAAGAGCTCGAAGAGCGGCTCCAGATTCTCCAGAGCGAGTATGAGGAGCTTCTAGAGCGGAACCTCGGCGAGGCCGACACGGAGGAGATCAAGGCCCGCCTAGAGACAGCTTACTCGAACAAGCAGGAGCTCCAGACCAAGCTCGTCGACGACCTCAAGGTCGAGGTAGCAGAGAAGACCGCCGAGATTGAGCGTATGGGTACACTCGTCGAAGACCTACAAAAGCGCGTCGCGTCGGGCAGCTCCACTGCCATGCCCAATGGAAAGACGGTGCAGCAACAGATGGCCGAATTCGACGCCATGAAGAAGAACCTCATGCGCGACCTGCAGAACCGCTGCGAGCGCGTGGTGGAGCTTGAGATCTCCCTCGACGAAACCAGGGAGCAGTACAACAATGTCCTGCGTTCGTCCAATAGCCGCGCTCAGCAGAAGAAGATGGCGTTCCTCGAGAGGAACCTCGAGCAGCTCACCCAAGTACAGCGCCAGCTTGTGGAGCAAAACTCGGCCCTGAAGAAAGAGGTTGCCATTGCGGAGAGGAAGCTCATCGCCCGTAACGAGCGTATCCAGAGCCTCGAAGGTCTGCTGCAAGACAGCCAGGAGAAGATGGCAGCCGCTAGCCAAAGGTACGAATACAGCACCCCAACCCCCACCCGTCCCCAATGTGGAACAACTGATATTGACTACCTTTGCAGATTCGAGGTGCAGCTCGCCGCCGTCAAGGAGAGGCTCGAAGCCGCCAAGGCCGGTAGCACGCGAGGCCTCAATTCCCTACCGGAGGTATTGGCGGCTTCAGCTTTGCCAATGCGGGCAGTAGGATCGCCAAGCCCCTTCGTGGAGGCGGACAAGGCGATGGCCCCACGAACCCTGCCATTTCCTCCCTCCAGAGCGAGGGAGCCACCAACAAGCGATCGAGCTGGTTCTTCCAAAAGTCTTAGATGCCTCGTCATGCCCGTTTACATAGGATAGAAAGCGGCAAGAACATAAAGGGGAGCGACTCAGTATAAGGACTCTTGATTTGAGGATTTCCTTATGATTCGTTATTTTCCTTTTATTTTTATTTTTATTTCATTCTCCCCAGCGGCGCAACCCTCTCCCCCTCCTCCCTTTTTGTTTCTTTTTTCTTTTGTCTTCTACCTATCCATCTGTCTAAATTAAACCCACCTCTCTCCCTCGTCTCTACACAAACCCCATTGTTGTGGAACGCGAGTGTTTCTCTTCCCCTACTTCCCTCTCCTTCTCCCTCTGATGGAGAAGATTACAGCTTGTTATAAACAGATATGCATGGGTGGGGAGTACGGAGTAGGCTTTTAGGAGGGTAGGAAGGCTGAATGAAAGGCTCATATACAGACCTCACACAATCTACATACAATTTATATGCTGTGTTATTCGCCATGTAGTAGCAGACATACTCACGTGCTTAGGTGCCCGTCACGGACGTCGACTACCGTTTCCAATGCGCCCGCCGCGAGGTAGTTTCCAAACCTTGTAAACCTAAAATTTTGAATGGCGAGAAAGTAGTCAAGTCTACAGGCTAGTGCTTCGAGATTTACGACGACGGGTCTATGGATGGGTCGATTGCTGATTGTTAAGCAGGTTTCTCTCAGCTAGAGTCAGTGTGACTGAAGCTATAGGAGGAGAAGCATTTCAAGAAGCACTAGATCTTGTATTATTATTTAAAAAGGTAAAATAAAGTTTCTTTGCCAATGGAAACAGGAGAACAGTTCAGGCCAAACATAGGAAAATGAAGGACGAGGACTTGATGAGCAGAGATTTGCGTGAGGCCTCTACAGGCTCAGAGTAGAGCGACAGCGACATAAACTAAAGACGGATAAGGAAAACGCATAGATCTCTTTCTGCTACACACCACGCACCCTTCCAGATGCTATCTGCAGATTGATTCCTGCGGGTTGGAAGTCAACCGCGGGTTACGAGGCACCAAGCCTGAACGGAGTCGTCGACGAGGTCCGTAGATATTTCACACCGAGCATATTCTGCTCGCGTTATTACATGCCTGGGCTCAAATGACGCTTCCAGATGCGGCCTTGCTAAAGTGAGAGCCAAGGAGCAGTTGAGGAACAACAAAGGCCCCAAGAGCGAGCCAGAACACAAAGTTGACACCGTAAACCTTGGCGAAGACGATGATGATGCGCCTGAGAGCAGGGCGAGAAAGAGAGGCCCAGGCGTCACGTACAGAGGCAAAAGGCTTGCCACCGACAACGGCAGGCTCGAGGCGGCCGCCGAAAGAACGATCAAAGGGGATGATGGTATCCTCGTCGGGAGAGAGAAGGCTAGCCTGGATACGGAAAAGGATGGCGAGTGTGGGCAGGGTCAAGACAAGCTGCAAAGCGAGAGTAGATAGGATGACGACAACGGTAATGACGGCGGTCTTGGTATCGGAAGGGATCTCGGGTTTGCGGTCCGGGGAGAAGAAGGGAAGACCGGCTGCCAGACCGATGAGAGCGGGGATATACACGCTGGCAACGCTCGCCAACATCGTTATGACGGTGGGGAGAGCGACGGCACGGAAAGTGCTCGCAAACGGAGGAAGGCGCCTCCACCAAGAAACAGAGCTGGAGGGCGTCAGGACAACATGGACCCAGACGGTGCTAAACTGAACGGTGACGAGGGCGGCGATGATGATGGCAAAGGGCGAAAGAATCGGGCCAAGCGCAATCGCGAGTGGGTGTCCGATAATGGAGTAGAGGAGACCGTAAACGAAGAAGGGGACAATGCCACGGAACGAGGCGCGCCAGCCGCCGGTGGACTGGAGGAGAGCGTGGGTGCGACGGAGGCTGGAGGTTATGGGCACGTCGGCGGCACGGGGAGCCTCGGCGTCGGCGTCGGCGTCGGCACCGGGCACAGGGTCTTCCAGGGACAAGGGCCGATAGCCAGGCGGGGCATTCTCATCCTCGACAATGGCGAGGAGAGGATAGACGTTGCTCACGGTGTAAGCGACCTGTATTGTGCCCAATGTTGTTAGACAGGATCAAGGCTTTGGGCAAGGGAAAATGGGGGATAGACTTACAAATATGGCGATCGGAAGGAAGATGATGAAATCTACGAGGAAGAGACCCCAGACCCATTTAGGGAGCTGAGGGGTTGGCCTGGGCCATCGCCGACGTCGTCGATGGTCCGCTTGAGGAGCGGAGCAGCAACTTTGACAAGAAAGCGGCCGCTGTGATCGAACATACTTGCGCTAAGCGAATGCGCACCTGAACGCAGTAGTTTTTGATGGCCTTAATTCGGGGGAAAAATAGAAAGAAAAAAAGAAACCAAGCGTGGGATCCTAATGTAGGAGAAATTGGGGTGACAAGCAAAGTAAATAGAAGCGGCGACAATGAGGGTGGTCTGCGTACTTATGTGGAAAGGAGGTGATACCTTGTGAGTTACAAAGAGGTGGGAAGGAACGAGGCAATTATCCCCCGCTTTCCTTTGATCCTGAAGCTGCACTCTTTTAAGGCCTGCTATACTTGTAGAGGTCTCGATGCCAAAGGATCAAAGAACCAACAGGCCAGTTTGAGAATGGATGGATGGACGAACGCTTGCAACTCATCCAAGTCGAGTGTAGCGAGCCGGGCCAGGCAGCAGCAAAACGCCAATCGCCCCATTGAGCCGACAAGACGCGGCCAAGAATATGGACAGGACGTGCGGACACGGCGGCTCCAGGTGGGGTTCGTTCCTCTGAGTTTGGGGGAAGAAGACCAGGGGGCCAATTCGGTACACCCACACCTCACAAATGTGCTGTCGCAATCACTGCGCCGCACAAGTCATGACGCAAGCGAGAGCCTTTGTGCATTCTACACTAGCCAAAGGGTGGGATCACGACCGCCTCGCGTACCATATACTTGTACCATGATCTCGCCTGCTTGCTTAGCCGGGGAGCTCAGTTTTAAAGTCTGGCTTGTAAGCCTGCACGCTAAATTCTGTACACGCATAGACTCTCTCGACAAACAGATGCAATCGCATAATGAGGTTGATGAAGAGGTTTGAACAAGACATAAGGAGGACCCGCGAGGCTAGCCTGCTATATACTAAAGCACATCATCGAATTTGTAAGACGCAAAATATATCAAAGCACCCGTGGCCATTGATGTTTTCTCGTTGCCAATATGTGCGGCCCAGCCTGTGGCCGACCCATGGGAGCGATGTGCTCCCTTCGCTTTGGCAAGGCATCGCCCCCTTACACTTCCTAAGCGAGGTCCTTGTAGTACTGTTTCCTCCATATCGTATCATTCCGAGCCTGGCATCCTACAATTGCCACCGTGATGGCATTCCACACGCCTTGATTTCGCTTGTTGAAGTTGACCTCTACCTGGTAGCTAACATGCGCAAACTCCCCTTTGGTGGAGTCTATCGTAAGGACAAGGAGCGTCGTGTTGACGACAAAGAGGCCATAGAGCACTGGAGGGTGCACAACGTATTGAGGATCCTGCGGTTCGAGCATCAACTCATCCTCCCCTTCCTCCTCGATTCCGTTTTCGCGCATCCTCCAGCGCTTTCGATGGGAGCGAGCCAGGTCCCTAAGCCGCTCCTGCATGTAGGTGGCGATTTCGGCACCGCTAATGCTCACATCGACGATTTCCACAAAAATGTTAGTCAGGATACTAATGCCGTCGTAGCCGCCGTCCCTCGCGGCCCACGTCAGGTACTGGTCTATTTCTCTTTGATGAGAACCGGGATTTTGGGTTTTGGTTCGTCTGCACAAAGGCCCTCACTAAAGCTGAGAGGTCAATCAGGCGAATGATGGCCTTGGTTGCTATTCCGAGCTATTGTTAGTCTGTTGCCGTAGCTTCAGGAGGGGGACGTCTCGGCCAGAAAAGCTAGCTGCTTACCTCGAAAGTCCTGGTTAGAGTATGAATAGACCACAGGCTCATCCACCTCCGAGGTTGCAAATAATATGTCTGGCACGGGAATGCCTCGAAAATCGAGGCTCCAGTGTGATGGGAGGAGAGGACTGTATTGCCGCATGAAAAGGATCCGAAACAGCTCCTCCTCGTCCGGAGCCCACGCGTCGCTGCCTGGAAAGAGCTCCTTTTCTTGCATCATTTCCTCGTAGCGATCCGCCTCTAGCTCCCTCTCCACCTCGTCGAGTCTGCTAGAGCCCTCATCATAGTCCTCGAGCGATTCAGGTATTGGCGAACTGATACCCCTATGCTTTTGTATCCTCCCTGCGAGGACTCGATCTCGTTTTCGATTGCTACCCTGCCGGGTGCTACTGCCTGTGCTAGGTGTCTTGCTCTTTGAAAGCCTGTTCACGAGGGGCTGTCAACCCGGCGGCTTTCCCGAGCTGCAGACATGCTGTAGGTCTTCTACCTAGACAATTAAACCCCCTACGCTACTCCTTTGTTGTCGCTTCTGGTGGTGAGACGATGTAATAGGGGTGTAAGTCTATTTCTTAACGCCTCGTCGCTACTAACGTCCTGAGAGACTGAGGCAAAGTTGAAGGCAAGAGAGAAATGGCGGGTTTGTTGAAAAGGGAACGCCGGGACCTGGCAAGATTTCGCAAGGACAAAGGGAAAGCGAAGGCGCTCGCTCCCAATCGCCCAGTGCTTGATTGTCGGGCTTGGACGGTAAAAGTGGCCTCGCTGGACTGGCCAAGACCCAACCGAACCTTTCACCTGTGTTACGGATTTCGCGAGCTGGTTGGTTGACGCTGACTTCTACTACCTCCTCCTTGAGGCAGCTTGTCGGTGAAGTGTGAAGAGAGAAAAAACCCCCTGAGAGATTGAAAGGGGCTAAGAGACGCGGATGTTTCTTTTTCTTCCCTTTCAATCTCGTGTGGAGTGGTAGGGAAAGCGGCGTGAGCGTGAGGATAAGGCCCAAACTGCCCAAAGCGAGTTCTTCGATCGATATCGCGATGGCGTTGGGATGGTGAGCTAAGGCGGTGACGCAGGCAAAGAAGTTGGGGTTGGGTACGGTTTTATGAGATGTGCAAACGCCTCTTGGCTTGGGCTTGCGGATGGCCTCTAATACAAAAATGAAGGAAGAGGGTTGCCTCCATACATCAAACGTTGACTAAATTGATATCGGCCACCAAATGACCCCGCGCAGCCTCCCTTCGAGCCGGGGAACATTTAATTTCAGGAGAGACGATACTGTCAAGCAGCCGGCTTGTAACCAAGGATAGTAACAGAGTCACCTCCTTGAATCTCAGAGAGGATGAAGGTGTTGACTTCAAATCAGCCAGTCGGCCAGCAGCCGGCTCTAGGATTTCATGTCGACCAAGATCAAGCGTCCATTTCTCGAAACCCCAACTAATCCATTCGTTGATATCGACACTGATTGATTTGACCCGTGGATGAATACCTCCAACTGTTGTACTGTTTGTTGTATGTTGCAGATGCTCGAGCCATGCAGCGACACTAGACTTGTCGGAAACTTCCCCTTTGAGAAGCGATATTATGTCATCAATCCGTGGTTCGCACTAAAATTGTGTCTTGTACGGAGTACCTGCCGAAACAGCTCCACCAACGTCACTCGAGTGTCCCACTCACACGCAAAGCGGCGCAGATTGCAAATGACTTGTTCCTGCTTCCACGATTTTTCCCCAGCGCGACGCGCCAGGCTCTTTGTACTCCCGTTTGTAATTGATCCCTCCCGCCCCAAACCATTAAATCCGCCTTCTTTTATTTCCAACACATCATCAAATACAGACGCACGCAAACCCACGTCGAGTCGCATCCTCATCCACCATTTTCAACGCCCTTTATTTTCATCTTTTCGGAACGAATCGCATTGATTAGTAGCATCTTCACCCCCACCTCTCAATCTTTAGGTTCCACTGCTCCCTGTGCCCTCTTCCCCGCCTCACAACAGCAGCCGACCTGAAAGGGAGATGCACCGATCCACACAGATCAACTAGACGACCCTACCACCATGGATTGGTCAAAGCTAAAAGTCACTGAGCTCAAAGCTGAGCTAAAGCACCGCGGCCTGGCGCAAGGCGGATTAAAGGCGGATTTGGTCGCGAGGCTTACAGAGGCAGATGCTGCGCAACCGCAGTCCGAAGCAGAGCCGTCTCCGATTCCTGAGCCCGTCCCTGAGCCTGTCCTCGAGCCTGTCACTGAGCCCGTCACTGAGCCTGTCATCGAGCCCGTCCCCGAGCCTGCTCCCGAGCCTAGCCCCGAGCCCATCGAGCCCATCCACGAGCCTGCCCCCGAGGTCGTTCAAGATGAGCCTGTACAAGCCTCGCCTGTTCAAGATGGCATTGCGGGCGCGGACGGGGCTATGATTCTACATCATTCAAAATCGCCAGAAGAACCTCAGCCCGGAGATGGAAGTTCAGAAATTGCTGCGCCTGATGTCGAGATGGCCACAATCGAATCTGCCCCCGAGCCTATCACCTCACCATCGCGCACCTCTCCCGAAGATGTTGCGGCCGAGAAGAGTTTGGAACAGCTGCCGGAGGCTAGGGTAGAGGCTATCGTCGAAGAAACTGTCGAGGCCGGCGAGACCGCGAATGCAGCTTCTTCGCCAAGTGCGGCGGGCACACCGATTACGGATGTAAATGCGGATATTCCACTGCAGCATGATCTGCCGGTGCTGCCCCAATCATCGCAAGATGGTCAAAAGCGAAAGCGTTCCCCGAGCGTTTCTCCCGGGCCGGAAGAGGAGGCACGAAAGCGCCAGCGGGCGGATAGTCACTCAGAGCAGGGAGAGGCTAGTACTACTGCTGCCGCCTTGGACGACGACGTCGAAATGGAAGTGCCACCCACAGAGGATCGCATCGCTGGACCCTCCCTAGAACCGGCAGCACCTCCAACCCAGGAGCCTGTCGCCTTTGAAAAGAGCCGGGCGACACCCGACGCCCCACGGTTGACTGAGTCCGAACCTGTTTATGAGATGCAAGTCGAACGAGATGTTCCACCCGCAATCCACCCCGCCACGTCAGCGGTCTATATTAGGAATTTCATGCGGCCGTTGAGGGTACCGGATGTTCAGGAATACCTCGCCAAGGTTGCAGCCCCGCCCAGCGCAGAGCCTTCCCTGGACGATATTGAGAACTTCTTCCTCGACCAAATCCGCACACACGCATTTGTGGTCTTTAGGAGCGTTTCGGCTGCATCCCGCGTCCGAAATGCTCTTCACGACTGCGTTTGGCCAGATGAAGTGAACCGCAAACCGCTGTGGGTTGACTTTGTTCCACCAGAGAAGGTGGACGAATGGATTGCCATCGAAGCCTCGCAAGGCGGAGGCAGGAGCTCCATGGCCAAACGTTGGGTTGTCAACTATGTCGATGATGATGATGGAAACATCATCGCCCGCCTAGAGAATGATGAACAACCCCTCGCATCCCGACAGGTCCCGGGATGCGGGGCCCGGTTCCGGCACCGTCGTCGCATAGTAATGCCCGGGCCCCCTCCCTCCGATTGCGTCGAGCAGCATAAACAATATTCCACTAGGCCCTCGCCCGCAACGCGGTCAGCAGAACATCCCCCATCCGCGGCCACGGCCGAGGCCCGCAGGACAGCCAGGTGGCAAGTTCAACACAACGTCCTCTCGGCCTTATATTTCTTACCAGCCTGTCTCAGAGGACGTAGCCCAGCAGCGACTTGAGGACATGCGCTCTTATTTCACCAGGGATACGCAGCGCGATCTAGGCAAGGAGATTAACCGATATACATTCGAGGATGGAGCTCGCTTCGTCGATAGGGGACAGAAGTTTTTCACGGAATTCGTCCACCTCATCGTGAGAGCAATCGGGGACCACAAGGCCACGGGCGGCCGCCACGACGAGATGGCCCGCGATTCGGCGGCGGCGGAAGACGAGGTGGTGGTGGTGGCCCGCCACCCTCTTCCGACCCCGAAGCGATAGATACTTTCCCGGGGCTGACGAGCGCGAGAACCGCCCCGGAACGATTTTGGACGTACGCGGTTTGACGATAACTGGGGCTACCGGGGTGGGGACAAGCGAAGGCAGAATTATCAAAACGACGAGGAGGCTTCGCTACGATGATCGAGATGGTAGAGAGATGCGCTATTAGGCCGGCGCTCTCGTGTAACGATGGTTTGTATGGGGACTTCACAAAACAAAGGGCGTACGGCGTTTGAACCAAGGAAATATGTAAACAGTACTTCAAAAAAGGGTGGGTAGGTCTTGTCGTCATCATGGTCAAGGTGCATTTAGGAGGTTTTACTAAAAGAGAGCGCAGGGGACGGGATGTTGTTGGCTCCCCTACCCTCTTTCCACATGCACGCCCCATCATATAAGGATCAGGGACGATAGTCTTGATGTACAAGAGAGAAGATAGAAAACAGCTTCGAAAAGATAGCAATAAATAAACAAAACCCCTAGGTTTTCAATTGACTGTGCCTCCATGCATTCAATTCCGATTTTCTTCAGAAGATCATTGATAATTCGTCCCGAGGTGAGCGTCGGTTGTTGTGCGCCACAGCCAGTGTGGCTGGTAGCCGGTAGTAGCCGATTGCCTTGCACACGCCAGCCACGGCCCAGAAATTCCCGAGGAAGCCAGGACCGTACCGAGCTCCCCTCATCAATTGATCAACCTCTGAACTTCTTTTTCGCAAGCAAGTCGTATCTGCGATTGGCAACCCTGTATAATATCTCGTTTGCAAACATGTCTGCCTTGAGGATTCTTGTGCCCGTGAAGAGGGTAATTGACTTTGCGGTAAGTAATCTTCCAAAGCAAGCCAGTTGCCCTTTTTTTTTTCCTTTTATTTCTCTCCCCGAGGCCTCGGGCTTTCAAGCTCGGCTGGTTTTGGAGATGGCACACTGGGCCAACCTCTCGACGCTTCCTCGAGAATCCATCTACCGTTTTCAGTTTTGCCCACTCCTTCGAGTCGCCCCGAAAAGCGCTGTGGCAATGAGGAGACGAATTGAGCATGGCTAATCTTTTCTGTTACCTTTGCCCAAATGTCTAGGTCAAGCCGCGTGTCAACAAGACCCTTACTGGTGTCGAGACGGTCGGCGTCAAGCACTCGATCAACCCCTTCGACGACATCGCCGTGGAGGAATCCGTGCGCATCCGGGAAGATAAGCGCGCGCCCGGTGGCGTGGAGGACATTTGCGTCTTCTCCGCGGGACCCCGAAGGCGCAAGAGGTTCTCCGCACGGCGATGGCTCTCGGCGCGGACCGAGCTATCCACGTGGAGCTCAAGGAAGGCGAGGACCTGGAGCCCCTGGGCGTGGCCAAGGTGCTGCAAAAGGTGGTGGAGGAGCAAAAGAGCAACCTGGTGATCCTGGGCAAGCAGAGCATCGACGACGACGCGGGCCAGACGGGCCAGATGCTGGCGGGTCTGCTGGGCTGGGGCCAGGCGACGCAGGCCAGCAAGGTGGAGTTCGTGTCGGGCGACGTGGTCAAGGTGACCAAGGAGGTGGACGGCGGCGTGGAGACGATCCAGGCGAAGCTGCCCATGATCATCACGACGGACCTGCGGCTGAACACGCCGAGGTTCGCCAAGTTGCCCAACATTATGAAGGCGAAGAAGAAGCCTTTGGATAAGAAGAAGCCCGAGGACTTTGGATTGGACCTCACGAAGAGGCTAAAGGTGCTCAAGGTTACTGGTAAGCTTTCCCATTCCCTGTCCTATACCTACTTGTTTCCCCTACCTGCACCTATCCTCTTGTTTCTTGGTTTGCTGACAGCTTTATCGCAGAGCCACCCACTCGCCAGGGCGGTGGAAAGGTGGAGGACGTGGGTGGACTCGTTGCTAAGCTGAAGGAGCTTGGTGCTCTGTAAATGAACAACACATAACAATTAAAAATTAAAAAGAGAGGGCGCGCTTTGTATCTTCTGCTCTCCCATGCTCTTTTGATGAGTGTATAGATCTATTTAGACTACATGATTATCGGCCTTGGGGTGTCATTATGAGGGGACCCACGTTGGAGGTCTCTTTCCAATTTTGTTCTTCTTTTTTCTCTTTTTTTCGCAGTTCAATGGATTTGTATAGTCGGACAATACAGTCACCTGCGGATTCGTTCCTCGATCGTGAAGTTCTCCTTTTCTTATTTTGGTGAATGCACGCAGATATACATCCCCCGCCCATACACATTAATGGATTTGGCTGTTCAAATCATAATACATGGAGGTCGGAATGAAGACTGAACAGCGCACCACTGTCATTTTCAAGGTCTCATTACATTTCTAACCCAGCGTTGCGATCAGCGATTGTCGGTACCGGATACATCAGACATGAAAATCAACCAAGCGTGGTTTGGACTATTACATTGGCAAGGGCGCCAGGGCTCCGAAGGCCGGAGCAATTTTTTCTGGAGTGCCTCTCTTCAGGGGTGGGTGGTTCTAGAGTCGCACAGACGAGGATCAGTGACGACAGATGATGGGTTTTATTATTATCCTCTGCTTCAATGTTCTCACATGTTTCCCCTCCTGTCGGAAGCTTCTCGCCCCCACCTTTTCGCCTTGTCTCCTCTGCTGCTCTGCTGGCTGTACTGGCAACTGGCTACCCTCGTCCATCACTCGGCCGGAGCTCGAGAGAGGACAAGCCCCTGGCGTAAGTCAATCTTGTCGAGGCGAAAGCTGGAATGAGAAGCTGGGGGCCGAGGTAGCTAGTCCTGACGTAGCCAATGACGGGGCACAGAGGCTCTTATCTTTTCTGATCTTGTTCTGGTAAATACAATGCAAATCAACGTCAGGTCCTCGTCTTGCTTGTGTTACGGGGGCCCGACGACTGGTAACGAAGAACAGTAAAGGCTCGCGGTAGATGGATGGATTCAGTCATCTCTGATGGATACATATGTAATGATTCGGTGATTCATTGCTGGATCCATTGATCCATTGTATGGACCCATTCAATTGGTGACTCAAACTCCAATTTTTGGGTCCTTCCTTGGGGAAAGGCCCTCAATGCTCCATGTGGGCGCTGCATTCATCAATCAAATGGGACATTGCATCAAAGATGCGCCAATCCATTCAAGGTTCTTTCAAGCGCTTCAAATCCCTCCCGAGCTGGATGTGTTGAAGTGTGCCCCGTGCGGTGGAATGAATTCTGAGAAGGGAATTGGGGCACGCGGTCTCAACGGGCGCACGAGCAGAAGAACGAGCGGGGAAGTTTGCAATTGAGGAGCGAGCGCACGAGGTTCGAACTGCTCAAGTGCTGCGTCTGGTCGAGTTTGGAGGGGTTGATCAGGGATCTTGACCTGATCGATCAGCGATGCGACGATATCGGCGTGCCCAGTCTTGCCAGTTTCCGGGACTGGCTGGGGCCGGCGAGGCCGCCCCCAACCAACCAGAAGTTCTTCATTAGCTCTTATTATCACAAGACACATACCGCCCCTCTGTCCTCCACTCCGTTTTGGTCAATGCAATGCTAATTGATACATTCGAAGTATACAGCGATACAAGTACCCAGCGCACAAGGCGACTGACTGTGACTTGATGACTCCACTGGAAATTTTTTCCGTTCCCTCACCCTTGGCTTGGTTCCCTTTTCCCTTTGCCTTTCCCGCCCTTTTTTCTTCCGGTCCCTGAACCACATCTTTTCCTCATCTTTTCCCCACGCATCCATTGACTGATCGCACCCCAGCACTTTTCCCTCGTTCAAACGCCCTTTGAACCCTATATGCCTTCGACCTTTTTTGAACAATTGTTTTGTTCTAAAAACCTAAGCCCCATATGACTGGGCGCCCTTCCGAGTTCACCTCTCAGGTATGTTTTTTTACCGATCTCGTTCTTGGTCTTCCTCTATTCTCCTGGCATCTTTTCTATTCCACCCTCGGTTTTCGGTTTTCCCGGGCCAAACGGGGCGAGGAGAAAAAAATTCTGTTGGCGGTCCCGCGGGGAAGGCAAAGTTGCCAGAAGGGCGCTGGAAGTTGGGGGAAGGCGGTCTGCACGGCTGTCCCTCGCGCTAACCCCACCAAAAACTTTTATCGCCCTTATCACCCATCTCAAGTCCTCTGCCACCAAAACTCCCTCCCCTCGCCTACCACCATTCATCCTCTCAATGTCTCTCGAGTAGACCTCGAGACTCTTCAATCATTCTGCATTCTTGTTTTGCATCATAGAGTTGTCATTTTTCGGTTAATTGGCATGATATACTGACTTGCTGCGTTGTAGGACTATCTTTCAGGTTCGTACCTCTACCCGCCCTGGGGTTCCAAAGCGCTCTCACCGCTGCCCTTTTTTCTTCACCCAATACCCACCACCAGACGTTCGCTTCGCGTCCTGACTTAGACTAACGTGCAACATAGACCATCTGTGGCGAGCCTTAGCCGCTTAAACGGTCTCTTGAACACTTAGCTAGATACCCTTTCTTTTGCCCTTTTCTCGCTCCTCAACCACCCCGTTTTTACGACTCATTCTCAAAATGCTCCCTCGATTGGCTTTCCAACTCGCCAGGCCCGCTCAGGGCTCCGGCTCCATGGCCGCCAAGCCTCTTTCATCCTTACTCCAAGTCCGCTATGCCTCGAAGAAGGCGTTTGCAGGTGGAAGCAAGGGCCGAGATATGCCCCTGCAGAAATACCGCACCCCGTCGTCCCCCAGCGCCGTAAAGGGCTCGACCGCCACTCTGACCATTCGTGTAAGTCTTTCGGAATGTGGAGAAATAGGCCGACGGCGTCTCAGTCACCACCTTTCGATATGGTCCAATTATGCTAATCTTGGAGGGGCTCTTTTGCAGGATGGACCCGTCTTCCACGGCAAGCCTTTCGGCGCCAAGAACAACATCTCGGGAGAAGCCGTCTTCACGACCTCCCTCGTCGGATACCCCGAGTCCATGACTGATCCCTCGTACCGTGGCCAGATTCTGGTCTTCACCCAGCCTCTCATTGGCAACTACGGTGTCCCTTCTAACGAACGCGACGAGTACAACCTCCTCAAGTACTTCGAGTCCCCCACATCCAGTGTGCCGGTGTCGTCGTGGCCGACGTTGCCGAGCAGTACAGCCACTGGACTGCCGTCGAGAGCCTGAGCGAGTGGTGCGCGCGTGAAGGCGTGCCCGCCATTTCCGGCGTTGACACCCGCGCCATCGTCACTTTCCTCCGAGAGAAGGGCTCTTCCTCGCCAAGATCACCGTTGGCGAAGAGTATGATGCCGACGAGGACGAGTCCTTTGTCGACCCCGGCGCCATCAACCTCGTGAAGAAGGTCAGCACCAAGGCGCCCTTTGTTGTGGAGTCTCCCGGTGCTGACTTGCACGTTGCCCTCATCGACTGCGGAGTCAAGGAGAACATCCTTCGCTCCCTCGTCAGCCGAGGTGCCTCGGTCACCGTCTTCCCCTACAACTACCCCATCCACAAGGTTGCTAGCAACTTTGATGGCGTCTTCATCTCTAACGGCCCCGGTGACCCGACTCACTGCCAGGAGACCACCTACAACCTCGCCCGCCTCATCGACACCTCGGAGGTCCCCGTCATGGGCATCTGCCTCGGCCACCAGCTTCTCGCTCGCCGCTGGCGCCCGCACCATCAAGCTCAAGTACGGTAACCGGGCTCACAACATTCCGCCCTCGACCTGACCACCGGTCAGTGCCACATCACCAGCCAGAACCACGGTTACGCCGTCGATTCCAAGACCCTGCCCGACGAGTACCAGGAGTACTTTGTCAACCTCAACGATGGAAGCAACGAGGGCATGATCCACAAGACCCGCCCCATCTTCTCCACCCAGTTCCATCCCGAGGCCAAGGGAGGTCCCATGGATAGCTCCTATCTGTTCGACAAGTACATTGAGAGCGTCAAGGCCTTCAAGGCCAGCCAGTCCGTCTACAAGGACAACCGCCCTACTCGTCTCATGCTCGACATCCTCAGCAGGGAGCGTGTCGGCGTCGAGCCTACCCCCTTGCCTCGGCCCAGTAAAACGGATCCGGTCATTGTAATGGCAGGTGGACGGGGTATTCATCTTCTCTGAAATACGGGAATGGCGAAGGAGTTTTTTGTTTTTGTTTCTTGCTGGTTTTTTATTCTAGCCTTGTACCGGGTCGTTTTTTTCTTCCTTTTTTTCTTCCACGTCGCGTTTACACAAACTAGGACAGACACAGATTGCACTTTTTGAAAGAGTTTTTTTACATGGAAAGCGCACATCGTGTTATTTTTTTGTATCTTTGTGAAGTTTATAAGGCGAAAGACCCGCCCAGAGGCAAACTAACTATAAAAAAAAAAAAAGGAAGCTATGATGATGAAGCCTCTCTCCATACGTCCGATATATCATGTGCGAGATACCTGTCCCTCTAGGATGCGGATGAATGCTGCAATGAGTGACTGCCCGGATTCCAGAAGTTTGATCTGGAGATCTCCAAAGGACACCCACCGCCTCACATAAGTCGTAATCAAAGGGCTCGTCCCCCTCCTCACATACCAGACCCCATAGGCGCACTCGGCTCATTCTTCCCCCGGCACTGGCTGATGACGCATGATGCGATTGAACTGGCCTCGTTCCAACTTGTTCACTAGACTGCACCTCGTCGTACTCGTACAAAGATACCCCTCCCCGGCACCAAAACATCTTGGGTTCGTTCCTAACCTCAGGCTGCAGTTATTGCTCCCATGCAAGCAGTGTGTATTGTTCCTTCCACGACTCGTCTTGCCAGGGCTCTTTCTTTCCCCTTCATCTTTCGTGCCATCCTAGTCCCCTGCTTTCCCCATATTCTTTGATCCGTCTCGGTACCACGTCTCTCTTCTCTCCCTCAACTCTCGCTCCCTGCAAACAAGACGAGCTTTACCACTCATCCCAGTCATCATCCTTCTTCTTGGCGGGGCCCGCGCCGGTCCTGCCCCCTTGCCCATCGCCGCCGTGCCGATGGAGCTGGACGCCGGCGGCCGCTGCTCGGCAATGGTGTTGAAGTCGTCCCAAAAGTCCTTGCGGGTCTCGTCGAGGGAGCGGCTCGTTGGCGGGCGCCGGCCTGGTCGCCCTCGACAAAACGCAGGAAACCGTCGTTGGCGGTGCGGGCGCCTTGCTGGGCCTGGCGGGCGACTTGGGCCGCGGTGACTTGAGCTTGCTTGGCGAGGTCGGACTCGGCAATCTGTTTGCGGTAATTTCGATGGGCAGGGTTAGTAACCTTTGTTGAAAACATGAATTGCCGTCTCACGACACGAGACGATTGGGGGTATGGGTCCACGTACCTTTTGGGCGGTGGGCTGGATGTAACCCTCATTGACGTCCTTGGCCGTCTTGGTCACGGTGGAGGCGAACCAGCCAAACCCCTTGGTCAGCGCGCCCAGGGGATCCTTTTGCAGTTCGTCCAACGATGGGGCCGCACCGCCGGCACCGGGGTTTGCCGTGGATGGGTGTGGGGTGCTTCCGAAGCCGGCATACTTGCCGCCTTGGCTCGGAGGCAGGTCGTCCCTTCGGCCCGCGTTGTCGGCGCCCAGCTTGGCAAAGAATTTGTCATCGACCTTGACCTTGCCGCCGCTAGCGGTGGCCTGCCCGCCCGCGGGGGCGTGCTGGACGCGCCTCGCCTCCCCGATAGAGGGGTACCGCTCCTCGAATCGCCACCGCCAGCAGCCGAGCTCCTCGCCCCGGCGCTGGGGGTGGGCTTCTTTCCGAGGGCACGTACTCCCTTTCCTCCACCTTGGCGGTCAGCCTCTCCTTCCACTCCTCGCCCACCGTCCCGCTATACCGCTCGGCGATGGTGGCCTCGTCCCATGTGAGGCCCATCATGGTCGTGTCCTCGTGGGCCTCGAAAAAGTCGCGCCAGCCCTGGTTGCCGCCCAGCCGCATTCGCTCAATCTCGTTGGGCTTGAAAGCGTCCATCGAGATGCTCCTGACGAAGGAGATGTGTACGCCTAGCCCGCGGTGTACGCCCGCGCACGAAAGGCAGATGAAGACACCAAATTTGGGCGAGGCCCATTGTGGGGAGGAGCGCCGCAGTCGCAACAGACATTGTTCTTGCCCTCTTTTGGATCGCTTGAGCTGCAATGTTTCAACAAGTGATTGAAATGGGCACGGTTAGCTCTCTTAGCCATCGGAAGCAGCAAGGCAAGGAGAAGGAGACGAAAAAGGGAGGCGGGCAAAAGGGGGAGGGGGGCGGGGTACCGACGACAAAGCATACCTTGGATCGAGTTTCGGGATCAACCTCCCACATCGCCTTGCTAGTAGCCATGGTGGGCTGCGTGGCCGCTATGATGCGTGTGATATCTAGAGATCGTTTTGGAGAAGGCGGACGGGAAGGGGGTTTCTCAGTTCAAAGGAGAAGTTATTGCGCCACTTCAAGGAGTTGACCCAGGAGGTGTGCGCATACAAAGCTCAACAGACCCCGCGGCGAAATGTTTTCCGTTTGTAGCAAATGGCTACCTTTTTGAGGTCCACAGGCCGACTTAGCTTAGCGGGTTTTCCTTTTTCCTTCTGCTCCTTTGCAAGCGGGAGGGGTGGGATAATTCTAGATAAATGGTGCTCCGCTCGCGGGCTTCTGTTAAATGCGCTGGCTCGTGGGAAAAAGGTCTACAAATTGATGGCGGTGGTGTTGAATAGTTCGATTGGCCTGGGTTAGGGGCACAAGGGGCAGTCCGTCGTTGCAAGGGGCAATGCAAGAAGAGTGGACCCCGCCCGAGTGTGGACGATGGGGTATTATTATCACGTTGCTGGTGGCCTTTAAATTGATTAGGCTGCTCAAGCTGGAGGACTTTACAGAAACACTGTAGGCGTGGAGCGGGATTGGATTGGCAGGGGAGTTTGACAATTGGAACTGGAACCCTCAATGCCATTCAATTCAGCGTTGTGCGCCATGTCGCGGATGTTGGCATTGGAGTCGCGTTTTGAACACACCATATACTACATGTACTCATCCATTGAATGTATGGATGGATCAACGGGTCTACACGAGATGATTCGAATGTAATGGGCTTAAACCACATCATGAGCTGAAGCATGGATCTTCTATATCGTCACGAACCGCCCTAGATTCCTCAGCTAGCTGCTCAGCACACGACCCGAGCAGTAGCCTCGCACCAAGTCTCGCCCACTCGTTCCGCGCTAGGTTTCGAACGAATTCAGGTCACAATATGGCTCAAGCTACTCCCAATCTCTTGTTCAATTTTGTCTGCAACCCGATTCGTACATGCAGTCTCTTCCCACGCCTATGAAAACGGGACGGTGGGCTGTTTTGTGACGGGTAGGAGACATCCATGGATAGATGAATGAATGATTGCAATACAAGAAGGTTCAAGTTAGTATTGATATGGATGTACGAAGTATTAATTGACGCCTGACAATCGGCACGTGCAACCACCCGAACCTTCACCGTCACTGAGTTGATCGATGATGTCTCCCACCCACTTTCAGCTTCGTTCTGCAGGCCCTGGTGCTTATGCCCTGACCAGGCACACACACATTGCCCACACAACAAGTTCGATTCAGTAGTCACCAACATTTACATACCCATCAAAATTGTGTCATAGAGCAGGCAAGGTCACATCATAAGTCAACCCCTTCACCGGTTCGAGTCCCATCTACGAGGGGCCATCATATCATCAAAGATAAAGGTTCCCGTGTATTCTCGTTGCGCCAAACTTTTCTATCCCGGCCTTTTGAACTACCCGCCCTCCGACTGAGCTAATATACAACCCAGAGAAGGGTAATGGAAAGAAAAGACCTCTAGGTAAGTATGAAGGAAATATAGAGAATAACCGGAAAAGGCATAAGTGTACCATCATGTTTTCTCGGGGCACGATGGAAGAGAGAAATGGGCGAACAAGGGAAAGGAGAAAGGGAGAGGGAAAAAAAGAATGCCTTGCGGTAGATATGGCTATTGCCCACTACTCTCTTCTTCCCGACAAGGAAAGAGGGAGAGAAAGGAAAAGAGGGTGCAAGAGGCAAGCGGTGCATCTTTTTTTCTTTTCTCGGTAGCTCAAACAAACAAACCAGAACATCACCCATGGGAGGTCGTACAGCAAGACAGGAAATCAGTTTGGAACAATCGTTACCCGTGCGTCCTCGTAAAATATTAATTCATTCTCGGCGCGAGAACGGCCAATCCGTGTCTAACCCATTCCCAAAGGCGTTCCCAGTAATTTGTCGGGGAAGAGGGTGGTCTACCATGATATTTGAAAAGTCATCCGCCCAAATCCCAGTATCGCATCGTAACTCCGGGATTCCGCCGTGATTCAAAGGAGAGAGCATCGTCGAACCCATGGGCTCTCTCCACACCTAATGATGAACCCGCGAGGGACCATCATCCATCCTAGGGAGCTGATTCCCCTAGGCGCTGGGGGTGGCCTCGACAGCCGCCTCCTCAGCTCCACCGTTGGTGGCAGCCTCACCTTCGGCAGCCTTGGCAAGGGCCTCGTCCGTCTTGTCGGGGCTGTCGATGGCCACCTTGACGGCGATCTCGCGACCCTCAATCTCCTTTCCGTTCATCTCAGTAACAGCCTGCTGCTGCAACTCCTCAGACGCAAGAGTAACAAAGCCGAAGCCACGGCCCTTGCGCTGCTCACCGCGAGCCTGAAGCTTCTTGATCATGAACCGGGGAATGGGCCGGAGAGCAATCTTGGCAGAAAGAGGCTCATAAGGAGCAAATAGCTCTTTCAACTATAAAAGACAAGATGCGTTAGCCTGCATGCTCCATCTTCTTCACCATGCTCAACGAGAAAAGGGAATCGGTGAAAGTAGGGGGCAACGGGATACTAACCTTCTCCTCGGTGAGCTCGTAAGGAAGGTTCGCAACCATGACCTTGGTCTTCGAAGCAACACCGTCCGCAGGGGGTCCACGCTCCCGGCGCTCCCTCTGAGGACGGTTCTGGTTCTTGGCATCAGGATCGGCGCTCTCCTGGTTAGTGATGTCGGCCAGAGGCTGAGCCTCAACAGGGGCAGCGCTGGCATCGGCAGAGCCGGTGGCGACAGCACCCTCGGCACCCTCCTACGATTAAACGCAAAATTAGTCTGTGCCACCATCAAAACAGCACAAGATTGTCTCTTTCTTCGACTTACAGCACGACCGCCACGACCAGCACGGCCTCCACGTCCACGTCCGCGGCCACGACCGCGGCCGGAGGGGCGGCGGCGAGAGCCCTCCCCTCCGGATCCCTCACCAGCCTCGTTCTTATCGGCGTTCGACTCCGGCTTGCGGGCGAGCTGGACAGAGACCTTGCGCTCCAAGATCTCCTTGCCACTCAGCTCGCTGATGGCGCGCTCGGCCTCGCTGGGGGTTGAGAGATCAACGAAGGCGTAGCCAACAGGCTTGTCAGTACGGGGGTTCTTGGGAATGGAAACCGACTCCTAAACAAGAAAAGAGACGATTTTGGTCAGCTTCAGCGCACAAAAAGTGATATGTTGATGTGATAGGCTGGCCTAGGTAGTGAGGGCTGACACGAGGTCACTGGCAAGCGAAGCAAGGCTCTTCCAAGCCTATGAACATCCAGCCGCCCGATACACGCGCAAACGGCCTGCTAGACATGCTTCATCCAGCCAGCAGAGTAGCTAGCAAGTATCGTGCATCCCGCGAGATGACTCCACAAGACATCGAAGATGCATCGCCACGCGATCGATCCATCTCGACAAAGCAAGCGCGTGCGCAACAATAGCGATGGCTCTTGAAGCACTCGCAGCCACGTTTGTTTTTGGGGCCAGGATGACAGGCAGCACACGGCAGCGCGAGAGGGAAAGGGGTGTGAAAAATAACAGTCTACTCACACAAGGTAACCCTTGAAGAATTCTTTCAACTCCCCTCCTTGGTCGCGTAGGCCAGGTTGCCGATGTAGAGACGGCGGCCCTCGGCCGCGCTGGCGAGCACGGCATCGGTCTTGTCGTCGGCCTTGGAAATGCTAGTATTGGCCAGAGCGTTGGTAACGTCATTGACGGCGGCGGCCTCAGGGGCCTTCTCCACGTTGGTAGCAGACATTTTTGATGGTGTTGAGGTTGGCTGTGATGGAAGGGTCCGGTCGGGATAAATCTGATGACGTCCAAACTAAGAAATCTTGCAAAGATTCTGTTCGGAAAGAGAGCAACTTGAGGAGTCCGAAGAATTAAAACTCTGGAACAATGTGGGGAATTACAGGGTCGCTTGGTGCCCTAGAAAACTTGGGGAGGGAGGAGGTGATGGCTTGACTGCGAGATACGCGATGACACAAGTAGTTGAGAAGTTTGTGATGGAGGAAGGAAGAGGAAAGGAGAGGAATAGGAGGTCCAAAATTTTTGGTCGTAAATGTTTTTTCCCACCCGCTCCGTGCTCCTTCTCCGTGGCGACTGGTGACTGGTCTTGCCGCTGGTGGCCTGGAAAGCACGGGACAGGGGGTGGAAAGCTGTGCAGTTGTGCTTGGAAAGCAGCACTGGCAGTTGCAGGGGCCCTGTGCAACCAATTCAAAGAGCCAGGGTGTCCAGGGGCGAGCATGGAACAGGGAGCATGGAGCATGGGGGCAAAGGTTGCAAACCTGAGCCGGTAAGCAGGACGGTACCAATTTGAACCCATTGATTGAATCCCACTGTGCCTGAAATGAAATCGATTGCGCAAGAACCACCCCTCTCGTATCCATCCAGCCGTGACAAGCCTATCATCAACTCGAACTGGAGGCAGTTGTCCCGAAAACGTTGCTTTTTCATCGGTGCCCGGGCTTCCAGAAAAGTACCATTTACGCCCGGCTCCTTCTCTGCTGACCCGTTACTGGCTCCCGACGCTGGGTGGTACCTTCGCCGGCTTGCTCCTCTTGCTCCTTGAAAGAGGAATAACCCACTCGGAAGTATTCACTCGTGCCTTCCCAGTAGATGCATCAACGTTCGCAACTTCGACTCTAGTATTAGTCCAGGTCGAGGCTTCTTCATTCTCAACTTCGCGAGACGATGCTATCATCTTGAGCCCGACCTCGCCGCCGAGGTTGGTTCGCCTCAGCCAGCCGTTCTTTCCATTTGATGGATTGTGCCTGATGCTACTTGACTAGGTCTGGTCAAACCAGGTTCCCAAACACCCTCTACAGGTACCGACAGCGGCGAGATGGTGGAAGGTTCAATGCTATGAATCTTTTTTTCTTTGGGACTATTACCTCCGCCCAACCCGTCAACGTAATCACATCTTCCTTCCCCAAGAGGCCAAAATTTGCCACCCACCTCGCGGAGATATCTTTTGGAAAAGCAAGCAACCCAGCCCATATCACTTCCTAGGAGAGGTGTGAGCAAAGCCAGCCTCATATGCGGCTAGCTAACAGCTGTGAGGCATCATGCATGCGTGAGCGGTCGCACTTTCGAGTCTAACAAGAGTGAGGGCTTTGAGGTACTCATAACATGAGCTGGAGCGACCCGACCAGGTCTTAAGGAGCCGGTCGTAGTGAGCGAATCCGGTTGGTAAAGACAGGAACCAAAAATACGTTGGGCTGGACAAGGCGAGAAAGGCGTAGATGGAAGGTCATACGAGCTGATAAGATATTGAAAGATGTCAGGGAGTGTGTTCTTGCCATCAGGCGCATGAAAACTCTAGCCTGCTTTGCCTGGCCCGGTGGAGCTTGGAGGACTCGAAGTGCGTGCTTTCTCCATTGAAACATTGGCGCCATTCTCCCCACAACAAGCTCAATGGTGAATCTCACCCACAGCAAGGCACAACAAGCTCGCCCAGCCAGTTCGCACGAGTGGCCTTTTGCAAGCTCTTCAAGGAGGGTGACATGGGGGCATGAGAAAAATGGAAAGGAAGGGAAGACAACTTGAATAATATGAAGAGAGCCCGCCTGCCCGCCTTGTGCTGCCTTTCGGGTGCATCTTGCAGGGGATCCCTGTAAAGGGCAGGCTCATGTAATTTTGCCCCATCAGAGCTAATCTCCGTGCAAGGCAAATCTTGCTCCACCTCGCTCGGTGGAGGAGGGATGCGAAATCTTTGCTGCTTCGGCTCCTCTCACTTGAAGCCGAAGCCAGTAAATTCCGCGAAGAACACACTGTTCTTGTTTTTGTTTTTGGTTGTCTTCTTTTTTGTTCGGGCACACGTTATCCAGAGAGAGCGTAGGACCAGCTTCTTGTCCAATCTCGGAGCATTTCCATGTTCTTGGCCAGAGGATATTGGGGATCAGTTGATAATTTGCAGAACATTGAAGAGCCAAAGAAACAGTGGAATTTAGTCGCGTGCGTGGCTCACCGACAGACGGGCAAAAATAGTGAAAGCACGCTGGTCTAGGGGTTTCATATCCCCGTGCAGAACGAACACAGTTGGATCATCACCCGCCCTTGAAGCCTCCTTCTCCATCGATCCTGACCCAATAGATTTTTTTCTCTCCTGTGAGCGCTGTGAGCGCTTGAGCGACGCGTCGCTCAGAGCCAACAGCAATCCCGATCCCGATCCCAGCTCCCAAGCCTCGCTGGCCTCTTTCTCGGGGAGCTTGGGCTCTTGCCGTTGCTTGGCAGTGGGGCGCAAGTCGTCAGCTCACTAATACACGCATATGCGCAGACCAGAAGCTTCTAGAGCTCAAGGGCACTTTAGCTTGGGCGGTTCTTTCTAATCCGTCCATGTATCGGTCAGACGCCCCAGTGCTAAGCACGCACACGACTCTTTTTGAAAGTGGTCTTCAAACTATCTTAACAGAAGACCAAATATTCGGAGGAGATGATCAGAACAAGGATAAGAGCGTGAGCCGAAATTATTAAGAAAAGGAGAGAAAAAAATCTCGAGTGTTCTCCGATATCGTTTATAATTGCATCAGCGGAAAACTAGGCATTATCAGCGTATCTTTCCTCGCAGGCAGCCGACTCTTCAGAGGACACCCAAGCAACCAAGAAGGTGCCCTTGATAGCTAAATATGTTGAGTTAATCTCCTCAAATTGAATGCGCGAAGGGCATGTCCTCAAAAACAGAAGCGCAAGCCAGACCTGATTTATCGTATTGAGTGATTCCTTGACGGCCCACGCGCCAAAACTATCGGTCTAGCTCCAGCGCCTCTCTTCGAGAGTTTTGCCCAGCAATTGCTATGCTGTGCTGATTACACGTAGTCGATGGATTGATCAGTCACCCCGGGACCAGCCGTCGATGACTCTAGTCTCTGCGATGTCCGGGGTGATATCCGAGCTAACAAATCTTCGCCCGTCCGAAACCGCGCCGCCCTCCCTCTATTGCAGAGCCTGCCTCCCCCTCCCGCCCTCCCCATCCCAACGTTCGCTGAAGAGACAATTCGCTCCTTTCGCCCCGCCTGACGCCCGCCTTGCAATTATCGGCGCCGCTCTCGACGCATCTGGCACCATGAGCCGCCGGAGCCCGGCCGATGGTACAACAGGGTCCCGGGATGTGTCCGTGAGCCGGTCCATCCTGGTCCTCTTCGGCTCCGAAACCGGAAACAGCCAGGAATTCGCCGAGGATCTCGACCGGTGCGCCCAACGCTTACATTTCCAGTCCAGAGTCTGTGAGATGGACAGCGTGCAACTTGTGAGTTTGGCGTCCCTTGTGCTCTTTGTTAAATCCCGCTCCTTTTCTATCATGTTCCCTGCCCCCTCCCGGCCTCCCAGCGCGCTCTTCTTTGGTTTCAGCCCCGACAGAAGTTCTCAGGAAGATTATATCGCTTTTTTGGGTAAAATGTTTGTCGACCGGCTAACCTCCTTGTCCAACCCTTCTCATTCGCCAAAAAGAGCACGCTGCTTCAGTACTCGCTTGTTGTGTTTGTCGTCGGTACCACCGGCCAGGGTGATTTCCCCGAAACGCTACCCTCCTTTGGAAGAAGCTCTTGCGCCGGAAGCTTGCCCCGGGAAGCCTTGCGAGCCTCCAATTTACCACCTTTGGGCTCGGTGACAGCTCCTACCCCAAGTACGCTAATCTCGCTTGTTGACGCACCGGAGACGCATGGCACCCGCGTTGGCCCCAGTCGCTAATCCTCTCTCCAGATTCAACTGGGCGGCCCGCAAGCTTGTTCGACGCCTTGACCAGCTCGGCGCCCTGGAAGTCTTCCCAAGCGGAGAGGCCGACGAGCGCCATCCTGACGGGTAAGCTGACCCTCTCTGCGCGCCGTGCTTTGTTCTTTGCTCCTTTGCCAAACTGACATACATGGCTGCTTCCGCCAACCAAGGACCGACGGCCTTTACCTGCGGTGGGCAGTCCAGTTCCAGCAATGGCTAGCATCAACCTACCCCTACCCGGGGATGTACAGCCGATCCCGGAAGACGTCCCGCTGCCCTCCCGCTTCCCACTACAGTTCTGCGCGGTAGAGTCGCCCACCACCACCGCGGTCTCGGAACCCGCCAACTACCCGCGTAGCCTACCAGTGCTGGGGAGCAGAGTGGCCTCCGTCGCCTCGAATGGGCGAATCACGGCGCCCGACCACTTCCAGGACGTCCGCCTCCTGACGCTCGACCTACCCACGGAGCAAGACGGCTCGAGCCTGGAGCTCAACCCCGGAGACACCATCACCGTGTTCCCGAGCAACCACCTCGAAGAGGCGCAAGCCTTGATCCAGTTCATGGGCTGGGAGCAGGTGGCCGATGCCCCGATCGACTGGCCCGCCTGTACCAGGCCCCCGGCGCTCCACGTCGACGACACCTTTACCCTGCGGGACCTCCTCGTCCACAACCTCGACATCACCGCCGTGCCCCGCCGCAGCTTCCTCCACAAGATTGCCTACTTTGCCTCCGATCCCGATCAAAGGAGCGCCTCCTCGAGTTCACCGGCCCCCAGTTCCTCGACGAGTACTACGACTACACCACCCGCCCCCGCCGCACCATTCTCGAGGTCCTCCACGAGTTCTCCTCCGTCAAGGTGCCCCCGAACGCGCCCTCGACACCTTCCCCATGATCCGCGGCCGCGAGTTCAGCATCGCCAACGGCGGGGACGCTCTCCGCCACCCCACAGACCCTACGCTCCAGAGAGTCGAGCTCGTCGTCGCCCTTGTGCGGTACAAGACCATCCTGCGCAAGGAGCGCCGAGGCCTCTGCTCCCGCTACCTCGACGGCCTCGCTCCTGGCGCTTCTATACCCGTACTTCACAAAGGTCTCTTACCCAGATCGTCGGGCCGAACCTGGACACGAAACCAGTGGTGGGCATAGCCACCGGCACTGGCATCGCTCCTATCCGCTCTCTCCTACTCCACCGTGCCAGCCTCTACACGCAGAAGGAGAAGCGGTTGGATCACGGCGCCGAGAGCCCAGATACCATTCCCATTACCCCCAACACACCTCTTCTTCGGGTTTCGTAACCAATCCTCAGACTTCCACTTCTCACAAGACTGGTCTGCCCTCTCTCACTTCCTCACCGTCCACTTTGCCGAGTCCCGACCCTCGCCGCCATCGGCCGACCAGAATCAGCCCACCAATGCCCCTCCGGGCCCATCGCAGCGCCGCTACGTACAAGATGTCATTGGTAGTGAGCCCGCCATCATCGCCGACATGATTCACCGCGGCGCCATCTTCCTCGTCTGCGGCGGTTCGCACAAGATGGCCGAGGCCGTGAAAACTGCCGTCCTCGCCGCTATAGAGTCTGTGATGGGCGTGCACGAACCCTCGGAGCGGGACAAGGTGTTTGAGGGCATCAACTGGGTCCAGGAAATCTGGTAAACGCGCTGCCGGGGTCAGGGCACAACCTGCTGCGAGACGGCCAGAAGTAGAAAAAAACTTTCGTACGAGATAAAATTATGACACTAGCGTTACTTACCGTATTTGACACAGCGGAAAGCTTGCACGTGAAAATCAGAAATGGGGGTTTTGTTTAGACATGGTTTCTTTTTCTTCTTCTTCCTTTTTTCTCTCTCTCGATATACAAGAGGTTCCGGCCTTAGAGCGCAGATGAAAGGTAGGTAGGACTATCTAGTCTGTCACCAAATATACTAGTCGATGAATCCATCGCTCTCTTCAAGTGATTCGCTCTTGGCCATCCGATAGAAACACCAAACCAGTGTTTGCAACACAACCCTTCGCAGTATGGGCGAACTCCGCCACCTGCGTTCAACTAGATGAATAGGAAAGTGAAAGGAGAAGGATAAAACGATGAAAGACAAAACGCCGGCTTGCCATGCGAGACGGCGTTGATACATTTCCGTAGATCCCGCTAAACGTCTCAACAAGAGGGAGAATGCATCGTTAACTGCGGACCAACCCCCTTTCCATATCCAACGATTACCAAGGAGGCCCTTGCTAGCCTAGCTGTTCATCTCTTGAAAACATGGACTGGATGCCTTGCTAGAAACCCTAAAGCTGCACCCAAAAGGAGGGAAACACAAAAAAAAAAAAGAAAGGGAATGTGATGAGACTTCTGTGTTGGCCCCAAAAACTCCGTTGACTCCGTCGCCATTGTATGATATCCGATCAAAAATAGGGAGTGTCGTGTCGCCGATAAAAAAATCCAAAAGTAAATAGGAAATGGGTAGAGAGAGAAAGTAGTGAACATGGCATATATGCGAGTGAAGATAAGATGATGGCGCGCTTATCACGCACGATTATTCCTCCCAACTATACCGCCTTTCAGCCAGCTGCGGGACGTGGACCAGCTCGACGCCTGCGTCTATCCTCTCGAGGCTCCGTGCACTCGAGGTTGTGGGGGCAGGGCCCTCACTTTGGTTGGTAGTGTTTATAGGACTGATGGACGGATTTGCCGGCGCGTTTGAGCCACCCCTGTTCGGGGCGTCCCGGGCCAACTGCTCTTCAACGTCCGTAAAGTTGCTCCCAAGTGTGTCAGTCGAGACCCGTGCCTCCTGATTCGACATCACCGCGAGGCCGGGACTGGGCGGCTCCATGCCGGTGGTGCGAGGCATCGTGGACCTCGTGGGACTTGGCAGGGGAGCTGCACATTCTCTGGCAAAGGCCCCAAGCAGACGATTTTGCTCGGGTCGATCGGGGTCCTTTGCACCCTGCTGCTCGCTCCAGGCCCGGTGGAGGATGGAGACGTCGGGGAGATGTTGTTGGCCGAGCTAGACCGACTTAAAGAAGATGGGTCGTAGGTGTGGCTGCGTGACGAAACAGTGCCAGACCGGCCAGTGCCGCCAGCATAGGTTGGAGAGGGGAGGGAAGGAGCGACGGTGATGGGTGACGGCATGTCGCCATTGCGGATATTCCAGTCGCTGCGGGGGCTCATAGGAGAAGGGAGTGATTGAGGTAAAGAGTCCGTATTTGCGTAAGTTGGAGACGAAGCGGGAGAGATGCGATCAGAGGGTCGATACGTCTCCACGGGGCTGATATCCTGCGCCGTCTTGTCACCAGTCGAAGCCTCGCCGCCTGAGATGACAGCATCATCGGCAGGGGGCTATACGCCGGAACGGGGCCTTGGAGGCGGCGTTCCATCTTTCGCCTGGCGAGCTCGTACGCACTGAGATTTTCAGTGCCCTCAGTCCCGAGATCAGTCTCGCTGACGATGGACTGGGTATCGGCATCGAGTTCCACGGGATCTAAAGGAGCAGGTAGCTCGTAAAGCTCGTGCGTCGCATCTGCGCCGACCTCTGCCGGATTCGTCTCCGTCCCGGAAGCCGCAATGGACTCGGCCTTTCGCGATCGCTTTCGGCGAATGATTTTAGAGAATATGCGACCGACAGGCGTCTTGGGTGTCTCGGTCATGATGGATGACGCATTGTCCTTGGCGTCTTCTTCCGTGTACGCCACTGGCACGCGAGTTCTCTTTCTCCTGCGCCTGCAGCAGAAGCAGAAGACAAAGAGGGCAATAAGAGTGGCAACAACCACGCCGGCCACGATTCCAATCATCTGGTTCTTCTTTAGGCCGTGCTTTTCACCGCTACTCGAGGGCGGTGGATAGGGGCTGTTGGGTGGTTGCTCTACAGTTACGATCTCCGCCTCAAGGCGGCTCTCTGGGTAGAGGGCCTGGTGGATGGAGAAGACTGTCGTGTCGTATTTGGTCAAAAGGTAGGCCTCTTGAAGGAAAGTCCTTCCCAGTATGAAAGTATTGTCAGGGGCAACCCTGATAGGGAAATATGGGATACGCTGGTCCTGGTATTCGATGGCCATGTTGTTCCAAGGATATCCAAGAGTGTGAGCGAATGCGTGGGCAGAAAGGGTGATGTTGACAACACCGGCCACATCAAGAGGGTGCCCAAAGTCATCGTTATTGTCGTAGCTCGACAGACTAAAGGTAAAAGTGAAGGAATCGTCGGATTTGAGCTGGGCGAACTGGTCGTTGGTGAGTTCGTACGCGTCAAGCTTGGGGTTGAAAGTTAGGTTAAGTGCCCCAACGAAGTTGTCGCACACTTCCTGAGGAAGCGAAAGAAAGGGGGTTGAGCTGTCAATGATGGCCTCGAACGATGTTGACATGTTGGACAAAACAAACGAATTCGAGTCCCAATGCTCAGGCTTGCTCTTGTCATCAGGAACGGAGACCTCGATCCCGCGGACTAGAGCCTGAGGGAGGATGGTGTCTCGGGTCAGAGTGAACTCGTTACCGTGGGCCACGAATCTCTTCTCGTCATATCCCCCAAGAACCAGAGAAGAAGGGGTCCCGGAACCCTCTTTAGTTGGGAAGAAGAAAAAACGTTAGCGGCGACTTGATGAGCAATACGGCAGCAGTGTTACATACTATAATAAGCGCCGGCGGTATAACCATACGTATAACTGGGAAACCAGCCATACCTAGCCACCATCTGGCTGAAGGGAGCATCCGAGACCTGACGGCCGAATTCGCCGGACACGATTCCGAGACCAAAGAAACCATTGTAGAACTCGGTCGTGTTGAAAGCGGCAATAAGAGCCCGGTCTAGAGCCACGAGGGTCTTGGTTTGCGAATCTCTGATAACAAGGGTATCGAGACCATAATTTCCATTGGCCTCAACATCTTGATACGGGAAGCTGAGCTGCCAGTCGCCAAGGGAGTACCACGTACTCGATGACCATATATCAAGGGTGCCCCCGCGATACTTAGGACAGAGTTGTTCGCCTGAAGGGTGTTAGTAGGACTGAATACCGAGAAGGAAGACGCCGGATGAGAGGGGAGGGGGAGAGTTTGCAACATACGGTCAACGCAGCCACCGGAACCTACGACCCAGGTCTCGGACAGGGTGGTGCTAATGATGAGATTCATCGTAGCCTCCGACACGTCGACGTTGCCCACCCACAACTCGGTGGTGGACCAGTTGCCATCGATGCCATTCCTGCCAGTCCTATACGAAGACAAGACGCCTTTTAGTACGCTATCATGCAAAGAAACAACAGGGACGAGACAGCCAGCGCAGCTGCCATGATATCACGGATACTACCCACCATCCTTCTCCAATTAACGATCTAGGTTCTGCGCCAGCATGAACAGTCCTCAAGCCAACGAGGGCCAACGCTGCAAGGTAAAATGAACGCATTTCTTTTGATTTTCGCAGAGCGTCGAAGCCGGGTCAGAGGCGTTCGCCGCCAGGAGCGGATACGGGGCGGTGCGTCGGGTCACCACCAAAATCGCGAGAAGGACATGAGTGTGTACACGAGATCGGAGAAGAAGAAAAAAGTTTCGATTGTTGGTAAATACTCTTTGTTAGCTTGCTGAGCGCGTCGCGGTCATGTCGCAGTCGTATGGCGCAGAGTTGGTTGATTCTTTTCTCGATCGCCTTGGAGGCGTGGACCGCATTCGTCGCGTGGGATTTTGCAGCCAGGGACGGACAAGCTGGGGATGGGGGAAGTATCGAGTCGGCGTCTGCCCTCTACGAGGGGAACAAGGACATGGCACGGTCGAGGGAAAACGAATGGCAGCGGCGGCGGGGATAGCCGACACAAAGACCACAGTCGACTTTGTCGAAGTCGAGGGTCGACGGAGCGAGAGTGAGAGCGAGCGTCTTCGCCCAGTGGCGACCAAAGAACAGGCGAGGAGAGAGAGAGAAACGGGAGACGGGGCCCGGTGGTGGAGGGGACACGGCAAGCTCAATGACCGGCTATTGAATGGGGAGAGAAAGGGATAATTAATTTACATATTAAACCCCCTCGCTCCTGCGAACTTGGTGCGGCCCAAGTATATGGACCATGTACAGTGCGAGAGGGATCCGTAGGCTAGGCCACCGCCCCTTCCGCTTTGCACCTTTGCGGTACTTTTCCCTTTCACCACCACCAGTGGACAGAGACGGAGAGGCCGCCGTAGCGCCCAAGCTACGACATGCACAGGCACAGTCTATTACTGAGCGGGGCCTAGATGGAGGGCGACGAGGACAGGACATGAGCACATCAATGGATGGGATCAATCGATACGGGGGCTATTGAAGAGAGGGCAGATATGTTATACAAATATCCAAGTGCAGCCCTTCCCAGAAATATGAGAAGAGAGGAGGCCAAAGCTGTCCTCGGCTTCGATAGTATGCCATCAATATCTACATACTCCCTCCAATTGTGCACCTCACTTTGGGCGAGCCTGTGGAAGAAGCGTGAAGGATCCCCGTTCGGCCTTGTCTAGCATAGATTACACGTAACCCGACGGACTCCTATTCCTACCATTTCTCCCATTCCCAGCCGAGCAAGATGTGATTCCACCCAAACCTTATTAATCTGGGGAGGTCAATCTGAACAATGAGCGGCCCTGTCGTCCCTGTCGTCCCTGGACTGATTGATCAGTTCGACTTTTAGGCTCTGTCACTTGACTCCACAAACTTGAGCCCGGCTAGGTCTAGAATCGTGGATGGGTTGAATTGATCCATTGCGTTAGCGCAGCGGGGGCCGCTAATCCATCAACAGGCGACTGGGCTTGCTAGGAAGAGTTCGCCTTTTTCAGGGGGATCGTTGCCGCAAGGCCTGCCAAGTTGATCTGATCGCTCCAAACAAGGGCAACATTCAAGTCTACACTCAAAAGAGCCAGGTTTTTCTCCCGGGTCTGGGTGGGAACGAGGTGGGGTCTGCACTGCCCATGGAGATCTCTCCGCACGTCTTGCGCCAGTGCGAACAGCAACTCTATTCAGGTTGCTCGAGATCGCTCGAGGGTGAAACGGACAGCTTAGTATAGTATGGTGTAGATATCGAGGAGCTAGGCCTCAGAGGGTCGACATAATGGACTTCACTAGATGTAGAAAGGGGTGCGTCACGGAAGGGTCGTCGAGAGGCAGAATGAGAGGGGAGACGGTTGCCTTCGATGAGGGCGAGAGAGACAAGCAACGAAGCAACGAAGCAACAATTCACGCAAGCCTCCACTAACAAAAGTGTCTGATGCCCTTCCAAGGTCACTCACCCACTCCATTCGGTCAACAGCGCTCTGTCTGGAACCGACCGTTTCGAATCCGGTTCCGCGCCCACAGTCTGTCGGCCACTCAGAGCAGAGTTGGTTGCCACACTCAATCTAGGATCGGCATATCCAACCACTCTGGATAAAATGGGATTGGCCCGGCCGTCCATTTACGAAGGACGCAAATGCAGTATGACTTCCCGCCTTCCGGCTCCGTAATACACCTCATGTGACGTCTTCTTCCCCTCCCTCATCGTCTCTCTGTCCAGCGTTTGTGCAATTTCGCTTTGGGCGACAATTACTCAAGGTTGGCTTGGCAGTGCATATTGAGAAGGAGAGAAATTTGGGAAGGAAGGTATATCGACTTGCCTCTCAGTTAACGAAATGGGGGACACCGGCGATGTTGGGTCTTTTCTCGACAGTTCCCGTGAGCTGTGCGTTGTGCGCTGTGCGTGCTGTTGACCACGCCCTCGGTCTCTCGACGTTCTCGCTACTGCTAATTATACATTGAATATCTTCATCGATGCCGTCGCACGACTGGCTTTTCAATTCCGACATATTGATAGTAGCGCATGGGACGAGGGAGATCCGGGAAACTGGTCATTTTATAGTCTATGTTTGGCATCTCCGTCTCTCGTCTGTCCTCTCGTGCTCCGCCAAGTCGGACGAGTCTCCGTGGACTGCCGATGGGCGGGTTCCCAGATCAGCGGATCATGCTGCTGGAATAATGGCGTTCACCCAGGCTTGGGTTGCAAAGAGATGATGGAGGGGGCGATTAAGAGATTTTGAGAAAAAAAAAAAAAAAAGACCGCTTCACTTGACGATGTGGTTGCTGCTTGAGGGTTCGGACGGTGGGATGAAGCAGCAACACTTCATCGATCTCGACCTGCTGTCTAGTGACTCCACTGCTCACTTTATGTAGCCCGACTGAGATCTTGCTAGAGATTGTGTATGGACAAGCAACCCGACGAAGATTCGTGCACCTTGAGATCCCCAACTTCAATCATCTCCTGCTCACCGCTGATCCAAAGGCGCAGTTTTCATGCTCGTATGGGCACCTGATGATCCATCTAGGGCTAACTACATGTACGCTATGTGTGGCGTGTAAGAGTGCAAGAGTGGGCAGCCCTGCTAAGCAACGTTGGCGATCCTCAGCATCTCACGGCGGGCTGGTGGGGCCGCGATCTTTCAGGCAGATCCTTGACCAGCCTCTTGGCCGACCAAGTGCATCCCGTCATTAGCCCCCGGAAACAGGTTGTTCGCTGGCCTGGGCTCCTGGGTTGATTATCTGATGCGGGTGTTGCGTCGTTTTCGTATCACACACACCTTCGAACCACCTTGCTGCAGAGAAGGGACGAGAAGGGACATGCGCGAATGGGCGGAGACTAGACGAATGTCTTATGATACGATGAAAAGAGGAGAGCAGAAAAAGGAGATGAAGAAAAAGGAAGCAAGGCCGCTGACTTGCTGCCCTTCAGTCTCTGTTTTTCGTTCTTTTTCTTTCTTTTCTCCTGCGCCATCCCGTGGTCGATGGCCGAACAACCCGTTCATCCAAGTCGGATACGGGAGGCAAAGCTACATACACCCGAGCAGCGCAATTGACATGGTGGTTGGCCTCGGAAAGGCGAAAGGCCGCATGTCCCCTCGCTCCTCGCACGTCTCACACCTTTTTAATTTGAGTCGCTTACTTGAACTTGCATCTGCGTCTCATGTGTCCACGAACCACCTGGCAGGCTTGGCCCGAGTTGAGCGTGGTCTGACGACACCGCGGAAACTCTCCTCCTTTGTAATAAGAAGTACATGCAACTGTGGTTGTGCAGTGCTCTTCGACACAGATCAATGACCAAGCAGCTCGCAAGGGTTCCTGTCCCCCTGATCTGATTCCAGGCAGGACCCAATGATGCTATTACTCCTGTCCCGTCTTTCCCACATTGTGTTGACAAGTATTGGTCTTTGGATCGATGGAACACTGGCCGCAACCTCGATCCCCAACCCTGCGCAGGCATTGAAGAACCTGAGTCCGGGGGTTGAATTGATCAATGGCTTGTTACCCTTGCAAGCCTTACTCCCTTTGGACCATTTCACCCAATGTTAGAGAGTTCCATCAACCCAAGCAACAAAGCCGCTCGCCTTCTAGAAGGCAGCCAGCACATGCACGGCCCTTGGTCAGCCAACGAGACAAGATTGAGCAGAACGGCCTCGGCTTCTCCAGCACAACATCCATTCGGCGAACAACCACCGGCGAGGCCCTGTTCTTGTTCCAATTTTTTTCGTCCAAGATTCTCTCTTGTGGGTGCACAGAGAGTAACGAGAGCAGATATAGATTATAAAAAGAAACGGGCCAAGCGAAGGGAGAATGGCAAAAGTCGGCCATTTGCTTCTGCAGTCTATCCGTCCCTATTATCCCAGGATTTGTTCTTGAGAGTTGGGGGAGGGTCTTGCTCAGTGGACTCGGTTATCATCGCCTCATGTTTCTTCTATATTGAAAGTTGGCGAGAAAGTGAGGTGCTGTCGAGTTTGCTGTCGAGTTTTCTTCATCCCTAAATATATCTTTCTACATGCATAACCGACGATGCTTGAGCATGGCGCTCTCTGGAGTTGAGATGTGCTTCACTCTATTTTTTTCTATGAGATCGCACAACGCTCACCCTCCATCCGTGCTTTGAAGGTAGTTCCGGTTTTGGCGGTCGCTCAGGTTCCGCGCTGGACGGGAATGGGCACAGTATTCACAGCAATTGAACATGTACATCACATTGTAGAAGGAGCACGGCTCCTTTGGAAGGATCATAGAAACGATCGGAAAATGGAGAACCACAGTTCCATTCCTCGACCACTCGCCATTCTCAAGATCGTGAGTGGGGGAACAATAGATCCATTATCTCTCCCTTGCTCTCCATGTCCATGGACAAGTACAAGTATGCAAGCGAAGGCCGGGAGCGACAACAGCGTCGTAGTCGCCATGGAACACGACCTCGACGACTCCCAAGAGAGAATGAGGGATTACAAGTACTTTTCATGCCTGCAGGTCATCGGCGACCATACCAAACTGAGGCAAGAGCTCAAGGGACATTGATTGGTCGATCGGCTGGGCTCAAGATACGCCGACGCAACGGGGGCTGGACTGAAGAGGAAAGTGCCTTCCTCCCTGTTGTTTCTGGTCTGCCCTCCCCACCAAAGTTGTTCGATTGGATGGGTTATCGAGGGAAATTCGGTTCATGGTAAATCATGCAGTGACAGTGCCGTTGACTGAAGAAAAGCTCGGCTGGGGCGCATCATCTCGGAGGTGCATGTCCCTTTTCAGTGGCTTATATCCGTTCAGCCTCTCTCGTCGCTGTTCGGAAAATCGTCGCGCAATTCCCAATTCCCTGAGCAGGAGGGACAGAAACAAAAAAAAAAAAAAAACCCCTCCTCTACCATCAGCCATCAGCGCATGAAGACCTTTAAATTACCACGGTACCGCTCCTATCCCGCAATCTGCCTGGAACAGAAACGAACTGTCTTTGTGGTAAACGCAGAAAGGGGCAGGGATTCTCTCGCGACGGTGAGCAAAAAGATGTCACTGCTTCTTGGGCTCCACGCCTTGCCCTACGGGCACACTCTTTGCGCGCGATGGAACAAACTCTAAAAACTTGTCACTATTCAGGTGTTGGGCGAGCAAGGAAGCTAGTGTGCGTCGGAGGGTGGAGAGAAATGGAGGTTTCGCCTAGCAGGGACTAGTCTCATCATCCCCCGTCTCGCCGGGGGAGGGTTTCCCCTGACCCAGCATTGAACGTGGGGTCCATTCCCATCTCCTGGATGGATGCATGGATGTTAGCAAAGGCAAGGCGTCCAATGTTGTAGTAGTGTATGTATCGGCCTCCACCTCCACCTCTTGTCCGGGTCAGTGGCCTGTTCACACCCTCACGCTCCTCGGGGCTCTGACGGGTGGTGATATCCATAGATGGACAAAGAGAGACAGAAGCAGGCAAGAGTCATGGTGTTGCAGATGTTAGTCGGTAGCTGAGCCTTTGCGTCCTTGGCCAAACGGACCTTGGATTATGGTTAGGGTTAGGTGGATAGGTATCTACATATAATTTGCACAGTCCACGTGAAAAACTGCAAAGACGAGAAGGATAGCAAGAGGGGAGAAGAGTAAGCGGGTGTTTCCTTCTTCCTTCTCGTCCTTCTCCTTTTCTTTCAAATTGTTTTGTATGGAGGGGGCTTAACAATGCCATTGATGGGTGATGGCTGGAAGTCAATTACTCTACATTGATCAATTTGTACATAGGCGAGCGTGCGCGGTATATTTCCAAGCGTCACTCGAGTACTTGTAGATTGCACCTCTGTCCCCTCCAATCCATTGCTGTCTCTGATATTGCTCAACTATCGGGATATCTTCATGTTCTAAACCTGCCGAGCGAGCGAGGAGGGTCGTCTCTGGCCACTGCCGGACCTGGGGTTATTGTTATTACTTGGAAGAATACACGACAACGACGAGTCTGTCTTGGCAGCGCCCTCAGAAATCGTTGCCTCCATGTTGATGAAGTTGGATTCAAAAGCGGCTTGTCCGCATTTGACCCCATCAACCTAGGTTTCGGGTAGGTCTTGACCAGCGACTGTAGTGTACACTATCCGTACCGTACCACCCTGCCACATGGTGCTCTCCAAGGTCAAATTGAGCAATCCATGACTGATTGCGGCCGTTCTTGAGCACTCACAGCCCCGCTACTCGGCCCCTAATCCTTGAGGGACAGACAACATTGGGCATGCAACATCATCTCCACTAGGCAATACCAAGATGACAAGAAAGTGGAATTCGGTGATAAATCCCTGTTCGATGCCCGTCCCCACCGCTGAGGTGTCAAGCTTTTTTGAAAGAGGCTATCTATCCCCTTGATGCTCTTCGAATTGCAACGTCCAGGCATGTACGTACACTAAGGACCGGTGGATCGACGGCTACTGTAATACCTGTAGTGTTGATAAACCTCACCCAACTCATCTCAGTCAGACTACGACGTGAGACTAGGTCCTGGTCTCATCGACCTGGGGAGAGACGCGTGGGGATAGACGGGGCGGACATCTTGAAGATTGTGTACACACTTATTCTCGTGCAGAACCGAATCCTGAAAAGCACCGGCAAAAGGCAAAAGCGACGAGATTGACCCGGAGAATGGTGAATCGATGGAAGGCGTGAGCATCAAATGAACGGGCCGAGTCCAAATGCACTCGCTTTTGCCTCGGTTACGGTTAATGTAGCTTGGTTGCTGAGAGAATTGTTTTTCTTTTCCTTTCCTTTTTTCATCTTTTTCCCTTTGCCTTCCTCTTTCTAATAAAGGGGTTTCGGAGGGAGAGCTACACTCGGCCGCCGGGCCTTTGCTTTTCAAATCATGGAGCGACCGAACAAACTTGCGTGCAAAAGTCTCAGATGCCTGAGTCGGGCCGGCGAGAAGGAGAAAAGAGAGAGAGAGCTGGAGAGCACTGAGAACGAAATAGCGTGGCTCTCAGCTGCCTGTGCTGCTTGTTCCAGGCCTATTCTCCTGCAGGTGGTCCCCTCAGCCTGGCACCGTCAGCTTTGGACAGCCAGCGTCATTCGAGTGCTAGCAGTGTAGTGCTACTTAGTCATGTTCTTTTTGCTGGGGGCTGTTTCCGACATCTGCGTCTCTCGTACATGTGGTTTGCAGTTTAGGGTCTTGGCACGTTGATCTTGACCTTGTTCTCGAGCACTCTTCGCGGTACCGAGCCACATTTTGCCCACGACCCGCCCAAGTCGAACTTTCTCCTCGAGCCGGCTCCCAGTAGCCCGAGGCGGTCTCCTTCGCTTTCGCGAAAAAGAAAAAAATTTGGGGTTTGGTTCGCGAGCACAGAGGATCGGCAACAGCAATTAATTGTATCGACACAAAATTCTTCCAAACCTCGTCAAACGGACGGTGGCTTTTTCGCCTTTCGGGGGCTTCAGGCAAGCGTGCACGGTGGAATCGGCCAAAGTACTTTGATCACCCTCTTCCCTTTTTTTTCCCCTTCCCCTTCTCTGTGCTTTTTTCCCTGTTGCGCCACCAGCGCCGGAGGATGTTGTGCCACCAACAAAAGCGCCCGGCCGGCCGCACTGGGAATGGAAGGAGAGCGTTCTGACAGGCAGGCACGCGAGGTACATCGGGCGACACGGCATCGACCGCGATCTCGGGCACGCGTGTACCTTGCCTTGTTGAGGGTTCCTCGGCGATTTGCTGTGAGCTAGTGCCGGCCCTGGTCTGTGTCCTGACATGATCGTTCAGGGGGGCTGTGGGCTGTGGGCTGGGTCAGTCAAGATTGGTACTTCTTGACCTCGCAGTGACCAACTTTTCTGCTTGAGAGTGACCATAGACCCCTGGTGCTTGAGTGGAATACCCTGTCGCGAGTTTGACCACGCTGCGCTAGTATCCTCGAGTACAAGTAGTGTGGTATTAGTCCTGTGCCCTGCCACGGACTGAATGACCAACAAGAAGCGAGCGCTGCACTCGCTTGAGACAACGTCTCGTCAATTGATGAAGGGATCCCTTGATGAATGATTGATCAATTGCGTTACTCGCCCTGGTACATCCATGCTTGTACAAGTTGCAGCCGGAAGCCAGCCTCAGCCCAGCCGTGGACCCATCGCCAATCTCTCCACGGACACTAATACTTGTCGTGCACGCTACTCGGTAGCACACTGCACGAGACCCATCCATCCATACTGCATAGATCCGTTCCATACCATTCATCATTACACTAGATACAACAGCCCCCACCCCTTGGCCCTGATGTCGTCTCTGATCGCGACACTGCGTCGTCAGCCCATGGAAATTTTGATTCAAGGGCTTCGTGGCCTGGGAAAGTACATGCAACCGCAAGAAAGAGGTAATACCACCAATCCCACGTGCTATGCCCTTTGTTCCCTTTGCCGGTGGGCGAGACAACAGAAAACCCATCCATGCCAGCAATGCTAGTGTAGTAGTGTAAATTTTTGGAGGACTGGACTGGGCTGGCCAATGTACCCTAGCCTCGATGTCGCCTCGATCATGTCGATGTGTGCTTGAAAAGGGCCTGGAATTGGCCGTCCTGTCCTCAGTCAAACAGCCCGCGGCCCGGCCCCTTGACATGAGTTGCGGCGGCATCATTCCTTTTCCTCAGTCTTGCTTGTTTTTGTTCCTTTGCCTCTTTCCCGCTCGCCGCACAGAATAGTGTACACTACATGCTTCATACAAACCCACACACACTTCTTTGCTTTTGGTTCAATTGTTGTTGTGCTGATCCCTGGTGGCTCGCTGCGCCGTATCCGGTAGAGTGCACTCAATACCCCATACTTTTCCGCCCCTTGGCACATCAACCATCATTGAGAGTCCCTCTCCCACCTGCTCACCCCCATCGAGTGATCGCACCCATCGCACGGCCCAGCCCATCATTCTACCCTCCCGATTTGCCCACCCCCAATATTAACCCCTCAGCACCCATATTGCCTTTAATGGGGACACTGGACCACCCTTCTCTCATTTCTGCCGCGCCGTCAATCTTGTAATCCGCCACACACCCCCAACGACCTGTTCAAGGTCCGCTCCCACCAAATCTCAACTCGGCCCCCCAGCCCAGTCACTCTCTCACACATACCTCCCACTCCCGACTGGAAACAGCAACTCGGCCTAGCGATACACGAGCGTCGAAAACCAAGGGGAATAAACCGACAATGTCGAATGCTGGAACCGTGAGAGGAACTCGTCGGTAGACCTCGAAAGAGTATCTGGAACAGCCTCGTCCAACGATCTTTACCTTCTTATCGCTCTTTATTTGAATACGCCGGGATCCAGGCCCAGGCAAAGGCAGCCTGTCTCCTGCCTCCCTCCCCGAGACTCCCTGTTCGCCCACCTGGGCATTCCTCGAGCTGGGTGCGCGACGACCTCACAAATCTTTGCAACGCCATGCCGATCCGGAATTTGGCCCTCTTGGGCCTCGTAGCCTTTTCAGGCCAGCTCTCTTCTGCGACAAGACTGGGTATGTGGTCCGTGAAGGCGTTGTGTGGTTTTTTTCTTCTTCTTTCTATTCGACCCTTCGCAAGAGGTCACCGTAAAGAGGAATCGCACCTGCTGACATGTGTTTTCCTTTTCCTTTGTTGTAGGTCCGCGACAGCCCTGGCGCCGTGAACTCAATCAGACCTCGTTATCTGCGTCAGACATATCCGTGACGACAGAATCCCACCTTCCCGCCTCCTCTCTCAGCACCGCGCCCGCGCCCGACGACTTAGACACTGTCGCCCCCGGGCCGGACGACCCATCAGGCCCCGAATCTCCACAGGAATCCGCGCCCCAGTCCCAAACGTCGACGACACCGCCAAAGATCACAGCCTATCCTCCTTCTCTTCCCTCTCCTCCTTCCCCCTTCCCCTCTTCTTCGTCGCCTTCAACCACATCCAAGGATGCCCCGACGATATCCACCGGCGCGGGCGACTCCGGAGGGGACAGCCCGTCGAAAAGTTCGGGAACAGGCGGCGACCCTGCGCCGCCTTCGTCTGACGAGGGAGACTATTGCACGTCACTCGCAGAGGGCGAGGTTAAAACCGTGTACTCTATAATATATACCGAGACCGTCACCTGGACAGGAGACCCCGCGGACTATACGCCACCTCACCCGACTCTTGACATTCCGACGTATTGTGAGTCGGACCTCGTATCGATGACGGGTATGCCGCCCGCACCCACGACGACCACCCGAGACGACTCGCTATGGCACACTGCATGTTTGACGCAGACGGATGGTACCAGCACCTGCTACACTGAACCTTATTTCAACCCGTCTTTCATCTTCAGCAGCCGGCCCAAGTCTGCCGATGCCACCAACGTCCCAGTTACGCCCACCGCACCTATGCTAGGGTCTCCCGAGGCTGGTCTCAAGCCGACCTCTACCTTTTGTCACCTCCAAGAATCCCAGCGTGGTATTCCCGCCCTCTAAAACCCCGGATTATGGAGCGGGCGGGAATGGCGGATCCAACGGCGGGTCGAATGGTGGCAGTAACGGAGGAGGAGGAAATAGCCACAAGCCCGTAGGCGATGGCCAGGGCCAGGGCCCCAATCCTCCTTACCAAAGTATGCTCGTGCCTAGCTTAAAAGGCATCACGATTACGGCCGAGCCTACTCGCATCATCATCGATGGCCAAACCCTTACTAGCCTTGACCCAACCGCAACCACCAGGATTACGGTTGGCAAGGGCGTTTATGAAATTAACCCCAGCCAGATTATCCAGTTTGGAGGCAAAACGATCGATAGGGGAGTTGGGCGAGGCATCTACGTGGCTACGCCCACTACAACCGTTATCGATGGCCTCCCCGTTACCGTTTCCGGTAATTCGGCTGTCATTGGTGGATACACTTATACCATTGGAAGGACACCCGAGACTCAGGTGGTGTTAGGTCGGACTGTCATCATTGGGCCCACCGCATTAACTTTCAAGAACTCTGACGCGACCCTCACATACGACGGCCGGATACCGGAGCAGACGGGAGTTATCGTGGCAGGCGGAGAGTTGATGACGGCGATAGGCAAGTCGGTCGTCGTTCTGGTACAGACCACAATCACCTACGGTCCCAGTATCGTACCACAAACGGAGACCATCGACGACGATACCGTGAGCATCGGCCCATCGGATGTCGTCGTTCACGGCACGACCTTGGGGGTGATCGACTCGGTCCTTCGCAGACCAAGTATGACATTGTCGGCGGCGCGACGCTCACCCAAGTTGGCGCATCCCGAGTCGTCATTCGGGAAGCAACGTATACGGTCGGTCCCGGTACGGGTACGACGACAACGTTTGTCGGCGGCGAGAATGTGACCGTTGCCCCCGATGGTATCACGGTGGCTACCTTGACGATACCGTATCCGTTTGGACCGACGATTGTAACGATGCTGCCGGAACCAAGCGAAGCGGCGCCCATCGAAGGAGACGACGACGAAGACGCCGGGTCCCCTGTCAGGCCGGACTGGGCAGCGGGCATCACTGCATTAAGCATCGCGATTGGCGTTTGGGTTATTGGTTTCGTCATTTGAGCAACACGCGCGAAGAAGCAGAAGAATGGAAGCAGAATCCAAAACAAAAGGAGTAGGGAATATGGGTGGGCCCAGTCCCGTTTTGACTTTTTCACCCCGGGCGTCCCTTTCTTCGACTCCCTCCACCTCTTATTACACCGTCAGCCTCGGTCACTTCATCGCGCCAAGTTAAGCACGATGGCGACTGGACCATTCGCGGGGTCTGCAGCGGTGGGCTTGTTTTCATCATCTCGCCCACTCTCGCTGTATATGCTTTTATCACGACTGCGAACCTTGCGGGAATCGGGCTGGTGAAGCTAAACAAACGCTTTGTAACCCATTACCTCTCTTTTACTGGGAAGCGTTTCCCGGCGGGCCCGCTTCCACGAAAACACAGTAATTGGACGCAGTCTAGGGTTTTGATACCCAGAAACCTCAGGCCGGCTCTTGATTTCTTCGACGAGCAGCAGGCATAGAAACCCCACGCGTGTGTCGGGCGTACTTTCGACCCTCAAGTAGGGTTTCCTCATCTCGACCTGCAGATGAGACTAGTCATATCTACCTTTTATCTTTTCCTTTGTCATTATATTCTTACTTTGAAACGACAAGGACACGCATTTATCGGATCAATAGGCGCAAAAAGGGCGGCGACGGGGCTTCGGCATATTGGGAACAGGCTTTCATCCTCGGGATCTTTGGGTTTTTTTCTTCTGACTTCTTCACCTCGCGCTTTGCTTCTTTATTATCCTCCTCTTTTATGTCTTCTTTTTCAATTCCTTCACTTCTCTTTCTCTTCCTACCTCCGGACCTTGGCCGAGATCTAAGTGTGGCTTGGCTTGAAAAGGGATCCTTTGGGGTTGTGTGTAAATAGAAGATGGACGAGGTTGGCTGCAAGCCAAAAGAAGATGCAACGATCACGTAATGAGACGAATAACAGACCAAAAAGACTTATTTTCAAACTTTACAACATGAACTGGGTGTCATTTGCTTCCTTTCGTCGTCTCGTCTCGTGCCTACCATGATTCTCTATATACAGCTGTGTGTCCCATCTTGCCAACCTAGGAGATAGTAAGCCCGCCCTTGACGGATGCAAGCCCTAGCATTTGCCAGAAGGACCCAGCTCTCTGTTTCTACATCCCCCGGGGCCTTAACAACATCCAGTACGTCGAAAAATATCGGGTTCGGGTTAAGCAGCCGCATACAAGCACGGTAGGGTCCCGTGGTTGCGAGAAGGAAAGGGAAACAGTTCAATGTTTTACCAGGCTTGAGCCAACCCCCACCCTCTTCGTAACACACTAACTGAGAGAGTAGATTTGAGAACATGGCGAAGGGGCGGTAGAAAAAAAGGGGCTTCGCCCTCTCACGGCCGCCATCCATCCCCCTCTTTCCCCTGCATCCACAAGTCTTCGCATCTCGCGTTGACACGCAAAAGCCCCCGAGGAAATACATGGACAACACTCGCGTTCTCCTCACGCCCCCCTCTAATTTGTTCGGCCCGTCTTTTTCCAATAGGAGCTTGCCATCTGAGTGGCTGGCCACGTCCTGGTGCTGACATGCTGACACAAAGGGGGAATAGATGGCTTGGACTCTCAGCCCTACCAAGTGCCGGGGGTTGTCGCCGCTTGAGGAGAGTGGAAGTTGCGCCACTATCCACGTTTGATAAGGACCTGGGTGGACAAATCCAAATGAATTCCGAAATGTACTATCTCGTCTTTAGTAGCCTAGACACATGAAAGAAGAGCGCGCTTCTATCGCCCATGTGACGGGCCTACAATACCGTAAGTGAAGAGCACTGTGGTATCATTTCATGTAGACCCCGAGTCAAAATCCACCTGCGATACGAGGTTGAATCTGGGAACTGCGCTTCACTTGCGAGAATCTATTCAAGTGCACAAAAGCACATGTTTAAGAGTGAAATCGGAGATGGAAGCAGTTCAGTGGAGGTAAATTGAGAATGAATAACTAAAACCCTTGAACGGGATAAGAAGAGAAGCGGCACCTCGAGCACACGACACCTAACAATAAACAAGGCGCGATAGAATAGGCTATCGCTAGGCAAAGGCAAGACAACCAAAACAAACCAAAACGAAAAAAAGCAAAGGCAAAAACGGCAAACAAGACAAGAGTCAAAAGTTCAGCAAGAAACATGGAAATCAAGTCAGCCCTGGAATTCGGTTAACGGACAACGCGCAAGACACACACCCTCCACAAGCCATCCTGGTTGTCTGCTACTAAAGAACATCCTTCAACCAACGGCCTCTGGGTGAGCGGTCAAGGCGGGGACCCGCTCCTACTTCCGGGTGATGGTTTCTTCGATTTCTTGCCCTTCTTCTTGAAGGTGATTGGGAATCCAAACTGGCCAGGACTGCTGCTAGCACTCGGGGAGCCGGATCCAAAGTAGTCCTCAATAAAAGGATCGCCGCTCTGGTAAAAGTCGGCTGAGAAATCTTCCGAAGTGACCGAAGCTGACCCTTCTGCCGCGAGGATGCTCAGGTCAAGTTCACTTGGATTGCCTGCTGCAGTGCTGAACGAGGAAGACGGACTGTCGGGGCCTTCACCTGTGTAAGACCCTGTATCACTTGTAACGCGACGAAACTCCTCCTCGACAAAGGATTCTTCCGACATCATGAGCGCGTACAAGACGGCTTCTTCTTCGGTCAAGTCGCCCAGGTCGCCGGGTCCAAACTTGGCCTTGAGCCACTGCTCCCGCTTCGAAGCCTGTTCTCCGTCCTCGAGTTCACACGTCTTCAGCCCGGCTTTTGCCCGTTTTCGGCTTGATGACTGCGCGGCGGAGCCGTAGGACCAGGATCGGATGAAGGCGCCAAAGGCAACTACACCGCACAGCTTGGTCGGGTCCGGGTGGAGGCAGATCGAGGTTGCTGCTGAGTACTGGCTATTTTGCGGGTTTCTGAGCGCGGGATTGATGTGCGCCAGGTGTCGAGGGACACGATTTCCGGATCGGGTGTTGATAGTTCGGATCGGAGCCTTGTTGGCGGACAATGGGTCCCAAGCTTGGACAAGTCCGTCGCTTCCACCGTGGACGAGATAAAGAGCACTTAGAGCTAGGGAGGAGACTTCGGGCGATTCGGTATGGATGAGCTTGACAAGCGAGAGACTCGAGGTGCTCGGGTCCCGGCCATTCCAGAGCATCACCGTGCCCCTATCGGTACCCACGGCAAGGAAACGGCCGCGGTCACCTGGGATCTCAACATGGTTTCCGCCAGTACTAGCCGAGACAAGGGGGTCCTCGGGCAATGTCGTGAGGGCGCAGTGTGATGTGTCAAGTGCAGACGCAGTGATCTTGAGCATGTTATCCCCACGAAGTGAGGCGGATGTCACGGCCCAGCCATCAGGGCCAGCTCGCCTAGCTTTCGCCGAGGACTTGCCGGTACTCTGCGGAATGCCGTTGGGGATGTTCCTCGTATAACGCTGGATACGGGCGGGTTGAGTGCTCGCGTAACCACAATCGATGACAAAGATGGCCTCACCGGCCCCTTGGCCGTCGTCGGCAGCAAAGTCAACCTCCAACCGTCTGCGCATATCCCATCCTTGGTACAAGTTTCTCATATGACTTGGGCGATGACTACACCACTGGCTGATCTCCCTTGCTTCGTCTTCCCGGTCTTGCGCGCCCATTTCCATGGAACTGGGGGAAGAGCGAGGTGGCGTAAGTGAGGGTTGGTTCATCAAGTTGCCATGCTGGTCGTACTGGGGTTTGAGGACTCGGCTAGTGGATTCCAAAAGATGCCAGTGGACGGATCTCCCCGAGCCCCAGGCGTTCCGAATCATATTCTCCTCGTCGACCGATGCACCCACTGACTCAGGGACATCCTTGAGGTAAAAACTTCCCCGAGGGCGTTGAGGGCGACCGCCCACACCCTGCCGGCTGCTCGCCGGGCGAAGGAATAGCCTTCGTCAACTTTGAGAGAAATAATCGGCACGCCCGGACTCAATGCCCACCGGCAAGCCATGTCTCCATCCTGGAATCTGCGACGGCCGGTCTCACGGCCCAAAGCGTACGAGGTAACAATGCCGGTGGTAGATCCCGTCATCATACCAACCATGGTGTGGGTCAGCATCGGGACGTTGTTGTACTTTGAGATCCAGACACTGGAGAGTGCTTCATCCGGCGAGGATACGGGTACATCAGCAAAGCTAGACGTGAGAGCAATACCATGATCCACATATCTAGCTCGGTGGTTGATGGTGGGGCGGAAATAGGAAACCCTCCTGGAAAGCCCTCGCCAACAATGAAGCCAAAAGTAGGGCTTACATCCATGACATTGGGTCCGGAGGCTGGTCCTTCGGCAATGCCATACATGGGCAGGTTTGGGAACAAATCCTCGACCTGTGCAAGTGTATGAACGTCAGAGATACCCCATTTCTCGATTTTGCCTGTCAAAGGGTTGCTCATGGAGCCCATTCCAAGGTCCGCACCGCCATGAATCACCTTGGGAGGTGACTTTTGGCTCGTGAAATCGGCATATACATTGGTGACAACGCACGGAATCCGCGAGTCGTACGTTAAGATGGCGTTGAATCTCTTGACGAGGCGGCCAGACCGGTCTACGGCTGCAGAAGGCCTGCCATTTGCGAGGCCGCGCAAAAGCTGGCTTCGCAGGATGTATTCACTCTGCCAGGTTGCAGGAGGTGTCAAGCGATTGAAGTAACGCTGACTACTGGGGTGGCATCATTCCCCTGGTCGTCCCAGATAGGGTCAAAGTCATCATCTCCAGCAAGAGACTTGTTGGAATACAGTCTCTGGAAGGCTATTTTCCAAGCATGGGGTGTCTTGACTAGCGCGTAAAACTGCTTCGAGACCAGGGCCATGGCCGCGTAAGAGTCGGGATGCAGGTACGAGAGAATATGGGTCAAGACCTCTAAAGACAGGAATTACACATCAGTGACTTGAAGCTTGGGCTAGCAAAGGCCGACGATGTCGACCCTGGATAATGGCTTACCATTGGGGAAATCGGTAATGTTGGGACCCTCCGAGGGGCCCTGGCCAACGCGTTCAATGACTTTAAAGCCTACGCGACGCCGAGGGGTTGCGACAACTGGGGAATAAGCGTTCTCATGTTCTGAGACGCGTTGGCCTAGGGCGCGATGTTGGGCACTCGGAGAGGTTTCGGCAACATTTAATCTACGCAGACGTTCATTGAAATTCTCGATATCAATGCCGCTCCCGGGCCAACCCTCGCTGATGACGGCTGAGGCCGCATCTGAGATAACAGAGGGGCTTCGTGGGTGCGGAGAGTGTAGCTGGGAAGCTGAGTCTGGAGTATGGCTCGCCTGAAATCCATGATTGAGACTTGGGGGAGAGGGCACGCTCGTGCTTGGTTGTGTTGCCGTCGATTGGTTTGAAGATTGATGGAAAACTTGTTGCATGAAGCTGAGAGTCAAACCTCTGCTTTGAATCGTTTTAGACCGTGCAGTGGGAACGCTTGCACAGTCGTTGAAGACGCGGAGGTGCTGGGACAATCGGGAGAACACGGGAGGAGAGAGTTGAAGCAGAAAGGGGCAAGCAAAATGGAAGAGGTGGAGGCTTCTGCGCGAAGGCAGAGAAGACGCTCACAAGCGAGGGTCAGAGACAATGGGAGGCTAGGTTTCAGCAAACCTTCTTGGAGAGATTGTATGGAGGTAAAGATGTCATCAGAAGGGAGAAACGGAATGTTGCTGTGAAAGAGCTCAGTTTTGGTCTGGCGGCGATCTTGGTAAAATTGCCTCGAAACGATCCGAACCGGGGTTTATCCGGGAAATTAGGTTGTCTCCATCCCAGGCACTGCGCTGGTCTATGCGCTCACTTCGGAGGAAAAACAACTGCCCAGGTCGGGTCAGATGTATTATTACAGAAGTTGAGGAAGCTCTTCTTTTCGGTCATCTCAATCTTTAGATATTAGGCTTTCTCACATTTTAGCTCTGTTCATATCCTGTATCTGTAGATATGTAGATATGTAGAGTTGTAAGTCTTGCGATTTCGCTGTATAATTTTTCCCGCTTATTCTTTGCCTCAATCTGGAGACAAAACCTCCGTCTTGACCAATAAATTCTACAACTTCGAAGACGCCATTGACAGACTGCCCTTGGTTGTGCTGCTGTTCAGGAAGTTTCGTCACTCAGGGCTATTTGAGCAACAACTCGTCGGAAACACGTGGTGATAAGATAAGATACAAAGAATTGTGGCAGAGATGTGACATCTCTGGCACCTGCCGAGCGCCCCCATTGCCACTCACCCCACCATGTTAGTTTCCAGGTTGAAAATTATTTAGGGAAATTCCGCGACATCCCACCTGAACTCGACGTAAGGCACCTCGAACGTGACTCAATTCTCCCCAACTTCCCCGCCGGCTTCCAGAAACCCGCTCAAGCGCCGAATCCCTACATCATCGGTCGAAGCCTGGTTGCACTTTTTCCCGGCAGTATACGAGACTTTATCGGCATCTCAGCATCGCGAGGAGTGAGCTTGCCACCAACGCGACCATAAAGATAGTGAACCCCGCCTCTCAACCTCGTCCGAGAATTGAACCTACCATCATTCCCCTTGACAACGGAAGAAAAAAATCGCCAAGATGTCTTTAACAAACTGTCGTTTCTATGAGGAGAAGTACCCGGAGATCGATAGCTTCGTCATGGTCAATGTGAAGCAGGTATGATGAAGAGCCGACGACCTACCATTGCTTAAGCTTGTGTGCCCTAATATGGATGCCGTGACAACAGATCGCCGAGATGGGTGCCTACGTAAAACTCCTCGAGTACGACAACATCGACGGAATGATTCTTCTCTCCGAGCTTTCGAGGCGACGCATCAGGAGTATCCAGAAGCTTATCCGAGTCGGACGTAACGAGGTCGTAGTGGTTCTTCGTGTCGACAAGGAGAAGGGTGCGTACAGATCCTTAGGATCCCCGCAATCGCGCTATCCGCGCCAGCTATCTCAGCCAGCGTGAAGCCTTGTATTTTTCCTCCTCGATCGGAAGCTAATGGTCCACATTCGCCAGGATATATTGATCTTTCCAAGCGCCGAGTATCAACCGAGGATGTTATAAAATGCGAGGAACGCTACAACAAGGGCAAGATGGTTCACTCCATCATGCGCCACGTCGCTGAGAAGACCGAAGTTCCTATTGAGGATCTATACAAGAACATTGGCTGGCCCTTGAACAAGAAGTACGGCCACTGCATCGATGCCTTCAAGATCTCGATAACGTGAGTTAACTCGTGGACCCGCTTCTTAATCAATTGCGCAGCGGTCGCTGACGTGCCTTCCAGGAACCCCGATGTTTGGAATGACATCACCTTCCCCAGCAACGCCGTCAAGGAGGAGCTTCTGTCGTATATTGGCAAGCGCCTTACCCCCAGCCCACCAAGGTCCGAGCGGATGTCGAGGTCACTTGCTTCGGCTACGACGGAATAGATGCTATCAAGGCCGCCCTCTCTCAGGCCGAGGCGCGCGACACCGCCGAGACGCAGGTCAAGGTCCGACTGGTATCCCCCTCTCTACGTCTTGACCAGCACCTGTTTGGACAAGAACGACGGCATCAAGAGGCTTGAAGAGGCCATTGTCGATGTCCGGGCTAGCATCGAGGCGGCGGGAGGAAGGCTAGAGGTCAAGATGGAACCCAAGGCCGTCACCGAGACTGATGATGCCGAGCTTCAGGCCCTCATGGAGAAGAGGGAGAGGGAGAATGCTGAGGTCAGCGGTGACGAGAGCGTTAGTGAAAGCGATGACAACGCCCCCGACACGATTTGATTCGATTCCAACCTGGAGAAAATGGCGGGTGGGGTCACCGATAGGCCATGATTCGGAACGAAGCCACGACAATGATGGGATTCTGCAGTGTCCTAGCACCATGTACGCGGGGAAAGAGAATGTCGCATATCCAAAACGGGTGGCGTGTAACACGGGGGAAAGATTTGAGCATGTTCTCAAGGAAGAGGATGGGTTCTCGTTTCATTACGGAGGAATCTTGGGGCCATGTCCTCTGGCATAGCATTGTTCCTGGTGTCAGATAAAAGTGCTCTGAATGATTTGCAGTTTGGCGCAGGCCGAGTTTTCTTGTTACAAAGTTAATGTTGCTTTTGGACATGTGTAAACGGTGGCTTGTGGCTCGGAATCAGTTGATACCAAAAAGAGTGCTAAGAGTGCTAAAAGAGGCAGGTTGAGGCGGCGGTGAGGCATTGGGAACCTCGAGGACTGCCCACTCATGATCATGGGCCAGCCGTACCTTGGTGCTTCTTGGGAACACCAAAGCTTCAATCCGCACCAAGGGCACCTCCCCATAGGTGGTCCTAGCCTCATCCGCACTGTGCCCGGGCATGGTTCAATGTTATGTTCTGGTGAGCTTTAATGCTAGGAAAGACAGTGACTAGGTTCCATCAATTGCTTATTATTGCGACCTGTGCTGCAACTCAAGCTATCCGCCATGGCGTGACCTACTTCTTACACTGACGAAAATTGTAAAACGAGCTTGGATCAATTGATCCGCTAACACCTTCACTGAGACACGCCTTTTTTTTCTCTTTTTTTCTTCTCCAACAAGCCCACCTCCACACGAACCAAACATCCAAATGCCAAATACTCCGATGCCCCGCAGGACCTAGCCTCGAGCAATCAACGCGCATTGGAGCGCACAAGGCAGATAAAGCCCGGCAAACGGTTTGCGGCTCATGGCGGCGTCATCGGCGTGGAGGAGCCGTGGGCCCTTCGTCTGGGACTTTTCACGGCGGCTCGTGAGCTGGGCGACGTGGATACCCGTGGCGATCTGCTTCAATACGTTTGTGGCGGAAATCACCTTTATCAAGGGGGTTCCATGTATCCGTTCCTAAATGGAGACAAGGATTCGACGCTGCGAAGCGACGCCGCGCTCAACTGGAAGCTATACCCGCACCTCGGACTGGCGCGGGGCATGATAGTTACCTTCAAGTATGTTTCGACCAGTGTGCAGGGCATTCTCGATCGCAGTTATCGTCTCTCCCTCACTTCCTCCTCTCTTGTTCTCTCGTTCCCTTGTTCCCTTGTTCCTTGTCCAACTCTCCACTCCCAGCCGTGCTAACCTCGAGTCACCCGGCTTGGCAGGTCCCCCTCGACCCGGAAAAGACGGCCGTAAAGCGCATTGTCGGGCTAGAAGGAGATCTCGTCTGGTCTCGACACGCCAGCCACTATGACGCCATCCGCGTGCCAAAGGGCCACATATGGGTGGAGGGCGACGCCGGGAACGACAAAGAATCGCTGGACAGCAACACGTACGGCCCCATATCCGTCCGCCTAGTGACAGGTCGGCTCACACATATATTATACCCGTGGAATAAGTTTGGAAAGATACGGTGGTGGGAACACAAGCTACGGACAACCGGACCCGAATATAAGAGAGGGTGGAGATCCTGAGATCAGGCCGCCTGCCACTTGAAGTGCCATGCTGGATACCCAAGGAATTGTACAGTATACATCTGCGCCGGCAATGTTTAACCCCGTTTATGAAAAGATCAAAAACGGGGTTGGTTTTGTTATAGACCTGGAATGCCTTACGAACACAAGAGATGTCTTTCTTCTCGAACATTCAACAAAGAAATCGGCAGTGGTCCATAGGTCCTCCTCCGGCTTTTTGAGAAGTGAAAGGGCTTGATCGAGCGGCGCAACTATAGCCGAGAGCGCTCATGGACCGATCTCCCTACAGAAGAAATGGCCCAAAAGTCAAGGAGGCTGGAAGCCACCGTGATAGGCCCTCTTTATCTATGAAGATGATGCCAATTGCGAACAAAGAGGAACTTTCACCATCCTCCTCCTCTTTGCGAAGGACGCAACGGCGTGGATATAAACGTGGCTCGATAACGCGAAGCACAAACCCCTACAGAGCGCGCAAAGTCGCGGAGGCCAAAAGCGGCATGGCAAAGGCTGTTTATACAGCCCAGCACTTCTACTTAATCTTAGTAGAGAAGACCTCTAAAAAGAATCTACAACTTGAAATCATATTCATATACTAGTAGATTCCTTTCTTTGAATCTAGGTGAAGTGTGTACTTCTAGTATTGGCTTGGCACGCTGAAGTTGCAGCCCAGGTGAAGATATGACTGCAAGAGAAGTGTGAAAGCCACCAAACCTCTTGAGGTGGGCGTACGTTAGTAAGAGCGTGTACCTGACGAAAGGGACAAAGCAGAAGCGAGCTGATTGAAAAGGAGGAATGTTTGGCGAAAGTTTGGTGAGCCAGAGGCCTCCGTTGAAAAGGTCCAACAAAAAGTGACTGGGATTCTCGATTCTTCCGAGAGCTGGTGTGTGCTGGAAAGGACGCCGAATCTGGAAGCCTATTATTGCGGGCTGTCACGGAAAAGACAGTCGGCGAGAAAATTACGAACAAGCCACAGTTCCTGGATTCCCCTGCACTGTGTACGGTGGCGCAGAAGCAGCCCCCATTGCTTAATATTTCACACGTTTCCCGCGATCTGGCGTTGGCTTCCAGCACAGTGTGAGGGGCATGACGCAGCTTCGCCCTTCTTTCGGCCGCCACATGTTGGGACTGGGCGACAATTTTTCCCTCCTTCAATCGGGTGCGAAACTTTGATAATCCTGCTGGCATGCTAACACTCGCGAGTCTTTCTCGACTCTTCTCACCATAATTCGCCCACCAACGCAAACCACGAGGCCGCTCGATAGCGTGCCATAGACGATCGTTCTAAATTGTTCCCTATTTCAGTTACTGTTTTTCTTTCCATTTTCTTCGCAAATTGTTTTTGGTGCTTGGAGATATAACGCTTCCTTGCTCGTCTCTTCTGTTCTCCCGCCGCTGCCGCGCGGAGGACCCGCGATGCCCTTTGCGAGCCAACTATCGAATTCCAGCTCGACAGTCCCCGATTCCAACCTCGATCCGACCTCTGTCTCGCGTCCGGCCATTTCCGGTGCTCAGGTGGGAAACGCTCTCACTCTGACCGATGACCATGCGGCAGCAGCGCGTTCGTTGCAGGATATTAGCTTTGGGGCCCCTTCCACAAGCTATAATATGACAGCCGATCTCGATGTGGATTCTGAGGGGCGACCGCCCTATCGCCATGTAAGGATTTACCCGGGCCACTTTAGAATATCATGACGCGCCGAGGGAGGGGCTTTCTGTTGCGTGGAGCAGGGTTGGATATCAGCTGGTGCTAACTTTGGACATTCTGTAGGCTATGTTGGCAGGCGGCATCGGCGGCTGTACTGGCGATCTGTTGATGCACTCTCTCGATACTGTCAAAACGCGGCAGCAAGGCGACCCTCACATTCCTCCAAAATACACATCTCTCGGTTCCTCTTATTATAAAATATGGCGACAGGAGGGTGTGCGTCGAGGCTTGTACGGGGATGGATTCCCGCAGCCCTCGGCTCTTTCCCGGGCACTGTCATGTTTTTGGAACCTACGAATGGAGCAAGCGCTTCCTCATAGATCACGGCGTCCAGCAGCACGTTTCGTATCTCTCGGCTGGTACGTACCGCCTGCGCCGTACGGCGCGAGCCCTCCGTTCCATTTCATACGTGCTCATGCAGCCCGGCTAACACGCTCTTTAGGGTTCCTCGGAGACCTCGGTGCTTCCATTGTATACGTTCCGTCCGAAGTTCTCAAGACCCGCCTCCAACTTCAAGGCCGATATGACAATCCTTACTTCAACTCTGGCTACAATTATCGCGGAACTATCGATGCTGCTCGGACGATTGTGCGAAACGAAGGCTTCTCGGCGCTGTTCTACGGATACAAGGCCACCCTGTACCGGGATCTTCCATTCTCCGCGCTGCAGTTCATGTTCTGGGAACAGTTCCACGCCTGGGCCAGGCAGTACAAGCAAAGTCGGGATATTGGCGTCCCGTTGGAGCTCTTGACCGGCGGCGTTGCTGGTGGGCTTGCGGGCGTCATTACCTGCCCGCTTGATGTGGTGAAGACGCGACTGCAGACCCAAATCAACTATAATATCCCCGAGCAGCCACCCATTCCTATGCAGGGGTTCACGCCAATAATCAAAAGCGCTCCATCTCTACCTCGTCACCATCCACGCATACCCCCGACCTGGCGCAATCAATCTCCGAACCTCATCAGTCTTCCAGGGACTCCGCCTGATCTATCAGGTGGAAGGTATTGGGGTTGGTTTAGGGGTGTCGGTCCGCGTGGTGTCTGGACTTTTATCCAGAGCGGCTGTATGCTATTCCTGTACCAGCGGCTTTTGCGACAGCTACAGGTCTGGGATCCGGTCGAGGAAGTTGAGCTCTGATCGGTCTTGAGACGCAAGATGGTAGGCCTCTGCCTCTCTTGAATCCTTCAGTTCATCACTTCCCCTCACCTCCATACCTCCCCGCATTGTTCCCTTCTCAATGCTTCTTTTTCATTTTCTTTGCACCTCCCTGCTCGACTTTCCCGATCAACTGTTACCCTATACGGTCGCCTGGCGTCTTTCCCAACATTGTCAGGAGTGATATAGACTCTTTTTTTTTTGTATTAGTAGGTAGGCATTTGATGTTGCACACGTCCAAAAATGGATATTCTGGGTGCTGGAGTTTGGTAGATGAGAGTGAGGAGCTAGACCTCGGTCTCCTTGTTTTGTTATGGGAAGAGATGCATTTGTACATGTATAACCGATAGACCTGCTTTACTGAATTGAAATTCTCCACAACACGAAGACTTGTACATTCGACTTTTTTTTCAGCTGGCCCTTTTGACAAGATTGAGGTTGGAGGACGAAACAAAGTTGATATACGGAGAACCTTTGCGTTGCGCTTGTGTGGGATTCGTCAAGTTGGTATCAGGAGCTGGTCAAACTTATTGATAAATTCATGGTGGGGGACGGAGCTCAAAGTCACTGCTCCGTGCTCCAGCTCCATGTAGAATTGAGCTCATGCTCCATCAATGTCTGACGTGCGTCCATCAATCCAACCCGCCAATTGATCCAATAGAGCAGTCATTAGATCCAACGCCAATCCATCCCCGCCAAGAATTTTTGTGCCCATGCCCAGACCGCAACGGACAGCCTCGCAAACCACCCTTAATAGTTATCTTTTCTACAAGTGCATCAAACAAGCCACCGGTGCTGCCAACGAATAGCGCGAGGCATCCTCAACCTCACCGCTCCTTTTTTCGTACCGGTTCCCGAAACCCCCAAGCTTCCGGCCCCGTCATCTAGTCGCACACACACAAGGCAGGCAAGGCACCTACGAGGTAAATGGACCCGGAAAGAGAGGTGACGCCGAAGCGGGAGGCCACGCCCGGCGGCTCCCTCTCTCCTCCATCCCCCAGAAGCGAGCCCACGAGGAAGCCCACACCCCGAGCGTGCCGTCCCCGCTCAACCCCGAAGCCAAGCCCCGAAGCCCGCGACCGCGACCGCGGCGACGACCGACGATGCGCCCGCCGCGCCCCCGCGCGACAAGCCGGCGCGTACCAAGAAGGAGGCTCTGAAGAAGCGCGAGTCTAGAGGAGGGGTGGACGGTGGTAGTAGCCGCGCGACGCCGGACCCCAAGCTTGGGCAGGCAGCCGCCGCCGCGCTCGATTCGAACACGTGCTCGCCACTCCGCTACAAGCTGGCGCTGCCGCGGCCGGCGGACTTTGAGCAGCCCAAAGGGGCCGTCTTCACGCCGCATCACGAGATTGTTGGGCCGGATGGCAAGGAGATCCAGTTTCACGAGACTTCAGACCAGTGAGTCCCACGTTCTACACGCCCCCCTCTCTCTCTCTCCCATCCTTTCCACCAGTTCATATTTTTCTTTTCCTTTTTCGCTGCTCGCAGCACAATGGCCTCCAATGAATGCTTTTCTAACCAGATGGCGCACTCTTTCTCTAGCGTATACAACAAGAAAAACTTCCATTACACCCACTGCCGCGCGGATGCGGGCTTCCCCTCCTCCTTCTACTACAGACAGACCGAGCCCGCGCCCCAAGGCCCCCACATGAGCTTCGAAGACGCCTCGACGCACATGTACTTTGACAAGTTGGGCAACCACATCACCACCGACAAGGGTTCCGCATGGCGAGATCCAACGTCGCCATCCGCGAAGGCAGGTGGTACTGGGAATGCAAAATCACGAGCGGCATCGTCAAGACGAAAAAGGCGAGCCGGCCGCGGCCAACGGACACGTGCGTGTCGGTTTCTCCCGGCGCGAGGCGTCTCTCGATGCTCCCGTCGGCTTCGACGCGTACAGCTACGGCATCCGCGACAAGGAGGGCCACAAGGTGCACATGTCCCGCCCCAAGTCCTTCTTCCCCGCCGGCGAGGAGATTTGCGAGGGCGACGTCATCGGGCTCGAGATCAAGCTCCCGTCCGAGCAGCTCCAGCGCAAAATCCTCGCCGGCGACTACAACCCGGCCGTCGACAACGCCGACGAGGAGCCCGACCCAATGGCCCCCGCGCCAAACATCGTGAGAGACCGCATCCCCATCCGGTTCAAGTCGCACATCTACTTTGAAAAGATCGACTACCACACCACCAAGGACCTCGAAGACCTCATGAACCCCAGCCCCGCCGTCTCCGGCCCCGCGGCGCCGCCCAACCCCCACCACCCCGTTCCCGCCCTCCGCACGCTCCCGGTTCGTACATCAAGGTGTACAAGAACGGCGTCCTCGTAGGGACCGCCTTTGAGGATCTCCTCGCCTTCCTCCCGCCCGCCTCGAAGCCGCAGTCGCAGCCCGGCGCGCGGGAAGGCCTCGACGACGGCATGCTCGGCTACTACCCTCCGTCAGCGTCTTCCGCATGGGCGCCGCCGAGGTCAACTTTGGCCCCCAGTTCTGGTACCCCCGCCCGGCTACGACGGCGCCGAGGAGGACGAGGTGGACATGGTGGATCTCGGCGACCGGGAGGACGCCCCAGCCGCGGCGAAGAAGACTGAGCTGCGCCCCAAGCTGAGCAAGCTGCGGCCCGTGGTGCAGAGGTACGTCGAGCAGGTTGTCGAGGACGTCATCTGCGATGTCGTGGACGAGGTCGACTTTTGGTTGCAGGACGGCGGGTCAAAGAACGTTGTGCCCAAGGCGGGAGAGGAGAAGGAAGCCAGCGGGACCGCCGTGGTGCCTGCCCAGGAGGAGATTAAGGAGCTCGTCCAGGACGACTAATGGAGCAGGGTCCGGCGCGGTTTGTAAAAGATGGCTGAGCACATAAAACTGACGCTGCCGGTGCGTTGAATCTCTGGGATTTAGACAGAATGAATGGGACACCAAGAGAATAAATCTATGAGGGAGATGTATCACAATGATGGAAACAGAACACGGTTCAAGCAACTTTCTCCGAGGAGAGATATTCCAATTGTATTATAAGATCAAAAGCGAGCGCCACAAGAATTGAATAAGAAAAATAAAAAAGAATTCCAACTACGACTAGATTACGCTAGGTTTTTGAGTTTCCTTTGTGCACTCTTCATGCAATATGTGGATCGGGGTATACAGATCTCGTAAACTAAAGATTCGTTCATTAAATCGGCCAACGTCCTCCTAAAACGAGAGTAGAAGGGAGGAGAGGGCGAGCGAGGGAGAGCAAAACACCGCTGAAGACTCGTTAGATCTTTTAGATAAAAGTTTTTGGTCCTTTGAACCTAACGATAGACGGAGGGAAATGGATTCTCGGCAAGGGAGAGGATGGGAGGAGAGAGAGAGAGATTAGCTTCGGGCCTGAGAGGAGCCTGCTGCAACAGCCTTGGCAGCTTCATCCTCGGGCTCGGTGATGGTAGGCACGGGGTTGACGGCCGGGAGCGTCGAAGGCCCTGCCTGTGAGGACTCGCCCTCACGAACCTCTTCGATGCTTAACCGGCTCTCAGTTCCTTCCTTCACAACGGCTGGGCCAGCCTCACCGGATTCCTTCTTGAGGCGCTCTTCGCGACCGCGCTTGTAGCAGTACCATAGCACGAAGAGAAGAACTAGGGAGAGTGTTAGATTAGCATTAGACATTCCACGCTCCTTTACCTTGCCATGAGGACAGAAGGATAGATAGGGGTGAGTAAAGGGTTGTTGTCGTTGGTGTTGGTGTTAAAAGGAGATGCATAGAGGACACAAGAACTCACGAAATACGGAGACGCTCCACAAAAGATTGGTCCCGATGAAGGCGGGGAATCGCAGCTTAAGCGCATTGACGATGGACCTCAGCATTCCAGCAATGGCACCGGGCTTCGTCACCATCTCTTGCATGCCTCTCACTGTGAGCAAGCTCATGGCGGCATCCTTGAGGCCACCCTCGCCCTTCACGTCGACCTCCTTGCCCTGGGCGGCGGCGGCGGCCTTGAGTACTTCGGGCGCGAACGAGGCCGTGATCTTATCGGGCATCTGCATGACGAGCTTTTGGAGCGGCCCGGGCAACTTCTCAAAGGTGCGGTCGAGGAGGCCGTCGCGGTCCTCGATGAGAGACACGAGGTCGCCGTACGCGGTGGGCACGCCGTTGGCCAGGTCCTTGAGGACGAGGGTGAAGCGCTTGGCGAGGCTGGCGACGTCTGGCGTCAGGGACAGAGCGCGGTCATCTTCGTCGGTGGTGAGGCCTAGGCTGCGCAAGACGCGAGAGAGGTCCTTTTGCTCGCGGGCGACTTCGTCCTTGGTGGCCTCGGCGGGGGTTCCAGGGTTGCACCTTGCTTCTTTTTTGCTGGTTGAAGAACGGTATCGAGAAGCGCTTCTTCTTAATCTCCTCGCCTCCCTCCTTCTCTTTGCCCTTTCCTGTATCAGTGGTAGCGGCGGCGACTGTTGGGGGTTGGGGGCGGGGATCGTGGCGAGGGCCTTGTCCTTGTCGTCGCGGGAGCGGGACACTGCGACGATGGCTGAGCTATCCGAGATCTCTCCCGAGTGGCGACTGTTGAAGTCGTCCGAGTCCCATGTAATTTCGGGGGTCTTGATGCGGGGTGGTAGTGCCGGAGCGGGGCCCTCGTCGGAGGTGAGTGACAAGGAAGAGCTCGTCGTCGGGCTCGAGGACGGGGGTGTGCACAATTTCCTCCTTTGCCTTGCCCTTGTCTTCCTTCTTCTCCTCCTTTTCGGCCTTGTGCTTCTTGTATTTCTTGTAGGCAAAGTATTCGAGCATCTTGGCCGACGGTGCCAGGGTGGAAATTGGGTGAGCGGTTGAGGGTTTCCAACCCGAGTAACAAGCTAGATTTGTTGGGATTAATGGATGGAAAGGGGGAAACGAGAAAAGCGAGAGGCGAAGGGGGCGAGAGGTTGGAAATGTGGTGATGGAATCAATTACCCGACTTGGAGTGTCGTGATTCAGAACAGAGGAGTATATCAATATTTTAGGGTATCAATGATCGCTATTATTGGAGAGGAAAAGGAGAAAAGGAAGAAGAAAAACTAAAGGGCGATCCCCATTAATGCAAGAGACACAGCACCACAGTGGCAGGGGGCGCAAGAAGAAAAGGGAGCACACAGAGCATCAAGTCTGTCGACCAGTCGGGCAAGAGCTGGAGGCCGCCACCTGAGATTACATGCAAGTGTTGTGTTGATAATGATGTCACGAGCTTGGCCCGCTCTAGGCTCAGCTGAAAGCATTATGCTCCCTTGATGCACATTGGATAAATTCGCAAAACCCCGTATCCAGCTGCTTTCATCGACCTTGCCCACCACCTGCGATCATGAGCCTGCAGGTGGGGTTGTAGGTGCCTGGCGTCCTCTTGGTTCAGCCCATTGCACTTTGCAGGTTCGTTCCCCCTCCCAGCAATGGGGGTTCATTCCGTTAGGCCATCTATGGATCCTTTATTTCATCACGAAGAAGAAGCTTCACTGTCCAAAGTTGGCCGTGATGGCCACTAGGAAAGACACGCGAAGACCGTGGTTTTGACATGACTGATGGGCGGGGCTTCATCGTGGACCCTGGCGATTAGGGGTCCAGATCTGCTCCCCGCACAAAATGTTGCTAGGTTCCAATGTTTTTCTTCTATATACAGTTCTTGAAAAGGGAGGGGGTATCACTATTTTTCTTTCTTTCATTACTGCTTAGCTCTTCAGAGTAGACATCCCCTCCTACTTGACATCCACCATCGAGCTGTTGTCGTCCTCCACCTCCTCGCCCTCCCCTTCATCGGCCTCCTCCTGGGCCTCGTTGAATATATCACTCGCCAAGGTGTTGCTCTTTCTACCCCTTCCTCTCGCTTGCATGTACGTTTTTGTAGAAGTAACGGCCCTCTCGCCCACGAAGCGGTTGCCCTCCCAGCCCTTGCCGCACTTGGGGCAGGTCCTTGCCCGCCTAGCCCTCCAGAAGCGCTCTTCACAAATGTCGTGAAGACGGGCCAAGCAATCCCTCTCACCGCACCTCTGGCCATGCGTGACAATCTCCCGACAGGCTTCACAAGACTTGATGCGCTGCCACTCGTCGGCAGGCGCGTCCGCGTCGTTGTACGTGTCCAGCAGCCAGGTCCTCAGCTCTATGAGCGCACGGGGCGCCAGGCTATAGAAACCTTCAGGGCTCTTCTCGAGCCAGGAGCCCTCGACGAGCTCGTCCAAGACCCGGTTGACGTCGCTATGCCGCAGACCCTTGTCCTGTGAGACGGCTTGCGAATCATCGGCGTCAACGGTGCTCGCGTTGGGATTCCCGTTGCTGTTTGCGCTTCTGGGCGGCCTGCTCAGTGAAATGGCCTCCTGCACGGTGACGCACATCTTTTCCATGCGCGGGGTATTGTAGGTGTCGAAGATGGCGTCAAGAACACGCTTAACGAAGGAGATCTCGTCGGGGGTAAAGGTCGTGGCGAGCTGAGTCGAGGGGTCGGAGGTGGTGTTCACCAAAGCCCAGACGCGCGTCTTGTTACCCTGGTGCACCGCGCTGCGGACCTGGTAATCGAACTGAGAAACAGCTTCGGAGGCGGCATTGATGTAAAATTCAAACTCCTCTTGGGTAATGTGGTCGGGTTTGACGTCCTCGGCCCCGGTGGCGAGCCGGATGCCGGCGAGGATCTCCTGGCCCTCACGAAGTGTGACGACCCCGCGGCTCATAAGAGCTTGAAGAAAGGCTCTGTTCTTATCGCCATACTGGTAGTCCAAGTCCATGATGAAGGGATGTATGTCGGCCGTTGAGGCGGCCGGGCGTGGGGTGGTCGAAAAGAGAAGCTTGGACGCCCTGTTGGAATAAAAATTGGACAAGAAGCGTGCGTGACGTGTGGCGGGTAAATCGTATTCAATTGCAAATCGCCAGCTCTTTCCTCTTTGCGCGACGCGTCGAATTGTGGGATCAATTCCCAATGGATCAATGGCGGGGTAAGGGAGCCTTGTTGGGGCAAAGTATGTTGCCTGAGCTAGCCCCCAAACCAGCTACAGTGGCTGTAAAACATTGAAGCTGGAGCATGTGCAGTGGTCACTATATTGTGCATTGTGCTAGTTCAAGCTCACTGTGACCTCGAGTAACTGGAATTGATCTGTGGTTTGGTAGTGGATTCGATGGACTACAATCAACAGACTGCTCCCCCAACTCTAGCAATAGATCCAATGGGGATCCAAGAGATCCCTTCTGGTGCCCACATAATAATGTTCGTACCACTACTACCCACCCTCGACAGCCAAAACGAACTGGCACCCAACATCTTCAAGATGGATCTCAAGGTTTCATCCACCGTCCATGGATTAATCTGCCCAAACCTTCGTCAGGGGTCAAGCACTGGGTCTTTTGTCCAATAAAATCAACAAACCTCCGGCACCCCAGACGGCAACTGACGACATCGACTCAATGCATCATTGACCTCTTGGGTGGCTCAAATTTCCCGGAGCAAACTATCGTCGCCATTCGTCCCTCCCCGAGTGCCCCTCGATTTTCTTGACGATGTTCTATCATCCCCCCAAGTCGCTGTGGCGCGTCCGATCTAATGCTGATGTGCATGTGTCAATGTTGGCTGCATTAAGCCACCAGTCACCTCGAGTAGCGCCGAGGCTTGGCCCTCTACACCTGCGAGTATTCGGCGAGAAGCAGCACCAAGTGATAATCCTCCGAGTCTAGTGTGCGGGCGGGTGTCGCTATTGATTCTTTGCTGCAGTGTCCGGTCTTGTTCACCCATTCATCTAGGGAAGCCCAGCATTCATGCTTCGTACCTTGCTGGTATGGACTATGCCGAAAGCCTGAGTCTCCGAGTAAAAGACCAAAGTATGGGTTTCGATACCAAACGCGCACTTCTCGTGATACACATTCACAGGTTCCGGCGACGGCCACAATCTCTTCCTTTGATTCGAAAAGGAAAAGAGGAAGGAAACGAAAAAAAAAAAAAAAAAGTCTCTTTTCTTTTGTTTTCTCTTTTCCTCCAAGCTGCAGGTAATGACGATCCGCCACCTTCCATTCCTACGCCTATCTATTTCAAGACCAAAGCAAATCATCAATCGCCTTCCTTCGAGACCAAGGAACGCCACTTTTAGTTTGGCAAATTTGTCGATCTGCATGAGCTCTGACAAGATCCAAAACAGGCATAGGAATTTGCACTGATCCTTCGTGGTGGTGGCGTGACATCGCGTGGCAGCCTTCCACCCATCCTTTGACTTGGGCGTCCTGGTGGTCCAGGCGCAAGCAATTGACCCCAATTGAGCCTGCCTTGATTACATCAAAGATCCATGGCCCCAGAGCTGATCGTCAGGAACCAAGCATCATGCCTGTTGGCCTGTCTACCGGGGTCCTTGGTTGAAGAACCGGGTCAGCGTCGGGCTTGGCTGTCATCGAAAAGGACGCATGAAGAAGAAGGAGAGAAGAAAAAAATGCTTGTATCATACTACTGAGCAATGAGGCTTGAGAAAAAGAAGGCTCGCTGATAGCTCCGAGCCTCCACGGTCAAAACATGAAATCCCCCAGTCTTCCCATTGTCGTCTTTTGGCCCCCAGTTTGAATCTCTTCGCACAGACGTCCATCCACTCGGGCGCGGAGAGAAACCCTGGGAACCGCCAGTAACAGAATGCAACATGATGGGATGGGGCTCAGATGTTATGAACACAGGCCATCATTGTCCATCCATGGGCAAGGCAAGGGATGTGTTAACAGCAACGCCTGGAGCAACGGCAGTAACAACAGCAACAGCAATAGCAACGACGACAATCAGGCTTCAGTGCCGACACACCGAGAGCACAGTTCGAGGAGCTTGAAAGGATGAAGCCGCCGGCATCTCCTTTGCCCTTTTCAGAGTCGGACCCCTGGCACTATTGAACATTGATCCTTGTATTCACGAGGCAGGCAGCAAAGAGCATGTGTTTTCCTCATCTCCTACAAAGTATGTCCCGGCTGCTTCTCCACCGCATTATCGGAAAGGAAAGTGAAGGGCAGGAAAAGATAGGGGAGAGGGAACAAAAAAGTGGCAATCTGATGGCATAAGGATGTAACTAGTTTCCTGTCTCGCTCTGTCCTGTCATTAGCGTCTCGCAAAACTAGCTTCAAAGTCCCATGTGGGCAGTGGAACCACCCAAAGACAGAGACTATTCCTCTCATTGACAAAGGGCGCACAGCCATTCTCCACCCACCCCTTCTATTCACTTGCGAAGTATTGACTTATTCTTAGACGTACTAGCTCAGGCCGCTGGAAGGGAAAAGGGATGGCCATGCGTTTCCGTCCCACTTCTCCACCGAGTCACATCCGAACGAACCTACATACTTGGTGTCACGTTGTTTCAACATGCGACAGGAGACGGGGAGTAGCGATACAGAGTTGGGAAGGGAAAAAAGCAACGACAAAGGGTGGGGAGATAGCTGAGCTGACGAACACTTGAGCTTGGGGAATGGGGAATGGGGAATTCTTTGTCCCTTCTTCGCTTTCTCTTCCCGTTAATAGACTTTTGGCCTCGTCATCCCATCGGTTGATCGCCATGCCCTTGCGTATCCTTCGATGAAATTGGCGTAGCCTCTAGTGTAGGGCTCCCAGGTCCATCCATGTCTCCGAACCTGTCGCAACGCGCACTATCCCTGCAACAGTATATACAGATAACGCTCGAACACCAAGTGTCGGAGGAGAGAAGTAGAACGCGAGAGGAGAGGGGAGAATCAGTGGAAGTAGGCAATGCGAGCAACTCGACACCCTTTCCTTGTCGAACAGAAGAAGAAAATTGCTTCAGACACGATTTCCCATAACTCCGTACCCACTTGAACCGTCGAGATTTCGATTTATTTTCCATCATCTTCGTGGTGACAGCGCAAGAGGCATGGCCGGCAAGGTTTCGAGTTCGTGGCAAAGGTATCAGGCCTCTTATTAGGAAACAGAGGTGAGCCGTAAGACACTGCCGCGCCAGGAGAGACCGACCTCAAGCCGGCCTAGTCCATCTCGAGTTACCCCCAAGATTCACGACGCCAAGTGGAGGGTCACGTCTGTTCACTGGCTACCACCCCGATTGGATCTCCTTCTAGTTTCAAAGGGGTAATGTTTTTTTGTGGGGATATCAAGCTGAGCTGCTGATGCTGGTCGATTACCCTTCCGCTCTGCCCCGATCGATTGGTTATGCCGCGGTGCCACCTTCCCAAGATTCGCCATAATAATATCCTTCCTTTTCCCATCTCTAGGCTTCCCGGAGTGGAGGTTTTTCTCGGTTCGAGTTCCGAATCTCCCTTGACTGGTCTTCTTTCTTCCTCTTCCCTCCCCTCGTACCCCCACCGGGTTCCCGTGTAATAGATCCAGGCCCATGGTAGTCTCCCGGGAACTCTGAATAAAGCATGGTGCTACCCCCCAGCCCGGCTCGCTCCCCACCCTCTTGAATGGCTCCGTCTTTCTTATTGTCCTTTTGAGATCCCAACTCTCCTTCTCCCACCCATGCTCGCCATGATGGCACCCTAGACCACCCGCCGCTTTTGCTATGGCTTGATAGTCCAAGAGATCATCAAGCACACTCTCAAAGGTCAACCGTCCCCGACCCGGTTGCCGCTCTGGAGGATATGGCAGTTCAGCTTCCCGTCGAGGGGCTCGGAACCGCCATCGGGGTCCTTATCTGGACGCTCCTTTGTCTCTCGTGTACCGGACTCATGCTATGGCTGGCTTGGACCCATCACGAGAAAACCAGTTGTGAGTAGACGTCAAACGGACCCATGTGTCCACGCACACCCTTCGACCTCGCGTCCCTTCATCCACCGATGTAGATCGGCTGGAGTCCCCGAGACTGACCCTTCCTCCTTGATTCTCAGACATCGCCTTTCTAGGCTACTTCGCCGGCCTCGCTACTTGCGCCTCGATCGCGCAGCAGCTTCACACAATCGTGCGTTGGAGAGACATCAAAACGCATCAGTACGAACACAGCGTAGCCCATGCAGGAAGCCCGGAGTTGGCCATCGCCGGCGAGTCTACCGGGCTGGATCTGGGCCTCTTTTACATCCGTACGATGCCGCCGCTTTGGACTTTTACCCATATAGCCACTGCCTCTCCCCTTGGTATCTAGTTCGCTCGCTAACGACTGGGGATGATCAACAGAACTCTACAGCTATAATGTCCAAGCCTTATTGTCCTTTTTCTGGTGCGTATCAAGAAGGATGGAAAATGGGAGGATAAAGAGGATAAAAACGTGAAAGATAGACGACGCTGAAGCTAACACGTCTACAGGGCCACATCCCTCGCCCAGTCCATCTGCCAGACCAACCGATTCCGAATCAGTGAACCTCGTGCAACCCTCACCTCCAAAATTATATCGGTTATCTTACCCGCCATCGTCCTTTCTCTCCTCGCTATCCCCGCCGTAAGAGACAGCGATATTGCCTTCTTCATCCTAGCCAACATCCTGAGTGAGTTTCTTTGCCGCCTTGACGAAGATGGTCTGTCCCAAACACGGACTCCGTCTCTTGCCCCCCTGCGATAGCATCCGTGAGCTAACCAAGACCTCGCTGTGTTTACTTAGTGGCCGTTGGAATGGGCGGCGGTATGATCATGCTCGCCATCATAACATGCAAATACTTCCACGCGCGGTTCAACGTCCATTCCTGGAATGTCCGCTATTATACTTCCTCCCACGGCACGCAATTAACAGACGGCGAGGCTCTTCCACAGCTACGGCCCGTCGAGACTCAATTCTTCGACCGGTGGCTCGTGATACGGTTTTCGATAGGATTTCTGGCGATGAGGTTAGTTTTTCGAGTAGCTATGGCCTAGCCAGCTCGCTTTGTGGACTGTCGATGCTAACTGTTTCATTTTTACACACACGTAGCGCTTTCCAAGTTGTCATTATCCTCTTCTCAGTCAGAGCCGCGCGGACGAGCAAGGAAGCCAGCACCCGCACCGGCCCAGACCTGAGCATCGAGAAGCTGCGAGTCGACTTTCTACTCTTCATGCCGGCTCCCACGGCGGGGCTCTTTATTTCCTCGTCTTCGGCACTACCCGCGTGCTGCGTGCCTACATGTGGGACAAGCTTGTCCCCGCTGCATTAAGCGCCGTTTCAAGAAGAAGGAGGTGACGGCGCACGAACTGGTCAACCGGCGCGGCGCCGGTGGTGGCGGGCGTGGTTCAGGCAAGACCCTGAGCCATCAGACCGACACTCTCCCACCGTCAAGCGTGGGCGACAGTGCAGAGATTGCCGGAATGGGGGATGAGGCGGATTCGGACCCCGAGACGGGAACTCGCGGTCAGAGGGCGCCGTGGCCGGAACCACCAGATCCTGTTCGAACACGATGGTCATGATTGAGCGAGCTGGCGGATACATTATTGTTTATACCCATGTACAACTATTTTTATTGCATTTGCCCATAATCCTATCTGGGCATTAACAGAACAAACAAAGAAAAATATCTATGAGACCAACTAATAGAATTTCAAAAGTTCTCATATTATATCATGGACAATCTAGGTTTGACAGGAGTGCACTTGAAAATCCTGGTAATCCTAGACTTGAAATAGAAGATCCATTGTATATGAAAAGTGATGAGTTAGTTGCCATTCTATAGGCCTTATTGAGGCAAATCACTGTATTATTCAAGATATTTTCCCTCCTCTGACTTTCGCCAATGATATACTCATTATATCCTGCAGGAAAGGCCTTTGCTAATATTTGAGCATCTGGAATGTATTTGATCTAATGGATGGGACCTTGAGCAACCTGCGCCTTCCCAAAACCATCCCCACACAAAACGTCTAATGACTAAGCAACAACCTCACCTCTTGGAACCTGAAGCTCCAGAGCGCGAATCATCGTAGAGGTCGAGGCAAGCTAAACACGGCAAGCCTTCACCAAAGACCATTTCGTATATCAGAAGATTCTTTTACCATCCTAGGCTAAACCACAATAAAGGTGATATTTATATCTCTATTTGTTGTCGAGAACCTAGTCGCGCTTTTTAGTCGCCCTCGAAAGCGCGTCAATTGGACACTAGACCGCTTTCTGAAGCCGTTACGACCTTTGCGCGGCCGGCTCTTACTCCCCATCTCGCCAATCTTACGGCGACCCAAGCTACTGAAAAAGCCCGCGTTCTCGGCCTCTTATATCAGTAGAGATTGTGAGGTGGATACCTTTCTAGCTCGCTGCTAAGCCCCGGCGCAAATAATCGTGGGGTGGCGCCTTTTCGAGCCTTCCTAGATTTGAGCGTGCGCCCGATGAGCTTGCACCATCAACCCTGAGCCAGGTACTCTTCATCTTCCTAAAATTTTGACCTGTTTTTCTTCACCTGGATTCGCCCTCGCATCGGAAGTTAAAGAAGGGAAGTTCCGGTCCTCTGGGTACCGCCTCGTTGCCAGTTTTCAGAGAGAGAGAGAAGCAGCGAGAGGGAGTGGGAGACTGACGAGCGTCGCTGATAGCCGAGAAGGAAGCTATGTCAGGCCAAGTAGAGTATCACTCGGTCGAGATTAGGCGTAGTGATGGATGCGACACGGGTCCCGGATACTGGCCCATCGTTGAGCCCACCAAGGCTACTAAGAAAGCGACGAAGGATGGGCCTGAGAAGGTGACGAGGGCAAAGCCTCAAATGGTCCGGCTTGAAGCGGATGACCCACGCTTTGTCGAATGGAGAGTCAAGCTTGGAATACTCCTGAAGCAGGAAATAGCTCCTGAGCCGTACGGTATGTTTAGCTCCAATCCGCCGATGGATCTTGATTTGTCTTTTCCCCCTCTTCCTAAACCTTAGAGCTATTATGGTGCTGACCAAGGACATCGCTTCTCTAGCAGAGGGTCTGCCCTGGTACGTTGACTTTCCTCGGGGCTACTGGCTATACGAACGATCCAAGATTCTCTGGGTCTCTGGCTATCCGAACAAAAGCAAGCTTTTCAGGACGCCCCAGGAATTCGGTCTTCATCTTTTGTGGTTGCTGAGCAGCTCGAATGATCGCAAGGACTGTTGCTGCATCCACTGCAATGTCCCCCGTCCCTAAGGGCCTGGCCGGCGCGGACGACGAGCTTGTGGTTGTCAAGCCGAAGCCCGCGGTTCAGCCCCGGGTGACGCCAGTGCCCCTTCCTCCGAGAGTGACATCTACCTCGGTAACCAGCGCTGCGGCATCGAGCCCATCCGTGCAACCAAGGACGGCTCAGGGGCTCCAGGCGGCAAGCGCCGCTTCTATCGCGACGTCTGCTGGGGCATCTCCCGTGACTGCGCCGTCAAAAGCTATACCCCAACAACAGCAACTTCCCCAACAACAACAGCAGCATCAACAGCAGCATCAACAGCAGCATCAACAGCAGCATCAACAGCAGCATCAACAGCAGCAGCAAATAGCGGGAAATACTGCACCTGCACGACCTCAGTCTACAACGCCTATCCCGCCGCCCATGATTCCAGCCTCAGTCACGCCTCTCGCTAGCCCTGCTGTGCAGGCCGCGGCGCGTAGTGCAAAGGATACGATATCGTTGCTCTTCCGTACCGGAGAATTGGTTTGGTACACAAACGGACAGAACTGGCGACTGGGGCTTGTCGCTCAGTCCAACGGCACCACCCACCAGATCTTGCCGATTGCGCACGGTTTGATAATACAACCACCGGTGAGCAAACCAGACAAGGATCTGCGACCCTTTTACGCATTTACCGTGCCTCTTCCCACTCGCGAGGACCTAAAGAACCGAGCGTACGACTCGGTGCCATGGGATCAGTTAATACGGAGCCTCGCGGCCGACCCCAACCGCAAACAGGATCTAAGTGTTCTAGTACTGGACGCGTCCAAGCTTGCGGCGCTCAAGATTGACCAGTCGTACTCTGTATTCACATTGATCAAGCAGGAGACTTTCCGGCGTACTGGGGAGCGTTCCTCGGCGCTGAACGCATCCAGGTTGGAGACGCTCTGAGGGTTAACCCCCTCCAGACTATGCGCAGGAGCCAGAGGTGTACTTGGGGCTGGAAGCGATCGTCCTTCAAGCCGGCCAAGGTGTCATCTACGGAGGCACATTATTCCAGCTCAAGGAAGGGTTTAGTGGCGGGGAGGGCTTGGGCCACAGCGTGCCCGAGCAGAACCTCCCCGCGCGCTGCAAGAAGAGGCAGTCTGGCGCAAGAACGCTGCGCCATCCGTCTCGGTAGACTGTAGGTTTCTCCAGACGAACGTGTGGTTCCGGGACCAGGATATCAAGGGCCGATTTTACCCAACACACCGCCTGGCTCCCATCCTCAACCCGGCAGGATTCAGCAATGCTGTGCGGTCGCAGGCTTTGGCGCAAGCGTACCCCGCGCTTAATGGGCGCCTGGACGCCGCCACGGGAGCTTCCAAGAATACCACCCGGAAGGCGAATCGAGTGGAAGCGGTGGGAGCGTCGATTCCGCCTGGGACAAGATTTGCGTTTGAGCCGTATGTCCAGGAAGAGGTATCAACGGGGGTCAATACGGCGGGAAATATGGGGCTCGGCGGCACGCAGTAAAAGCGAGGCTCAGGACAAAGAGAGCAGTTTCGCTCGCTACTTATAACTCTATGGCATTGCCGAGTAACAGGGAAGGGGATTGTATACGGCGCTTATTAGGAGGAGAAAGCACCAGGGTATGTAATATATCAAACTGCAACAGAGGGCGCGGCGCCCTCGTTTCTTGATAGTCTTGATTTTGGTTCAACCAGAGCTCGACGCGTGCAAGTGGTGTTATAACCCGAGCCTACGACGAATACGGGATATACTACGAGGAGCTACCGTTCTGGGTAGCGTGAAAGGAGGGAGGAGAAGGAACTACTATAGGGGCCAAGTGAAGAATGAATACTGTCTATCAAAGTTGTAGATGAGCGAACAGAGCTCATTCTACTTCATATGTTCCTCCCGCCTGCTACATCAGAACTATCTGAGTGTCACTTCGCGCACTACGCATGGGCTGTGGCTAGTCTCCTCAAATGACTCAAGCTCTCGTATATATATGCCCACTACAAGAGGGGCAAAGGAAACGTAGATTACCACCAAAAGAAGACCACTAGACGCCAGTTGCGGCAGAGTTGGTATAGGAGCTACTCAAACCCCCTTTCCCCTTGCACGCCTTCCACGTCTTCCCGTCTTCCCGTCTTCCTAGATGCCTTTGAATGCGATATGTAGCTCCCTGCCTCGGGGATGAAGGGCGCACTCTTAGTGCTGCGTGTCGATCCTGGAGATAGTTTATGGGCCGGACCACCGGACATGGGGGCCGCCCGCGCTACAAGTAGACGGATGCAATCGCAGATACGGCTGGCCGCTAGGTGTTCAGCGAGATTCGCCCATCATAACTTGGATCGGCGGCGACTCAGCGCGAGACTCGTACACGGAACGGGGAACCCGAAATTTTCTAATCTCATCAAGCTGTCAAGTATCTGGCCCTGTACCTGGGTGGTACTTTGGCCCTTTCCTTCTTCCCTTCCCCCCCAACGCCCTCGATCAAGCCCCTGGACTTCGCGGCTTGTCAAGCATCAGCTTCAGCTTTCCAGGGCAAATAGCGTGGGAGAGTATCACAACCGCGGTTCGGCTATTGGCTCTACAACAGGGACTTTTACCTTGGCCTTTCCGCGACCCCCAGCAGTCCTATATAGAGAAACTTCGAAGACGGAAAGGAAAAAACTTCGAAGACGGAAAGGAAAAGAGATGGTAATGGGTTCTCGGTGGTTCCCTTTTCTCTGCATCCCTCTCTGCCTCCCTCTCTCTCTCTTTCTTTCTCTCTCTACGCCAATCCTGTCCTTTTTTGTGCTGGTTTCACCTCTCCTCTTCTCCGTCTCCTTTCCGGTTTAAACAAGGATTGCCATGGCCGTTGCCATTCTTGAGATCGTCTCCAACCCGGTCCATGGGACGAGAGAAAAGCAAAGACGTGTGTGGCAGGTTGACGGACCAGGAAGAGGTCTGTGGTATTAATGAGGAGCTTGGGCTTGCAGAGAGTTGGTAGGAAGAAAAAGGGACGGAACTGAGGTGCCAAATCTTGAGTTGAGGGAAGAGGTATTAGCCTCGACCCACGGTCATCAAAGGTCCCTGGATTCATGGGAAGGTTAAGCGCCGCCTCAAGTTTTACGAGTCTATATGTACATGTAGCCTTGGATCTCTGACGGCATGTGTAGACGCCGGCCTATAGAGAGCTGGCCCTTTGACACCAAGGCAAGCAAGGCAAGGTCAAAATCAGCAGCCATCGCGTCACTGGGATGATACCCCCTTTCGGGCCCCCATCTCTCGTGCGAAATGCTAAACACTGCCCATATTGGTCGTCGATCCCCAAGGATGCTCTATATGTATCTGGAAAATGGCCAGCCCGGGTACATGCCCATACCGAGGTGGATTTGTCACCGAAATTGCGCATCCCCGCGCTGGTACATGACTGGCGATCAAGTCCCTAAAGAGGCTACCTTGACGACCTTTGACGACCTCAACTACGTATTGTGGCTGGCAGCGGAGGGTCACGAGCCGCTACTTGTAGATGTTGCTATCACAGATCACTGGCACCGGCTCATTTGCTAGGACTTTTTTCTTTTTGTTTTCTAGAGAGGGGCAGGGAGGTTCCCTGGCAGTGTCTTAGGGTGACCAAGGTTCCCAGAATCGGCTTGTACGGCCAGCTTGATGGCATGGTCATGGCCTAGTTGCCAGCCCAGAGATGTGCGAAAAAGACAGCACTAGTGGACTTTTGATTTGACGCGGCGGGGAATTTGGGGATGCTGGTACTTTAATATCGGGGCGTTTCCTTTTGGTTCAAATGTTCCATCCTCGGCCTCGCTCGACGCCGATCCCTCCTGAATCGAGTCGGAACACGGGAGTGACATAGTTGGGTAGATTGGCGATGATGGACCGGATTCGATGGGATGCAAATTGATCTCACTCTTGCCCACCGCGGCGTGTAAGCCACCCGGACAACCCTTGAGCGGCCGTTTTTGTTGATGAACCAACCTTCTTTGAGTACACCCTGGCTCTCTCCCTCTTTTCTCTCTGTGACATATTGGAGTCTCTTCCGCTTCCGTCAACCTATTGAATCCACATGTAGCTCGTAGCGAGATCCATCATCGTACCGACGTACCGGGCACGAGGATGCGTTTCCCATTGCCCCCCTTTGAAAAAGTGCTCGTGTGAGTCTCAAGGTGGCTTCCTAGGGAACGGAGTTACATATGTAGCTTTTACAAAGTGTGATGTGACCCGTTAACCCGTTACCGACATGGTGCTGCAGTTGCGGCATAACATGCCTTTCCATCTCGAGTCGCGAGACAAATTTAGAGTACAAGGGGTAAAAATAGGCAGAGTCGACTACGACTTGTCGTCAAGGCCCATGTACGCTTCCTCGTCGACGCATTCGTCGTATATGCTTGCTCCACATAGGGTATGGAAAAGGACATACGCGTTTCCCTCATCCCTTTTCTCTCTTTATTATCTTTTTTTTAAAATAAATAAAATAGAAATCTAGCCCTCAAGCCTTGTTCGCACCTTGCACCCTTGCCCTCCAAGCCCTTGCCTCAAATTATGAGTTCCGGGTTGGCTAGCGCCACCAAAGGTGTAGCCGGGGAATATCCTCCGAGTGCATCGCCTCTCAAGTTTCTTTTTCCGGCCCAAAAATTAATAATACGCCTCGACAATGAATGCAGTGCACGATATAGACTAGGGATGTCAAGCTGCCCGAGCCCGAGCACTGCACTGCACTGCACTGCACTGCACTACTTGTAAAGCCATCGCATGATGTTCTCCCGGCGTGGGGGCATAGTATATCATTGGTGCTTGATAGTGAGCGGGGAGAAGAGGGACAGTCGCCCTGCGGGCATTGAACAACGTCGGGTTGTTGGCATGAGATTGACTAGTATACGACAGATGCATTGGTCAGTTGATTGTATTTTTCTGTTTTACTTCGTATAATACTCTACAGCGTTTGGGAGCTCAACAACTCTTGCATGGTGCTTGAAAGGGCGAGACGGCCGCTCTCCATTTCGTGTTTCAATTTGATATTTGACGAAACGTAAACGCAAACGCAAACGCACTCTGCCACGTCATGGTCCACGCCCCCCTCATCCTCCCCTTCCCTCTCTCCCCGTTCCCCACGGAGTGTAAAAGTGATGGGTGATTAGCAAATCAGTCGTGCTGTGCTGTGCTGTGCTGTGCTGTGCTGTGCTGTGCTGTGCTGTGCTGGTTGTTAGATCTCCGTCGGATCCATCCATCTATGGAATGGATCTCTTTGATGCGGGAGTGTGTGCGTGCGTGTGTCCGGTGGTTTGGGACGACGGGAGAATCTGGAATTTTTCTGGGGCAAGGGAAGCGAAGCGAAGTGAAGGGTCCAACCACTCCCACTCCGTCGGGACCGGCTCGGGGGCACTGACTCTTATTTTTACGACAACGGACATTGACTCCAACGTTCAAGTGAGTGTTGATACACACCCGCGCAGCGCACTGCATTACGTATGGCCGAGAAGTAGCACTATCATTGATTGATGTTCAATCCAATGCCGCACATCACCGCAAACCGCACACCGTCAATGGAACAGCCTCGACTTTCTTCCAGCGGGGCCCAGACGGTCGGTTGCCAAGTCCAAGTAATACATGTACATCAATTGATCCATGTATTCCTCAATGCCTTTTCGCTTCCAAGAGGCTACTTCTCAACGGAAGCCCGACCGGCCAAATCAAATCGAGCCCAAGAGCGAAAAAAAAACAAAACCCCTTCCCCTCCCTTTGTTCGAATCCTTCGGCCCACTGCATTCCCTGAGCTGGCCATGCATCTTGACTCTAGTGCAGCGCAGTGCAGTGCATTTGGACTTGCGTTGAGTTTAGCCTGCCCCTTCTTCGGTTGGTGGACTTGGCAGGTCATCAGGCAACTGGGAACCCAAGCCCTGGGGGCCGGGTTTGCTGCGGTGTGGGGGAGGGGGTTTGAGGCTGGGAACATTGAAGGATCAATCATAGTGAGCTTGAGAATTCCCAGTCTGTCTCTGGTGCGAGATGGACATCCATGTACGAAGTATGTAGTGTGGACTATGCTGCGCCGTCATGTGCTGTCGGCGTGGTGGGCCCCGGCAGCAATGCCAATGACCGATTGACGGATACCGAGTAATCCTGAAAGTGGTGATGCGTCAACTATCGCAACCCCTCTTGCCCCCTTCCAAGGCGGTCCAGCCATAGCAAGCGAACCATGTCGTCCATTGGCTCGCATCAAGCGATCAAGGGGCTACGGATCAATGCTAGCGAAACGCCATTCACAGGCCCCTTCCGCCTGCCTTATTACTCAGACGGTCAAAGAGAAGCCAAAGACCCCCGAGCCAAGCCAAGCTTCCGACCGCCCTTTAAGACAACCGAATAATAATAGGGGTTTAACCCTGCGGATGAGACAAGACACAAGACACAAGACGGGCGTGGAGATGGGATCCTGCTGTAAATATCGCCCTCCGGCATTACGGAAGGTATGTACGGTCCATTCACGCTGGAAGCCCCCCTCCCCTCCTCGGGAACAGTATGCCTCAAGCTTCCTGCTGCTCGGGGGAGAGGAGAAGGAGTGGGGCGGGACGACCAAGGAAGCAAGACCGAAAACCAACGAAAGGACGGTCCATGCTTCTCAGCAAACCGCCCCGTCGGGTTCAATGTTGGCGTTGGCGTTGGTGTTTGGCGTTGGCTTTCCCTTGGCCCCGGCGGCCTGGAAACCGGGGCTTCCTTGGGGCGCATCCTTCCATCCGTCGCTCTCAGCTCGATGGGTCCATATCATGCGTGCTATTATTTCCCATCCAGTGATGATTATCCAAAACTCCTTACTTGTATACCCATGTCCTCCCCTGCGAATACATGTACTGCTCAATGTCCGGATTCCCCGTATTACCTGCACAAAGTATTATACGTGTATCAAAGTATCAAAGACTATTCCCGAACCTCACCATCCTTGCTGGCGAGGGCTGGCGCCACCCCTTCAACTAAACTATTAACCTGACCCAGCCGACCGGGATTTCTGTCCCCATCCCATTTTTTTTTTTCGGTTTCCTTTTCATGGTTTCCGACTTGCCTTCCTCTCATCTCCCCTCCCTTCTCCACTTCCTCGCCATTCGTATTTACATGTATTATCCTCTTGTCTTCACCAATGGCAAAGTCCTTGGCACGAGTGGGTTGAAACATGGTATGAAAGGACGCCATGAAGCTGTGCAACCAATCACGACTCCCTACTATCCTTTACATCACTTCCCTCCTTCCCTCCCTTCGCTAGATTACAATAGACATAGACGTATTAGAGTACTGGGCTCTCTTGGGATCGTCGAAAAAGAACAAGGCACAATAAAAAAGGGCGGAAAACAAGCCCAAACTAGTGGCGTTGCAAAAGGGTCCGCCAAAGAGACAAAAAAAAGGGCCAAGGAAAACGGGGCAAGAAAAAAAGCATCGCGCTATCTTGTTTCGGTCTGGCCTAGCCCAAGCTCCATCCCAGGGCCTGGCGTTGAAGTCTACTCGTACTTTTATGTAGACATATCCAAGGGGCGGGGAGGGATATCAGTCTCGACGTTTTGTAGTCTGTAGTAGTGTTACGCTCCCTTTGTCGAACAGAGCTTTGCCTCTGCCTCCACTTGTGTAGCTAACGCCATCCTGAACAAACAAAGGAACTAAGCTGCCAGCCGCAGATTTTGCTTCCAAATGAGGTGACGGCATCACATCATACATGTACATCTCAGCAGACGAGTAGCAGACATTGATGGGGTATTAATGATATTCTCGTGCCACCCTACGAAGCACTATTGAGATATGGAAACTTTTGGTTTGGACAAAGGGACGGCGGATAGAGAAAAGGGGAAAACAAAATGACAAGTTGAACGATGGATCGAAACACGTGGAGGAGAGAAATTGATTGTTTGAATTGGAATCGTACCCTCACAGAAACCCCAGCTCCACCTCTCTAGAATGATTCTCTTGAAATAGACATGGCACACACACACACACACACACACACACACACACACACACACACACACTCGGGCGTAGGTATACACGTATACCAACGCATGCAACCTCGCCACAAGCAATAGACTTCCGGAAAACAACAGGTAGACAATGAGGCGAGAAGAAGGAAAAGAGGAAAAACAAACACCGGCCAGTCTTTTCCTCCCATCAAGCCACCTCCTCCCCTCCTATTCTTCTTCTCCTCCAGTCTCACCCTCCGTCCGCATGATCAACCCTCGTTTCCATGCGGACAGAAGCCCAGAAGGAGAGAAAAATATAAACGTATGTATCGTAACCACCCTGTTCCTTGCACGGTTCGGGGTGGCGACCGCCCGGTGGAACGGATTCAAAATGCGAATATGGTCGTCAAGTTGGTTACGGGGACGGCGTTAGAAATGGATTTCGTTCGAGCCGAGTGGTCGTGATCGCGTGGGCATGATAATCGAAGTGGAAATTCGACACGCCAAGATGCCAGTGGCACACCTCTTGGCTCCCCTTTCCAGCTCCGGAAAAAAAAAAGGAGAGGGCGTGCTTCTCGGGCTCAAAATAACATAAAATTGATCCCAAGGGCCAGATTCGTGCGTGCTAAATAATGGGCGTGAAATGAAAATGACGGTGGAAACGAGGAAAAACAAAAAGACAATCAAGGATTAACAATGTTTTCGGGACGGACGGATATGGACCACATAAACCCGCATTCCGTTCATGTAGAAAGAGAAACAAAATCATGCTCCGGTTCCTTTCCATGCACAACCAAGAGGCGGAAGGGGAGGAAGACGACAGGCTTATCCATGGACAATCCTTCCTCCTCAAATCCCCCAGGCCAGTCGTTATCCATGACAAGTCGTGATGGCGTGGTCACCTCTCACGCCTTGTTTCTTGGTGAAAAAGGCGAGGATGGCGACTCCAAAGGTGCCTGCCGGAAACATTCGGCCAAGCGTGTGTGTTCGAAAGGAATAAAGAAACAAGAGAGATAAAGAAAAAAACAATCATTTTCGTTTCGGAATTAAACCAACTCGCGCCCTCGGAGAAATGCGTCGTTTTTCAAATTCGCTTATACGCTACCAACTGTGCTTTGAGAAAAAAACCAATTAAGTTCAACGGGATATCATGAAATGCTCATGTCGGAAAGAGTCTCGTGGCAATGATTCGGAATGAGCGGACAGAGACAGACAGCGCTGTCGGTTCAGTTCCGGCTAGAACCAAGCAATCTTCTATCCACCGACCTTGAGTTGAGCCAGCTTCTCCTCAACCGACTTTAATACATCGGGATCGGGTTGGGGTTCGACACGTCGGGGTTTTAGTCGCTGGCAGCTCTCGCACTTGGGGTGCTGGCACGACTGGCAGGCGGTGCCGTCAGCTGCACCGCCGGGGAAGATGCTCTTGCATTGGTGGCATTCGTGATGTGGAACAGCTGTCGGGCCGTATTCATCGCCAGGATATCCAAATGGATACTTCTTCTTCTTGGCACTAGAGACAGGAAATCGACTGATTAGTATACATATTCTTAAGGTGAAATAGGCACGCTGCAGTGAAGAGCATGTTTGTTATGTTTGTTGGGTTTGAGAGTCGGAACTTACGGGTCGCGAGGGCAATCCGTGCAGCGGATATGCCCGCAGTCGGTGCAGAGCTTGCTGCCGGCCTTGAACAGGGTACCGCACTCGTGGCAGTTCCTTCGGACTCGCTGGCGGGGCTTCTTGTACACGAGGTCCTGCTTTCCGCACTTGGCCGGGATCCTCAGCTCGGGAGTCTTGTCGTCGAAGCAGTAGTCGACGGCGATGGGCGGGTTCTCCTCGAGTTCCTTGGCCTTGGCGGCCCGTCGTTCTCGGCTTGCCTGCTTTTCGGCCTCGGTCCTCTTGGGGGATAGCGAGTGCACTGCTTGCACCGGACGTGCTGGCAGTTCGGGCACTCCTTGGCCACCCCAAAGGTCGAGTTGCAGAGGTGGCAGTTGCGCCTGACACGCATGCGAATAGGCTTCTCCACGCGGAGGGCATCGCCTTCGGTTGAGTACCAGTCTCCGGGGTAGAGCTGGAGCCCAAAACGCTCGCCGAGTTGCTTCGCGCGTTGCTCATAGATCTGACTTCTGGGAACCTTGGTGACACCCTCGGGCTCAGGCTTGGGCTCGGGCTTCTCTTCTACGGGCTCGGCGGTGCTGTCATTCAAGTCAATCGACAATTTTCCTTTAGGGGCGCGAGGAATGAACCCAAAAGTCCCCAAGTTGAATGCACGACAGTCATGGGCGAACCTTCGGACAGACTGCGGGCAAGTGAAGCGGTGGGGAGATGAGATGACTTACGTCTTTTGGTGCTCTTGGAGCCTACGATTGAGAATCGTCGGGAGGACTCGCCCTTCTTGAGGACTGTCTTCATACGGGCGAGAAGCTTGCCAACGCCCTTCTTCTCCTTCTCCTTACCCTTATCCTGGGTAGGAGTGGTGGCAGGAGGTGCGGAACTCATGGTGTCGTCGGGTTACTTGGCGAAGGCTGGGTGCCAATTAAGAGGTGGTGATGCTGTAGATGATAGAGGGAGAGAGAGAGAATAGAAACCCCAGCACTCTTTCGACAAAAAGAACAAAACTAAACGGTGATTACTCAATGTCGACGTGCGCTTAGTTCGTGGTGGACTTTTTTGAGGTGAGATAATGCTGACGGTACACTAGCAATCCGGACGGGGAGGAGCGTATAAGTGGGATCGAAATTCAAGGGAGGCTAGCGAGCAGGATCTCGCAGTATCAAGCTCTCGTAGACGTCGGGTCGATCGACGAGAAATGGTTCTCAAGGTCGCAGCCGACGATTGTGTTGAGGTGGTCGATCGTTCGGAATTCCACGCAAAACCAGCAATTGGCGGACAAAGCCAGGTGAGGTGGTGCGACGGAGAAGAATGGATGTGAAGTCCAGAGGGAGGGAGGAAGTGGAAGAGGGAGGAGATTTGAGGAAAGAGGAGTGGAGAGAGGTGTTATTATTGAGTGCATGGGGTGTGGAAGGAAGGACGGAGACTGGTCCGAGGAAACAGGGAAGTCGACAAGGCGCCTACAGTAGTGTGGTCCACAGTCGTATGTGAAGAGCAGTGGACTCGCCGTGCCGTCCAGGCGAGCGACGAGTGGCGCACAATACAGTACCCCATCCAGAATACGGGGTACTCCAGAGGGATACAACGCCGACCCAACCCTGGCGTTGGGTCGTACGTTGATAGGAGTACCGGGCCCAAGGGAACCCCAAATGGGTTGACGGGCGTGGGCGTGGGCGTGGGCGAGAGAGAGAGACGAGGGAGGGGGAGGGGGTGATGGCCCGCTGCACCAAGCCGGACTGCGGGTTCCAACCGACATGGACGACGTTGTACTTGGCGGGTACCCAGTCCGCCTCCTTGGCGACAGGCTTAGCCAACCAAAAGGCCTCTGAGCTTTATCCTTTTCTTCAGTTGCCTCCCCCTGGTGTCCACCGCTTCCCCCATTCCAGTCCACCATCAATGGCCTACCACTACCATGAAGCAGGACTCGTTGGCGTTTTGGAAATGGCACTGGGGCTCGACTTCTGCTGGCTGCCCGCGCCCTTGCTGCGGGCTAATAGGTGCAATCCGCTAAAGGAGCCGGCCCTTACCGTCCTGGACTATTTCCGAACGCTACGAAAGGGCTGCTCATGCTCTAGGCTAGATGCGGCAGAGTTCATTTCTCTTTCCGTGGGCTTTTCCCACGCTCGCGCGCGCCCGAAAGCCGAGCACGGACTGAGGAACGGCGTGGCAAATGCGCCGGTGTTTTAGCCTTTTGGTTTCGTCGTGATGCGCGAGAAAAGGGAAAAACTTTGTGTGGTGCTGAGTGGCTGAGGATACAAAGTCGATGCTCTGCTCAGCAGCCTTTTTTGAACCTCGCCAAACATCACCTGAAGGGAAGAGAGAGGGACAGTCACCACAGTCACGGCAGCCCTTGGCGCAACCAATGTTGTACCCTCATGGTACCCGGAATGATGGGTACATCAGCCGTCAGAAGGACACTAGTCCAAATCTAGATGAGAATGCGGAAGTTTGGGGGAGGGGTTCATCAACACACTGAGACAGAAATCCTCGAGTCGCTCCAAATTGTACTTCGTACCGCCAAAGCACATGAGGTTTACGTACTGGCCCCACCCCTCCCCTTCAGTTTCCCCCAAAATCCTTTGATGAAGTCCAGAAACAACCGATTTTCCCAGGACTCTGGTATTGGGGTCACCAATTGCGAGACCGAAGCAATAACGAACCCAGATGACCGGAAAGTACCCTCCAGGGAAACGGCGGGTTTTGGGGTTTGGGACAAACACCGACGACAAGGGATCCATTACTTTCCGTTTTTTTTTTTTTTTTTCTTTTTCTTTTTTTTTTTTTCTCTTCCTCTCGTGAATGACCTTCATTCTCAATTTCGGCCACCAAACAAGGCGGCATTGCATCGTTTCAAAGAACCAAAGCCTCGGGTCTCTCCTTGCTTCTCGATGCAATTTTAAATAAGAAGATGGAGAAAGAGAAAAAGGAAGAGAAAAAGAAGGCCTTGGAGAATGGAAACGGTCGAAAAGAGAGGTCGATCCACGCTCGACGACATGGCCAAACGAAATAGCCCAATAAATCTTCACTTGAGCACATGGAAAAAGAAGCGAATACCCCTCAAATTCCATCCCCCTTCTATAAAACGCATTTGATATCGCTTCGAGGAATCCGCCGAGTCTTTTTCTCTTGGTATTGGGCACGCTCCGTGCTCGAGGTCTTTGACAGCCCCATTTCGAAGAAATTAGGTTGAACCAGGTCAAAAGAAGGCCACCCTCGCCTCAGCCCCTAGCTTAGGGTCGAAAAGCTATTGGGCATGGTCGGTGCCCGCATCTTGAGATTCTGTGGTCAAGCATAAAGTGCGCTAAAGTCAAGTACGAAGTAATAGACTAACCAGTCCTGGGCAAACCCCAGCCGATGCCTTTCTGGGTCCTTCATCCAACAAGTCGTCCCTGTGCCACCGTCGCGCCGGACGGAACCCTTCGAGAGGTAAAATGGTTCTCGTTTGGAGGTCGTAGCTCTTCAATTTACATGCCCTGCCCCCGTTTTGTTTTTCTTTTCTTTTTGGTCGGAGCGCTCTTTGTGGGAGCGAGCTTGACTGACCGAGTTGGATAAACCGATGCAACTTAGTCAGATCAGGAGTGGTTCAATGCGGGGGTCAAAGGAAGAGAAGCCCAGTCCCCGAGGTTGGGATATATTAGGGTCAAGGGGAGCATGTTCTCTTTCCACGGTAACAAAAACCCGCCTTTCCCGAACGCGATGAACAAAACAATTAAAAAGCAAAATGGTGGTGGATCGGGCTCCAGAGATCCCTGGAGACACTTTAATAAGGAGAGTGGACGATCCAACTGCTTTGAAAGGGGTAATATTACCCAAGAAAAAGAAGAAAAGAAAAACAGGAGCTACATTAGAGATCCTTATTAGCTAATCCACTACGTTTTGATCAACGCTTTTGTGTGACAGCGAAGACGAGAAGACCTCGTTGTAATATTTCTTGCAGGACTTTGACGTGACGCGCACATCAAAGACACTGAACACGGTGATACCGTCCCATTCTCTTATGCTTCCTTGTTTGGTACCCGTCCGTTGCAACGTGGTGGGTTTCCTCAACACCACGTCGCCGAATACTGATACCATCAACGCTTTCTCTCCTTCCTTTTCCTCCTCCTTTCCCTTTCCCACGGTATTTCTGCAAGGACGAGGAGGCACTCTCTCGACCAACTGCAGCTGGGCCCTGTCATTGTGACGGAAGGTATTACCGCGCAGAAACGGACCCCCAGGTCCCTCGATGTGATCGAAGCTCCAGTCTACAGTAATACAGTGCACGCTTGGGGGATGTGACAGATGTCCACGCTGTCGTCGGACTGTGTTCCGGAATAGCGTAACATAAAGTAACGGCGCCACACCGCTGACGAGGGATCAGGGCTAGACATGGTTTTCCTCCAACCGACCAAGGGGCTCTGGAAGTGCTATGCTCGTTCAGGAATAGCCAACCACTGTGTGTGACTGGCTGGTTGATTTCAAGCGGCGGTTATTAGGGAGAGGAAGGAATAGAAGGGGCCCAAGAGGGAATCACAGGGGACGAGAAAGTAAAAGAAAAAGAAAAAAAGAAAAAGAAAACCATAAAACGGAGAGGAAAAAGGCGATTGGTGGGAGGCAAAGGACAAGAAATCACAAAAGTCCAAAGCATCTGAAGTGCCCCCATCCCCTCTCCCATCACCTCGTCAGTCCTCGAAATTATTGACCAGGGCTGGGTTCGTGAACCGTCACCCGTCCCCGTCAGAGATCCCTGATGCGAGTGCGAGGAGCTGTGACCCCTTGCCGCAAGGACGCTAAACCGGATGTTGACTCGCTTGCCCAAAAGGAACCCCTGCCAACCGAGGATTGGCAAACCGTCCAGCAAGGAGAGAAAAAGACTCTTCTCTTCCTCCACGTATTACACTATACTTGGACAAGGTATTGAGCAAGTACCTTCCCGAGCAGAGCCGTTGACGTAACACATGACAAAGAGCCCCCAAACGGAAATTGATTGCACAAAGTAAAGGTTGAGAGAGAGAGCATTTTCTTTTTCTTTAGTCTTTCTTTTTTCATCTTGCCTCATCTTCTCGAAGCCGAGCCAAGGATTTCGGTGAGTTGTCAGCATGCTTAGCTGGGCTTGTCCGCGTCTCGGAAAAGCAAGGCCTGTTGCCTGTACTTCGTACGATGTTGTCAATGTGATTGATCGGGAGCGACGTGTCACCCACAGCATCGCCTTCTCAATGCCTTATCTCTGAGAGGGGCCCCCGCTCCAGTCTTCTGGAAGTATAACGGCATCTGCGCGAGGTTTGCTTTCTCGTCGAAAAATCGCAAGCACCTGCATCGAGCAAGCCTGAGCCCTTCTTTGTGTCACGTGTAGTACTTGATTCCATGGAACGTCATGCCCAGGCGAATCGGCCGAGGGAAGAGAACAAATGTACACGACATCAAGTCTGAAGTAGATGATGCTGAGTTGACTCGCTCTTCACAGAAGGAGTACATATTAGACTCCACTGATGAAACAGCGGCAACGAGAATAAGGTGACCCTTCAGAATGGAAGCAATAATACAAGTTACCGAGGCATCGACAGGGTCTCTGTTTAACCGGCCTCTCTGGGGTCTTGTGTTTGCCCTCAGTATCACTCGTCGCAAGCACCACCAAAGGTGGCACAATCATCTCTCTCCTCCCTCCAAGCAAAGGCCCAGTGCCAAGCTGCCGCTCTGTGTTTGAGAAACTGGTGTCGGCTGCGGGCTGATCCCCGCGGTGCTGGGTGCATGGTCTTCGAAGAAGCTTACGGTATTAGCAGGCAGCGGTGGGTCGAAGAACGTCTCTCTCTCGATACTCTTAAATTGGCCCCCTTTGAGAGCGCTTCGAGGGTAGGGGCTCTGAAGAATGGCCCATCTGTTATCCCTTTGATGCTTCGCTGGGTGACCAC